TTGCGGTACTCCCAAACAGTAAAGAGTTTATCGTGAACGAAGATTTAGCATATTGAAGCAACGCAGAGGTGCGACTGCGTGTTGCAGAGGTGCAACGCAGAGCCGCGAATCACCGTGTTGAGCTACGATTGTTGTATTATCTAAGCCTCAGATTTCTTTAAAGATGGCCAAAATAGGAACTGTCAAGTTGCATTGACAGTTTTCATGAATTTTTATGCCGATCAAAATACTGTCAGTAATTACAAAATTACATCCATTTAGTAATTTCCACTCTGAGAAATTGTGAACACAGAGATTGATATAATTTTTAAGAGTATTGAAAAAACAACTTTGATAGAGAAATTTGGTAACGATTAACTAAAATTTGTGCAGTAAATATTGAAAAAAAATGAATAAAAAAATTTGAATTTTGAAGATATAACAGATGTTAATGATTTTTAAAATATTGTATATCAATCGAGTGTAGGAGAAAGCCTACGGTTCTAGTACGTATAAAAATTATTGGCCTTGCACTCAGAGTAATATTAAAAGACTTATTTTTTCTTTCTTACGAATTTCCGCACAGTTGAATGTTGAATTAACAGTTTGAAATATATTCGTCCAAATATTATGCATTATGTTGAGGTAAAAATTATTAATCAACATAGCAGCCGAACGAAAAAACTCAGTAATCGGTGAATTACGACCTTGAACATCGCATAAATAACTCGCCGAATTTATTTTCCATGGGCAAAGCCACGGCTCCCACGCGGTGGCTATTCTCTAACAATTTGACACACCCGTCTCGGTAATGCTGAACTTCGGAGACCTGTCAGTCATAGTCCCGGTCGTGATTTCAAAGATTTAGAAATTATTTTTAGTGAAATCACCAAAACGCTTAAGCGCAAAAGAATTTTTTTTAATTATAACTTTTACAGTTCCCAAAACTAACTTCTTGAAGACTTTGCGATTGTAATTGTATCTATTTTTTTTAAATCGATAGTATAGCTGTATCAAAACTTAAGAAACCACATGACGTAATTCTTGAAAGGAAATACAACAACAAAATGTACTGATGACTCTTCGTTGATGCAAGCTTGCAAGCGAGACATTGATTAGTTGCGACCAAAATTTTTATTAGCGAATGCAATCCGAAATGAATCATGTAACGATCTCAAGAATTTTTCGTCTGGACCAGTTCTACATGCGAACAAGCGTTGTCGTAGCTTGGACCTTGGTGCATTAAACTGGCTGACCTACAACACTAGAGCCAAGAATTCATTTTGAGCAATTTCATGACGCCTCTCCGTGTTTTGAGAGCGAACACGCGCGTATCTGTCTCTGTTGAGAGAAGCTTTTTCGTTAGCAAAAAATCTCCCCCCCCCCCCTTAATCTTTGTTCATTTTTTTCCAATTGTTACACTTGCAACATAGATTTTTCATCGCTTACATTTCTTTCAACTATTCTATTTAATTTTCCAAATGAAATTTGAGAATTATTAGATCGTTATCCCAGCAAATATTTCACAATGCAATTCGTCAATATAGTTAGAGCTTCTATACTTAGTAATAAATAATATATTTATAACAGTTTTTCAATTCAATTTTTGAAAACTGTTTATTCGGTTTTTATCATTAAATGACTTGCATAGTACATTGACTATAATTTGTTAAAATAACTTCCTAATTTAAAATAGAAGAATTTAAAAAAAAATAGTGGTTTTCCTATGTAATACGATAATTATAAAGAGGAGGGTCAAGTCCCGCACGAGCTGGCAATATCGAAAAACCAAGAGCTCGAGTCGAACGCGTCAATCAAATGAAATATATTACTGCTGTCGTACAAGTTTGACAGCACGGCAAGATCACATTGTTAGCCAGCGTATCTTTGTTTTAGGTTGCTGACGTAATTTACACCTTTTGGCTTCTAACAAGTTCACATCTATAAATGTGCCCTGCACATGTGTCTACATTTTTTCTTCTTCATTATTTTCATGTTGCGTGTTTTTCGTATTTCCAATGCTTTATTTAAATACCGAATTTTGAAATTTTCAGCGACCTATTTTCTGGTGACGTACTTTGAATTTTTGCAAAACAACTGTGCTATTGTACGTGTTTTCAAAGTGTCGACAGATTAAAGAAAATAGGATAACTTTTTTAGTTTGATCAAGCGTATCAGTTTTATAGCGTAATTCTAAGTCTATCCTTTTAAGTTCTTGACAATTATTGGCAACTCACTTTTCTCTGTAGATCTAAATGATGTGCAATGTAATATACTATTGATAAGAAAATGATCTTACATACGCATATAACAGTGCTAATGAAATTGCAAATAGTATTTCTGCCGGTTCGAAATGGACCAAATCGTGGAGGTTTAATACAAAGCATTTATTCAACTTTAATCTCGACCATCAATATATCATTCCGGCAAAGCGCGATTAACTGCTCAGCGCTCGCATAAAATGCAAACAAGATTTACAGATGATATCGTTCAATCTTCTCGATCGCACAACAGATATCTGTTTATCAAATAATTTAAAGAGAAAAAAAAATGTTTTTTCAGCTCGTATCGACGTCGGATAGTTAATCGAAATGGCGACATGTGCGAGTGCAATGGGAAGTAGTAAGAGACGCTTATAGTCGGCCGTCGCCGGGCCGCGTGACGTTGTCCGAGGATAGTCGGCATCGCGCGTGCGCGAGCGCGCCACACGTGTTTCAAGCAAAAACCACTGCTGCCCAAGCAAGGTTAATCGTCGTCCGAGAATAAACGCGCTCGTGCCGCAATCCGCGCTCTCCCGCGCCAATTTCAAACTTTTCCGAAGCTTTTTTGCAGCGCAAGTGCGACCTTCGCCGAGCGCCGTTTATTCCATCTTTATAACGAGTGCCACCCCGGAAAACATTTGCCGGCACGTGATCGCGTCTTCTCTTGGCATTATATCGCCATTATTCTCGCTCTTTTCGTCCTATTCTTGGACCAGCTGTCAGCAGCGATTTTTCTCTTTTTTTTTGGCTTTATACCGACGCAATAGCAAAGTTCTAATTGGCGGCACAATTCTCTGTGGGGCTAACGGTATGTCCAAAATGGGAGAACCGATCGAGGAAGAAAATGCAGCATGGCCAGTTTTACAATGAGAAAAGCTTAAATATACTCCTGAAGACAAGAAACTCGCGATTATGTACGTTCCTTCGGGCTATAAATATCATGCCGCGAACTGGCGCAGCCACTAGCGTATTTCGCCGATACCGCACGTCTAACTTTTACACCTCGAAACTCGGCTTGCAAGCTGCACCCGTAACTCACGGACTTTAAACTTGGACAATCCCGCGCGCGCGACATTTCCTCGTTCCCTCTTTCTCACGTGTACAGCAAACTTGTGCGACGGAATTTTCTGAATTTGCTTCAAAGTGGTCGTAAGAGCTACTTTAAACAATCAGTTGATTAACGAATATTCATTTTCACCGCTATACCGGCAATTGATGATTTTGAAATATCTCAAAATTACAAACGTGCATGAAATACAAGTGAGTCTTACAATTATAAAAATTATATGTTATTGCCCGCCGAAAATCTAATCTACACATCAAATTATAGCTTCTGTAGTTTCCAATATTAATAAGTTCACTTATTTTTATACAATATCAATTACAGTGTACTGTATTCGTGTAACTTAACACGTTATTTATAGTAACCGCATGCACTTCCGTAAAATTTAGCGTCAAACATTCGAGAAACATTTATGCTTAGGCTGTTTATTTTCTAAACAATAGTACGTTAGTTGAGTTGGAAATAAAGTCTGGACATTGTTGTATTAACAGTCATAAATTCTTCATTTCAACTAATTGATTTTACACAAATGAGTGTATTTTACTTTTTTTCATGTTTGTTTTATTTTTATTTTTCATATTTTAACATATCTCAATTCATTTTTATTTAGTTGAAAAACTTTACAACTTAAATAAATTTGGATAAAAGGCACGATCCAACTATAGAAAATGCCGGTGATTTTACGTAGATAGGAATGCGCTATAAATTCAAATGCAACTTGATTAAAATTTATAATCAAGATTATTTGCGCGCTACTTATAAAATGTATTATAGGTCACTGTAATAGACACGAGAGAGACAGAGAGAGAGAGAGAGAGAGAGAGAGAGAGAGAGAGAGAGAGAGATATAGAGAGATAGAGAGACGAGACACTGTGATGAATGAACTCTTGGTAATAATTATAAGCCGGCGAATCGAATAGAGGTTAACTATTCTGCCAAGTCAATTGAATTAATAGTACAAAAGCCTAACATAGTCACGAAAAGTGTTGAAACAAATTCAATAAAACAATGATAAATTGATGAGCAGACTAAACTAACAATAACTCAGGCTTTAAGTTGAGTTTCGCAACAATAACTAGTAGCAATAACTAAAAAGTTACATAATATAGATACATAAGTTTTCTTGGTCTTTCTCCCTTTTGGCACATACACTTGTCGGAAAATTCCATCACATAGATACAAGTGAGTGAATCTTTTTGTAAGAGAGAAGAAAACAAGCAGTTGTAGTTATTTTCGATAGTTCTAAACAATCAATTATTTTTCATTGCTCAAAACGTGTATTTCTATTGCCGAATGTTCCGAAGAAGTATTATTTGAATCTCATGTTTCATCAATTTATAAGTCAACGCCACTATCAGTACTTAACATACACTTGACATACACTTAAGCCTCAAAAAATAGCACCATAGATTTATAGGTTCATACATGAAACGAACACCCTTCAGAATGAAATAAAGGGAGAAACGAAATGCAACAAGTGCATCGCGCGCGAGAAAAATGAAAAACACACAGAAATTTCGAAGTCAGAGCTATGTGGAACAGCAGTGGCAGCATCAGCAGCAGCAGCATCGAGTCTGAGCTTTTCGGTTGCCAAAATAATTAGGAAGTCGTAGAGAGTCTGGGTGCTAAAAGCGTCCGCGAGCGAGCGAGCTTGGCTGAGATTGCGCGGCCGCGAGTCAAGAATCGAGGGAGAGAGTCTCCCCGGGGCTTGCAGTGCGACGAGTCAGTCGTCGGCGAACAGCTGTGCGCGAAAGATAAACGAGACAGCGACACGGCGAGAAACCGAAACACAAAGATCCGTCGTGTTGGACGATTCTGAAGCCCTCGCCGAGGTGTTGTGTGCACACTCGCGCGGCGCGTCGACCTGCTGCCTACTGCTGATGCGTCTGGGGGTGGTTCATCATCCTCCAGAGCATCGGCTTCGTGTCGTTCAACCGTCGCTTCTTTTCTTCTGTGTTTTTTGTTGTGCTGTCAAGCCAAACGTCTTTTTGTCTCCGTAAGTCTTTTCAACGTCTTTTATTTTTTTCTTCTATCGCACACTACCTTGACAGTTAACAATCTCAATGAGCAGTCGCTTCCGCGACACTCGTGGAGGCAAGTCAAGTTTAAGGGCGATGACAAGACACTCGATCACTTCATCATCCGAGTCTCGTTTGCCGCGCTATTTTCGTTCGACTTGTGTAAATATTATGGGGATCTACAATGGATTGAAATGCACTCTGAATAATAGATTCGTGTTGATTCTTCTTCGTTCGGTTCCGTTTATTTTGCTCGAAACACTCCGGACAGTTTGATACTTCTGTGAACATTAATTGACAATCATTTTTAGTTTTAAAATTTTTTACATCCAATTATCCAGTGAATTTAGGAAAGTTAGAAAAAATACAAACTCTCGAACTGACAAGCTTTTTGAAATAAAAAGATCTTTGATATTCAAATTATAATATTGGACTGTGTGACACTCGAAACCATTACATAAACTACGAAAATCGCAAAATTACATAAAAGCGCTTATTTTCTATTTTCTCATTTGACAAACTTCAATCTGTATTAAAAACGCTCCGCCCTGAGAAAATCCTTGAAACAATAGAATTAATTGCAAGCGGCAAATCGCAGCTGCCAAATGATAAAATAAGCTTGGACGATGAGCACATTGAAAAGTCAACTGTTTCTTTCGCGAGCGCAGTCACACCAGGAATCGCATCAAACATGAGTGAAAGCATGTGAACTGCAAAAAGAGAGGAAAATGATAACACGTCGGCGCTGCTCGTGACGTAATGCCGAGGACGACGAAAGCTCGAAATAAAGGGAAGGGAAAGGAAGACGCACTTGCACACTCGTTGCAAGTCGAGGGAGAGAGGGATGTAAAAGCGCGCTTGTAGATCAAGAGAGCAAGCGAGAGAGAGAGAGAGAGAGAGAGAGCGGCGAATTATCCCAGGCCGCGCCGCGGTTAACCATTACGTAAGTCGACAATGCGCCGCTTGTCCTTTTCAAAAGCGTCTTAAAATACGCGCCAAGGAAATAGCCTAGCAGTAAGACTTAAAATAAAACGGCACTCGCTCATTCTGCGTCACGACGCGCGCGAACGCCAGAAAGCTCGGAATCGCGCGCTCGCTCTTTCTCTTCGCGCGCAGACAGCCCCGGAAGCTTTCAAAGAGAAAACGAAAAAATTGGAAAAAAACAAGCTCTACAATTTTTACGACCGGCTTTGTTGATAAATAAACCCCTAACAACGAGCTAAAGCTTGCAGAGTTTTCGACGTTTACTCCTCGTAATGAACTTTCTAAATGGGAAATTCTCGCTTTGCCCCTGTTTCGAGAAATCTAAACACGCTATATACAAAGTCTAACATTTGCAAGTGTACGTCGATCAAGTTAACGTTCACGCAGTCAATGCATTTTTTTTTATTTCTAACCTTCCTTTCAAAACATATTTAGATTTATTTTCAATAATTATAGATTTTTTATTCGATGATTAATTATGAAATATCAATCGAACGTTTCCCTCTACTGGATCACAACCCAAGCAATTTAAATTCTAGTGCCCAGTGTATAATGGGTTTTCTTCGTAAGAAGACATCGGGTGTGTAACATATTGGCGTTTCGTGATTGCGCAGGATGTGAGCGACGATTAAATATATCATCATTATTAGTGGAATAATAAATAATTTAATTATTTGCTTTCACCTTGGTACACGCGTGACGACCGATGCCTGACGTTCGACGTCCGATATGTCCTTATGTAAAGAAAGCCTTTAACGTTCCGAGTGTCAATACCCAACGTACACAGTCTTTGACCTGAGTGTATGCTCGATACAAAAAAATTGAATGTTTCCGTCGATAATAAAATTGATCAAGGATGGCTGGGTATTTTCCCATCAACCCCGGGGAAAATCCAAACTGGCTTCATAAAGCTGCGAGTGCGCCGGCAACGGGCCACCCCCACGACCAATCGCATTGCTCCACATGCTCCCATTGTTGCAAAGCGCCAAATTTGAACGACACAATATTTTTATTCGCGCAAGATAGACTTCGCAAAGCTTTTAAAACAGTCGCTATTTCATTGAAATGAATGTTAATGGTCAAATGCATAACACCAGTGTAATGGACAGTTCGGGAAGCAATGGGAAAATTGAAAAAGTGATCCAGCAGGCGTCCGCGGCTTAACCGGACAACTTAGAGCTTTGAGCGTGTGAGGCCGCCACGAGCACCAATTGGCTGACGAATCGCCCTTTATTGCGCCAGACCACTCAAAGTGACCTGGGGGCGCCTCGGACGCACATGCGATTCCACCTTCTTACATTTTTAATATAATTATAATAATCAAAGCTGGTTTTTATTGGTAAGATCAATCCAATAACTATCCTCTAACTATCCTTCAACACTTTATCTATCTATCATCATCCCCTTCTTTTTCTACTTTTTATTTTTCTTAATTAATTTTTTTTTGGATAAGAACCTAACCTCAATAACTCATCTCGTGGGGCGGCCAGCTCTGGCCCCCCCAGCACCCGTCCCCGAGATGAGTATAAACGACGAAAAAAACCAATTAAATAACAGCTACCTAACAGATGTTGAAATGTTACCTCAACCAGAGCAAACTAGAAACAAAAGACTCCTAAATGAAAATAATATAACACTGCCTGAAAAACTCCCCAAAAGAAACCATAATACTGAAACTAATTTACAATTTAATCAAGGATCACAACAATCTAAACTAGGAGAAATTCAGCCCCCACAATCACAAAGAATAGAATTCCCCAAAATTGAAGAATATCCATACGACATACCTCCCCCATACAAAATAATTGTACAACCCGCTGAACTCGATAACAAAATTAACCTAAATCAAACAATCATAACCCCAATTCAAATTGCTAAACATATCACCCCGCTATTCCCTAATGGCTCAATCGACGAATACATCAGAACAGGTAGAAATAAAATAGCGATAATTACACACAACCGCAAAGTTGCCAACTCAATTCTCAAACTCGAATACTTCAAAAAAAACAACCTAATCGCCTTTATACCAAGCTCATTTATTTACAAAAAATGTGTAATTAAACAAATCCCAACAAATATCACAGAACAAGAAATCATCAACAACCTAGAGTTAGTATCACCAATATCTACTTTACCGATAATCAATGTGAGAAGATTCAATAGAAAAGTGACTGAAAATGACACAGTAAAATACCTACCAACTACTACTATCCTAGTTACCTACAAAGGACAAATAACTACCCAACATGCCTTTCTCTATAGAGTCAGATACAGAACTGAACAATACATACCAACAGTCAAACTATGCACCAAATGCTACAGACATGGCCATGTCAAATCGTCATGTAATTCAAAACAACAAAAATGCATATACTGCGGAGAAACAACACACAATTATCAAGAGTGCCCCAAAATAAACGACGTGACAAAAAAATGTTTAAATTGTGAAGAAAATCACCTACCAACAGATAAAAACTGCAAAGTCAAAAAAATAGAACAAGACATCCTAACCACTGCAACCAAAAGAAACATTTCAATAAAAGAGGCAAAATTAATACATAATCAATACAATAACAATTCCAAAAGATTCAGATTCTCAGACCACCCTGAAATGAACGAAGCTCCAACCCCCCAAGAACTCTATGTACAAAATACAAACACAAAAAAAAATAATCTAACTCCGAAAAAAACGATATTACATTCTCCGAAAAAAACTTACTCTAACATCCTACAAAACAAAAACACACAGGATGACCTTAGAAAAAAACACAACGAACTCCTCATTTCCCCTAACGGCAACTACAACTTAAACCCAAATTTTACAGCATTCAATGATCATCCAATCTCCCCAACTCCCCCACTCGAACCCTCAACTACATCACAAATTTCCATGTACGAAGACACCTATCTATTTAAAAATCAATATGCTATTTCACACGATTTTATAATACAATATCTAAATTCAGACCAAAATTTTCATAATTTATTAAATGAAAACATCGAAACTACATATAATCAAACAGATACAGAATCACAATTACAAAATTAAAATAATTACTAAAAATAAAAACCAACAATTTACTCTCCTAACTCCCAACAAATTACACTTCAACATCCTATCAACACAATTAATATATATATTTATTATCTTAACAAACAATGCTAAACACTAAACAAGAAGTACACCAACTTAAAATACTTCAATGGAATTGTCGAAGTATTTGTAATAAATTATATCTTCTAAAAAATATTATCAACTCTTATGACATTATCCTGCTCTCAGAAACCTGGCTAAATGATAAATCCTATATCAACATCCCTAACTATCATATTATAAGAAAAGACCGAACAACAGGAGAACATGGAGGAGTAGCAATTCTAATAAAAACAAACCTCCTTTTTCAAGAAGAAACAAATATCTATTATAACGAAAAAACACTAGAAACCGTCGCTGTATCTATCCCCCTATCCATAAATAATACAAATAAAGAAAACTCTATACTAATAATATCAACTTATAGAATCCCATCTACCCAAACTACAATAGATACCTGGTCACAATTTTTAAGCTCAACCTCTAACTATAAACACACCCTTATCGGCGGGGATTTAAATGCCCACCACTTTACCTGGGGTGCAAACAAAACTTGTAAATCAGGAGAAAATCTCATCGATGCACTTATCGACTCAGACTTATCCATAATCAATGACGGCTCTCATACTTACTTCAATAATCAAGAAGAACAATTCTTCTCATCTCCTATAGATATCACAATAATCTCAACCAACATTCTCAACTCTACAACGTGGAAAACTTACCCAGACCGCATGAATAGTGACCACCTCCCAATAGAAACCACTATCTCCATAACCCACGAAAGACCTCCCACCAACATTACACATAAAATAAACTACAAAAATATCAATTGGAGTCATTACTCAACTTATATAGACAAATTTATAGAAAACAACTCAGAAACAATAAAAGAATATAATGAAGAACAAAAATACAATCTACTAACCAACCTCATCACTTCAACAATAAAACTATACAAAAACAACAAAAATAAAAAACATACCAATAACAACTACAACATCAATCTAGAATATAACACCTCAAACATCAATTCAATAAACAACTTATCAGATTATAAAGAACCATCAATTACAAAAAAATTTAAATCCCAAACACCCAAAGCTCCATGGTGGGACCACAACTGCTCAAAATTAACAAATGAAAGAAGAAAAGAAACCAAAAACTTCCTTAAAAACCCCACGTATGAAAACCTCAAACTACTAACAAAAACAGAAACACGTACTAAAAATCAACTTAGAGACATCAAAAGACGAAAATTCCAAGAATTTGCTGAAAAAAAGATCTCGATAGACACGAATATAAAAGAACTATGGAACACTATAAACAAATTCAAAAACATCAACAACAATAACAACATAAAATATCCAAACAACGACACCGAAGTAATAAATAATGCAAAAAAATTCATTAAAGAATTCTCCTCATCCCCAAACACATTCCCTTCTCACCCACCAACATATAATCATATAGAACAACACACAAATGAACAAAAAGATCTTGACTCTCCTTTCAATATAGACGAACTAAATTTATCCTTGAAAGCAACCAAAGAAGACTCCACACCTGGCCTTGACCAAATAGACTACAAAATGTTAAAAAACACCCCACTATCTTTTAAAACGTTACTTCTATCTTCACTAAATCATTACTTTGAAAATGGTATTTTTCATGATACCTGGAAAAACTTTTTAATAATGCTAATACCTAAAAAATCCAAAAATAAATTTCGCCCAATATCATTAGCCTCATGCATACTGAAATTAACAGAAAGATTAATCAACACAAGATTACATCACTACATTGAAAAAAATAATCTTTTAACAGAATCTCAATACGGCTTCAGAAAAAGTAAATCTTGTCAACATGCATTAACCCACCTAATTACTGATATTCATTTAGCAAACAACAACAATCAAAACACCTTTTGTACTTTTATTGACATAAAATCAGCTTTTGATAATGTCTGTCCTAATATACTCGACAAAATCTTACTTAAATTAAAAATCCCCAAAAAAACCAGATGCTTCATCTACAATCTAATTACCAATAGATCTCTTCTCTTCAAAATCGGCAATAATCTGTTTGGACCACATTCCAAAAGTATAGGAGTTCCTCAAGGGTCTGTATTAAGCCCCCTGCTATATAATCTATATGTAAATGAACTCTCACAAATCATACCCCCCAACGTAAAATTAATCCAATACGCAGATGACACTATTATATATACTTCTGTTCCAGATATTAAACAATCAATAAACATATTAGAAAACACTCTTGAACTCATAATCAACTTCTTTCAACAACTAAAACTAACTCTTTCAGCTGATAAAACAATATTTATTATCTTCACAAAAGCTCCCTTTTCTGCTATTAAAAATTACTCTCTACTAATAAATAACACTCCCATATACCCATCAAAAAAAGTCAAATACTTAGGACTATATATTGACTACAATCTTCATTGGAATGATCACGCAAACTACATAATAGGAAAAAGTTTAAAACTACTAAACATAATTAAAGTACTTAGAGGAACATGGTGGGGCAGCCACCCACAAATATTACTAAGAATTTACTCAGCTATTATTAGAAGCACCATAGAATACAGCCTATACCTAACACACATAAATAACTCAACTCTTCTTAAGAAAATACAAAAAATTCAAAACAGTGGAATAAGACTATCACTAGGATGTAGAATTTCTACACCAATAAATGTCCTACATGCCGAATCCAAAATTTTCTACATCAAAGAAAGACTTCAACATCTAGCTGATAAATTCATACTAAAACTAATATCATCTCAAAACTCACCAATCTTAATCAATCTAAAAAATTTAGACCACGATCTAAAACAAAAAGACAAATTTAAAATACAAAAAACTTTTATCCCAATAGAAACATGGAGAAATATAACAAATTTAACAGCTAATAAAATTACAACCCATGCACACCCTATCCCCTTCGATTATAACTATCACGCTACCATAAAAAAAAATCTCATTGATACAATCTCTGGAAAAAATATAAAATCCTCAAACAACCCTCCGCAAGAATTCAACAAATTATTTAATACCGAAATAAATTCTAATCTAACTTTTTTCACTGATGCCTCTAAAATTAAAACCTCTTCATTCTCTGGCCTTGCCATCTATAGCCCAACAACAAATTTAAAGCTTCAATATAAAACCTCACTTCCAGCTTCTATCTTTACACTCGAAGCACTAGCAATCTTCCTAACTATACATGAAATTAAAAAAATAAAACCAAATAAAACATATATCTTCTCTGACTCCCTCAGCGTCTTATTAGCCATCTCCAACTACTCACCCATTAAATCAAAAAACACATCACATATAATTCTTGATATCAAATCCCTCCTACATGAATGTGAACTTTTAAGTATTCAAATAATACTTATCTGGATACCATCTCATACTAATATCCCCTACAACGATACAGTAGATTTATTAGCAAAAGAAGCCATCCAAAAAGGAACAAATCTAATCACCCAGCTTCACTATACAGACTTTCTAGAACAAATAAATCACAACCATAAAAAATCACATAATGAATTTATTACAAACCAAAGCCAACAAAAAGGCTCCCATTACTTTAAATACTACTTTCAAAAAGAAAATCCTAGACCATGGTTCTCCAAAATAAACTATCCAAGAAGACATTTAACAACAATTATAAGAATCCGATCTAATCATTATAATCTAGCTGCCAGCTTACATAGGAAAAATATGACCAATTCCCCTTCGTGCCCATGCGGATATACCTCACAAGACGCAAATCATATTGTATGGGACTGCCCCAATTACCACCTACAAAGATACACATTAAAAATTAAATTAAAAAAATACTATGAAAAGAAGAAAAAACAACCCCCAACATCCATCGAGGAAATATTAACAAACCCAAATGAAATAACATCCAAATTTATAACAGACTTTTTAAAACAATGCAACTTATTTATATAACTCTACCTTCCCTAAAATCATTTTATATACCAAACTTAACTCTACATCCACACTACTATACCACAAAATCAAAATACCTATTTTACCGACAACTAAAATCAACTTTTACTATACCCTACCTACACATATACTTTATAAAATATTTTCATACACCCTCCCTACTCTTCTTCTCCTACCCTTTTTACCAATAAAAACTTTAAAATTCTTTTAAATTTCAAATTTTTCTCTCAAATTTGAATTGTGGCGCATCGGAGTCCCTAGGTACCCACAGCCATTAAAACGAAACGAAACGAAACGCGCCAGACCACTAGCACTGGCAGTGCTCGCTTCTCTCTCTCCGTCGCTCTTGCTAGCCAAGTGGTCGACACTTGGTTGCTGCTATCTCCGTTAGCGTGAAAACCGTCCCGTGGCGAGCGCGTGTAGACAGAACGCTGTGTACCTATATGTGCAAAAGCAGCTCGGTCAGTCCGCGAAGACAGAGGGATTTGGTTAGAGTGCGCTACCTCGTTGTGTTGGCTCACACGGTGCTGTGACAAAACTTCGAGACGCTTTTCTAGTCGAGTTTATGGATTGAGTGCGGAGGAACGTCGTCGCGGCATGACGTTCGGTGTGCCTCGGGACGCCAATTGTGTACCTCGAGGACGCTCGTAGACGACGCATATACACACACGCCAACGGGTTTTTCATCCATAGCGCGCACAACGCTCCAGTCATTTATCGAGCTTCAGTGCCAGCTGCACGTACTCACACATACACACAATAGAGACTACACGCCATCACCAGCGTGTTATACCCCTAACCTCCAAGGTGAATTAGCTTCGTGGACGACAGCTACGTAGTCGTGTGTGCTGCTTAGGTCCTGCTCTCGATTAACATCGCGGAGCAGCGCGGCGCTTAGCTGTTTCCGAACCAAGGTATACACACGTTGGCAGCCACGTTGTTCGCGCGCCGTATGATTTCTCTTTTTGTCTCTCTTTTTTTAATCTCTCTGAATTATTGTGTCAGTCGTCAGAATAGATCAGACGCGCGGAAGCCGTTTACTTATCATTGTATGATTATGGGAAAACTGGCCCATTCCGAAATTTTTAACTTTCGGAATGGGCTAGAGCGCCAACGTCGACATGGCGACGAGGTACATCCAGGGTAGATTTTCGCTTACGACATTACAAGTCGTCTGCATATTCAACTGAATGCTTTCGCTGCTGTTCGGATTTCTGACTGCGATGATAAGTCGTAGCGCGTCTGATGCGTAATGTTTTTTATTTTGCGTTCGACGCCACCACTCAGTTGATATACTGCGTTTTGCCAAAGCCTTGGTACTTTTGATAGAGTGCATTCTCGCGCAATTTTTTGAGTGCATTTCCATTGTTTTTAATGCGTTAAGTAATTTGTCATGTAAAGATTTATGAAGCAATTTAATAAAGAGGTTACATTTAGCTATAACTGTTCTAATGATAAAAAGAAAATACAATTGATCTAGACCACATTATTATTTGATTAGTTATTATATTCAAGTTGATTTATAGAAAACATAGTCTAAATTTGAAAACATTTGTTTAGCAAATGCATCATTATTCACATTGTCTTAATAAAAAAGCTAATGATGTCAACTTGTCTAAGGTCAGATTAGATTACATTTTGATGTATGAATGCTCTTGTGGAGTAGAGACTGTATATAATCAGTTTAGAGGAAGAACAATCAATATTTTCAAGTTAACAAGTAGAAGTAATAGAAAACAAGCATATGAAATAGTTAATAATTTTTTTGTTACAGAAATTAATCAGGTGAATGATCACTTTTAGTAATTAACGAGTTCTGGAGCAAAAGTAAACATGGAGGACGCTCATTGCAAAACAGCAGACGAAGTTACAAACTATTTCAATGTTGATCCTGAAAAAGGTCTTTCGCCAGACCAGGTGAAAAGGAATCAGGAAAAATATGGTCTCAATGGTAAGTACAAAATTTTACTTACCTTGACTTCTTAATAATTGTTGAAAAGAATGTGAGAATGATTCAACGAGTATAGAATAACAGAATTTTTTATGTAACAGTGGAATAAACCTTATAAAATAGTTTTGGAGTTCTAAATATTTTAGCTGGTTACTCTTGCAAATGCTGCAGCAGGTTCTCTGGCTCACTATTAACATTCCCAGGAAAGAGCAAAAGCAGCTCATGATTGTTTTCATTGAGGAAATTTGTTTTGAAAAATTACAACGAGTATGACACACAAACTGCTCGCGCTATTCAGTTGTCGAAAATGTCGTTGTAAAATTCAGTAAGTTGTTTCGAAAGCGCGTGAAAATTCATCTCCTCTTTGCGCACATAAAAACGAGAGGGAGCGCTAAAGTTATTTTTCAAGATATATCAAAGATCAGCAGTAACTTAGGAGTTGGTTTGCTATAAGCGAGAAAATCTCGGGTCTCTAAGCAAACGATCGAGTTACCGACGCGTTAGCGAAGGTGTTTACGAGTTTCATTGTGGAACGTTTGCACAGCTTCTCGCGCGGTCCGTTTTTTTTTATTTCGACAGCACCTCGTTAAAACCCATTGAGCGTCGAAAAGTTCATCGCGCTGTATTTTTAACGTCACCATGCCGCGCGTCCGCCGGAAACCACGTGAACCAGCCCCAGTTTGCGTTTTCGCACGAGCACGCAACCGGTTGATTCTTAACGTGGTCTCGCGAATTGAACATGGTCACGTCTGTTGCATCAACGGGTGCGTAATCTGTACATTTCTCCGCGAATGACGATCTCCTCTCTCTTTTTCCTTCGTATTATACGATCGGTTAATTTTTGAGTTATTAATATTCAAAAAAGGCAAAACCGTGCTTAGCATTAATCACTTAATAAGCCTCATTTCGTTTATTACCAAGCCAAGATACGCTTTATCTTTGGCGAATGCAACGTGCGATATCCGACGGAAATATGCATATACTGACTCGAGGATGACACGTCCAATTTCGTAAATGTTAGTTATAAAATTTATATAGAATACCGCTTAAGTAATTTGAATCGACAAAATAGTAATCTCATTAGCTGTAAAACTTATTTGATTGTGAATCGAGTAGATTACCGGGCGTGTATGTCAATGCGACGCATCGCGAAGAATCGTAAGAGTAGCAATATAATAATTTATTATCATCCAAGACGAGTTTATTAAATTGCTTTATCGGATCAGCTACGTCTGATTACTGCGCGCGCGCGTGCCACTTGTTTACAGTAAAGCGCTAATTACACGGATGCTTCGGGCTGCGTGGTCGTGCTTAATTTCGCTTTAACAAAAGCTTCGCTCTTCCAATTTGAAAACTTATCTCGCTCAAAAGTAGGTCGCGCTATGAAAACGATGTACATTCGGATTTCAATAATTCATGGAGCCAAACTGTGCAGGCGATAAAGCTCGAAATTCCATTTCATCGATCGCGACCAACAAATAATAATGGACTATTCAGGCTGATAGCCGGGATGCTGCCACCGCCGCAAAACCCTCAATTTCTCTCTCTATCTGTCTAGCGGCGACAGCGACTCGTGACTCTTATCGCTTTCACTTGACAATGGAGTGACGCGCGCCAATTACACGATCACTACCGGTCGCAGCGACTAACTGCCTGTCTGTCGCACTCTTTGGGCACCTCTTTGTTCTTGGGAAAAAAAGTGAGAAAAAAGCGAAGGACAAGCGATAACTCGAGGTGAGATGTATATTACGCTTAATGGTGATATTACTATTGAGCTTTTTTTCTTTTCGGTTGAGCGGAAGGTTTGCCGTGTAATTGGGCTATGTCATTGCAGTTTTTCAGTTACCTGACATTAAAATTCCATCGTGATTCATTTTAGTGAGATCTAGTTTAGAACCCTCAAGTCTTTCCTATAATTTCCGCGCAGTTTTGGAATTCTGATTTCGACATTAAATATTCAAGAATAACACAAACGTATCGGCATAGCATTAATAAACCAGCGTATATATCGACTTTCGCAAAATTCGATAGCTGTCATCGCTTTTTACATTCGTGGATTCAATTATGGATGAAAATAGGCAGTTAACCCTATCCAAATAAAAAATGCTTGTGTGAAGCGTTGATCGCTCTCCACGGCGCTTAAAATTAAAATTCCACAGGCGCGCGCGTGAGAAAGAGAGAGAGAGAGAGAGAGAGAGAGAGAGAGAGAGAGAGAGAGAGAGAGAGAGAGAGAGAGAGAGAGAGAGAGAGAGAGAGAGAGCGCTGTTACTGACGTCAGAATTCTTCAATCTCAGGGGAAAGCCGAATCCCGGAGTAACACGTAATCATAAGAGGGGCTCTGACGTCAAGTGAAGCCAGTCGAATACGTGTCAGAACCTATATTGCAGTTGAAAAAAGAAAGTGTTTATCTTGTAAACGTAGCCCCGAGTTGCATCTGCCTATTGTGCTGTGTGGTGAATTGCTGCTCTCTCTCTTTCTCCCCCACTATACTCGCGCGAAAAAAGCCACGTTGTGTTGTCATCGCGGATTTCAGTGACGTCAGTCGGGTGTGTACTTAAGTATGTATCGTGCAAGAACGAGCATCTTCGAAATAACCTATTCAAAGTCGGGGATTTCGATGTTAATTAAATTATCCGCCAAGCTGGATGGAAAGAAAAGCGAAAGCAAAAAAATGATTGGATTAGAGGCAAATGAATCATTGTCGTGTGTCGTTGATAGAATTGCCACTGGTATTACGCAGACGTTACTTTGTAGTTTGATGGGCGCTGGAGAACTAACGAATAAACACACGTATTCCTATAAACTCTTTCTATAGACATCAAAGATTCAGCAAGGCGTATCTAAAGCAACCTTATACTCGCGCACGTGCGCGTAATCCGGCCTTATAAAAATGCTTCTCGAGCCTGTTAAATGGTTGAAGTGCTGACTCGAAAGCAACGAGTAGCCTCCTTTGATTACCCCGAAATTTTAATGCACTTTCAATCGCCAGAGGAAAAGCCAGCGTCGGCGCAGCACAAAGACTCGCGCGAAAGATCGGATGAAATCCGCCGATAAGATAATCGCGAGCGGAAAATATAAAGCGTGACGCGGATGCGCGCGCGCCGGTGGCGTTTTTCATCAGGAGGAAAACACACGCGACAACGAAGCTTTGTCCGTCGAAGCGCTCGTGTCTGTGTGTGGCGTTACTCTCGAGGGCAGTCGCCGCCACCGATGACGTTAATCGTCAATAGACGTCACGTACTCTCGCTTGTGTCCGTGTGTTCATTTCGTTGCGCTTTCGGTTGCGCAATTTTGTCGCGCGCACAAACGCCGAGAAAAGAGCGATTCTTAATTATTATTATTATTGGCCGGTTCTCGGGCTATATGCATGCTTGTATATATATCTTCGGTCGATTTTTCAGCAATCACGCGACGAAGCTGTCGGTGAAACCGGTTATCATTAGAATATTTGTCTTTCAAGCCAAGCGTTTCCAATATGAAGACGTTTAAGTTTGACTAACAGTTGTATGTTGATCGGATAATACTTTCAATCGTGAATACGCATAGGCTTTTCGTTGCTTTAAAAATCACCGAATTGTCAATTAACGATAAACTGATAACTCGTTTAAAAAAAATCAGCATCTTTGAAAGTCGAAGCTGACAATTTGCCGAATTCCCCGAACGTGTATGCGAGGCGCGACTGGTGTGAAACAAGATGGATAGAATTTATATAGAGATAGGTTATTGTATATCGGTCGTAGCAACAGCCATTGTCCTTCGCCGCACAGGCTCAGCCTCGCGTGAAAATGTTGCCCGGCGCACGCTTCTTTCTAGCACGTGAGCCTTGCGCCGCTTTTCTCTCTGGCGCCGCTTATATCTTTTTTCCTCGCTCTTGCGCTCTCTCTCTCTCACTCTCTCTCTCTCTCTCTCTCTCTCTCTCTCTCTCTCTCTCTCTTTTTCTCGCTCTCTACAACCCTTTTTTCTTTATCTCACTTATAAGTGTTGTTGATCTTCGATTCACATCCTATGCAGTCATTTTGATTTATCTTCATTCTAATAAAAAATAATCCTTAAATAGTTGTGTTCAGTTTACTTTGCTGATTCCAATGTCCATCGCGGAAGCTTCCTCAATTTCATATTTCTAAAACTTGGACGCAACGTGTATCTCGCATCAGAACAGTTCGCAGACACCTAGAGTATATCAACGTTTTGTTTAAATAATTCCACGCGTAAAGGTGTATTTGTATTGAAGCATCGCAAACTCACCTTGCGAGGGATATGATAGACACGCGTTCACGTTGACACGGGGGAGAAAAAGCTACTCGTCGCCTATATACTCCCGTATAAGCGACGCTATAGCGTAACGCTATTCGTGCACTCGATCGATGTCATCGCGCAGTGTACTACTGCCTCATCGTTCACGGCTTATCGGTTGTACGACAAAAAGACAGAAAATTTTCTCATTTGCTTGGTCAACGGCGTGTGACCGAAAAATCCAGACCTAAGCACAAAACATACGTGCAGCCTTGTTTTCTTGTAAAATCGAATAATATTTCGGTCCCATGCATTCTGTCTTTGTCAGTGCTTCCGGGTTGTTATATTCGGGAGTCAAGCCACTCGATCAAGTTAGCATAATTACGGTTTTTTCGTTATTCTTCGCTCTTTCCTGCTTGATATACAGAAATAAAACAAGATGCAGTTGCTTGACATTATTAGTCCCCGGACGTAATGATATATATCCTCGATGTAGAGAGATTGGCAAATTGTCAGTACACGAGCGTCGAGCGTATTGTCAGTTGGCCAAATTCTATCTGTTGCAACTAGCGATATGCTTACGCAAAAAAGCAAAGAATTTGTTATGCCCGATAATACCATTATCAACTTGATAAAAAAAGTAAATAAAATGAAACCATCGACTTCATGTGCACTGATATATATCGCAAGATACCGTTGCAATCTCGTAAAAGTTAGTCCTAGTCGCAAAGAAAAAAGAAACGGATACGCTTATTAGCGTGAGTGAGAGATAGAGTAGGGGTTCGCCTGATCAGCTGATTCGATATTGCATGAATGTCAGTGCAAGCTATCGGATTATGGATACAAAGAGAGTCAGGGAGCCGCGCTTGATTTCGCCTCATTCTTCATTCTTATGAAATTTTTGAGCGCACTGCGATCGACAATTCATATGCTTTATGAGCTTTCTTTTGGGTTGTCGGCTGAAACGTTATTAATTGCATTTTTATAATCAAAACGTTTAACAATACAAGAATAATTGATCAAGAAAGAAAGAGAGAGAGAGAGAGAGAGACAGAGAGAGAGAGAGAGATACAGAGAGAGAGAGAGAGAGAGAGAGAGAGAGAGAGAGAGAGAGATAAACGGAAAAAGATTAGCAGTTTATAAATTAGACAACAGCCGCAGGTTGGTCGGTGTGCACGCGTGTGTGTTCTAGGACAAGAACCTCGTAGCGTCGATCTACGATGCCGTTTTCCCGACTGAAATAGCTACGCGCAAGCTTAGCACGTACATCTCTCTCTCACTCTCTCTCTCTCACTCTCTCTCTCTCTCTCTCTCTCTCTCTCTCTCTCTCTCTCTCTCTCTCTCTCTCTCTCTCTCTCTACGTGTGCTCTCATTAAAATAGACGTGTATACATATATATCGATCGTGTTCCACGTCTTCCTGTACTGTTTCCCTTCGCGGAGAATTTCTATAACTTTTAAAAAATTTTATGATTGCGAATCGGGAATTTCTTATATATCTACATGCTCGGCTATCTATCAAGGAAACTTAAGTCTGTCTGACTTACTAATAACATAGCCCGACATCCAAAGAAATCCAAAAGTATCCATAGTATATTTCCGAAGGTATTTGATGCACTGAATCTGAATCTGGCTTCAGAATCGGTCTACGTTAGGATATCTGAAGAACCTAACGTTCTTCAGATATCCTAACCCTAAAAGTGCAAAAATCACGATTATTTGCTATATTCGAGGTTATGTAACACTAAATAAATTTTCTTTTTTCAAAAACCAGTAAAACCGTTACGAAGCAGCACTTCTGCCTTTTTAACTCTATTTTTTGAAAGAATTTTTTTTTCATTGAGATATCACTTATTGATGTTAAGTATTTTAGCAATTTCGCAATAACATTAAAATCACAGGTTACATGGGCTGGGTGATAATGCAATGGGGGTTCAAGGGTCTGGGGTTATATGGTCGCAGCTTACAGGGGTCGTGAGTTATAGTAGTTGGGGTTCAAGGATGCGGATTATATAGTCACAGACATGGTTGGGGATTATAGCAATTAGAGTTTAAGGGTTTGGTGTATATGATCGCAAGTTACAGTAAAAACTGCTAAAGTACTCAACTTCAATCAATGATATCTCCAAAAAAAATAAGATAACTAATCCGAAAAATGGGTTTTTGAAGTTTTAACGTTACTTTCTTATGACCCAACCTGTATTTGGAAAAAAAATATATCCATGGTGGTACATAACCTCGAACATAACAAAATATTATGATTTTTGCACTTTTAGGTTAGAATATCTCCAGAGTCTTAGGTGACGGATCGAAAGTTAGATTCAGATTTAGCGTATCGAATACCTTCGGAAATATATATCTAGCGTATTTAGTTTTTTTCCATTTTTAAATTTTATCGGCCTCTGTAATTATACGAATCGATCGAATAAAGAAAAACGTCGAGCAAGACCAATCTCGTGGTAATTTTTCAGCGAGCGCCAGTTGGTCTGCGTTGCCGTGGCTCTGCAAAAATTTAGAAAGCTCAGTAACGCAGAATTGTATGCAGTTTGTTGTTATTTACACGGCACACGGCTAGGATCGATAATATGTGAGCCAAGGTCCCGCAGTTGCACACATGCAACAGCAGCCACAGCCAGAGAGTCTATTTTCGTAGCGCAACTGCAGTGTAAGAGAGTTGATCTGCTTTGAGCATTTGCAAGCGCCTGCGATGCCACGGCAGTAGCAGCGGCAGCAGCTAAGCCGCGATTTCCTGAATGGCAAGCTCAAACGTGCGACCGAGTTATTTGTTTAGCGCGCATATTTCGCGTCAGCCGCAACTGTGTTCGATAAAATCCTGTAGGTTTAACTCGTATCTTCATGAGAAACGATTACAATTGCACTCTATATTATCTCGTTGGATCGTTCGATCATGGAACTGACTATTATTATTGTACTATTATGGCATTCGATTTTCGTCTTATTAATCATGCACTAATGTTATGCCCCTATTATTTTTCTGTTACAGAACTGCCAGCTGAGGAGGGTAAGACATATCTCTAATCGAAAGTCTCATCTTGTAACCAACTAAGGCGACTGTCTAGAGAGTATATGCATTGATTTACGTGTATATACAAAGGTGTAATGTAATTATGAAGGGTGGTAGGCTGCAGTCCATGAGTACGTCGCAGCCGCAATACATATTTTTCTTTTTGCTCTATGACAAGCAAACCGAGGATAGATAATGACTGATTCGTACTTTGACTAGTTTATAAATTATAGGTCGTTGCACGCCCGCAAAGACACGTTTTTTATGTCTCCCGACAGAACGAATATAGATTAAATTATTAATCGAAACGACAAACAAAGGATATATAAGGTAGTATTCAACCCTCGTCAAATAGATTACTATTGATGACTTGTATGTCCGAGTAAGACGATAGAAGAAAAAATACGATGACGCGAAACAATGCGGCGAGGAGCCAAAGAGTACATGTATAGGGCTTCGCAACCAGTAGTTTTTCTCTTCTTTGTATTGCTCTAAGCGGCACTTATCGACCTGTTATTCTCTCTTTCTCTTTTTCTCTCGTTTTTTAAACAGAGAATGGATGGAATTGACTTGTGCTGGAAATAAAGTTGACGACGCGATAAAAAATATACATGTACTCGCGGCTTACTGATGGTTTGTCAGCTCATCGGAGAAGTCGGAGGACTGCTAATGTTTGTTCAGAGATCGTCAAGCTAAGCTTTTCTTGTTTTTGAGCTTCCGCTGACGTACGAGGGGCACGAAGTCTGGAGATGTTACTTTCGTTGGCGTTTCGCTTATACTGTCGACGATTCGGTGATACAAAAACCTACTTGTTATTTCACTGCCGAATTCGATACTTATCCAATTCGACTTTAAATTTGAAATCCCAAAAGTGAAATTGGAATATCAAAAAGCTATCCATGAATAAGGTAACCGCAGTCATTGCAAGTACACCTCGAGAGAATGAAAATGCCGGCAACGGGTGACCCGCGGTGAGAGGTTTTCTCTGAACAATTGAACTGTGAGCTGGTCAAATCGATAAAAGTCATCAAATTCTCCTTTTTTCTCTTCTATCTTTCGCATTGTATGCCTATATACGAAGCACGGAAGAAAATACGCCCAAGTAGGCCAAGTAAACTTTACACGTATATTCGGCACTCTCCCTCTCTTTCGCTATGCCAAGCGCTCCCATTTAACGTTGCGCACGAAAGCTCGAGTATAAAGCTTTTGATGTTGATATCGTTGCCGGCTCATCCTAAGGCTAATCTTGTATTATACATGTTTGCAGAGAGAAATGATGAATATTTCGTGTATGTTGATTTGCTTGGATTATTGTGGAAATCATCAAGTTGACGATTAAGTTTTATACTTTTTATACCACATAGCTTTCATCAATAATCGTTTTGAAGTTAGGCGAATTATTAACAACACAATCTATTTTGTAAGAATAAGTATAGGATTTCCTTTCTCGTGATAACATTTCTGAAAAAACAACTAGGTCGATTTCGACTCGTAGCTTAAGTGTAGCTCAGAAGGAAGGTCTCCTTTTACGAAAGTGAAGCACTTTGCATTGAATTTCGACCTCGTTTCGGGACAGAATTTCCGTTGGACTTCCAACAAAACTTGGGGAAAGAATGATCGTAGTAACTCGAGTACACAATTTATGGCGAGCCTTTAAAAAAACAATTCGCCCCAGGACAAAAAGTAATTAGAACTGAAAACTGAATGCCATTGAAAACTAATTCCAATTCCAAATGAAATTTACGAAACAATTCTGGCGCGTTTCTGGAGGACTTGCGCCTCATTCAACTGCAGCTCGAGCAGACAAGCGCCCGTGTCGCATTATTCGAATGGCGCAGAGTGGCGCTGAGAATTAAAAAAAGAAGAGAAGAGGAGGCGACTTGTGAGCGCCGCCGGCAAACTTTGTGTGCCATCATTAAACAGCAGCCCTCGCTTCTATATAGCTGCGTCACACAGGCGAGCATTTTTTAATGCCAAGCGCTCAATTCTCTCTTCTCAATTTTCATTGCTTCACACTCATATACACATTTCGCGAGTAGACTGGCTACATGTGTGTGTGTGTGTGTGTGTGTGTGTGTGTGTGTGTGTGTGTGTGTGTGTGTGTGTGTGTGTGTGTGTGTGTGTGTGTGTGTGTGTGTGTGTGTGTGTGTGTGTGTGTGTGTGTGTGTGTGTGTGTGTGTGTGTGTGTGTGTGTGTATGTATGTATGTATGTATGTATGTGCATTTTCCGTGGCCAATCATCTGCCGGTGGTTACTTGATTTCGTGCTTATTGGGCTTAACAGGCACGTGCGTGATTCGATTAATATACGCTAACGCGCTCGATTGATTTGCCGAATAGAGTAGTTGAACACTTTTTAATTACTAGATCAATTTGCAGGTTTGGTAGGGTTACATTTTTTTAAGAATAACTACTTTTCAAGAAAAAAAATGTTCGTTTCATTTGTTATTCAATCGGAAAAACAATGAGAGAATTGTCCCAAATTTTTTCCACGTACAAAAGAACATTTTCCTTTCTGTTGCTTCTGAAAAGAGTAGGATAAAAAGGCACGTACAAGTCCTCCAGATTCAACTCTCGGAAATATATATATTTCGGAATAATAGAAGAGATGTAGAAAGGCACGATGAAAAACGTATATCAATGCATATAACCTGGAGAATTGTTGTCGTACTTTTACTCAAAATCAATGGCTTTACAAATCGCTTGCTTTTGTTATTTCAGGAAAATCCATCTGGCAACTTGTACTGGAACAATTCGATGACCTCTTAGTTAAGATTCTTTTACTAGCTGCTATTATTTCTTTTGTAAGTAATTTAAACTTGATCACGGCAATCAAATAAAGGTAATTAGCGGGCTAATTTCTGAATCATATTATAGGTACTAGCCTTATTTGAGGAGCACGAAGATGCGTTCACAGCATTCGTCGAACCGTTCGTCATCCTGCTTATTCTCATCGCGAACGCGGTGGTTGGTGTGTGGCAGGAGCGCAATGCCGAGTCAGCCATCGAAGCGCTGAAAGAGTATGAGCCCGAGATGGGTAAGGTCGTGCGTGGCGACAAATCCGGTGTGCAACGGATCAGAGCCAAGGAGATCGTACCCGGTGACATCGTTGAGGTGTCCGTCGGTGACAAGATCCCCGCTGACATCCGTCTCACCAAAATCTTTTCGACCACCCTCAGGATCGATCAATCTATCCTTACCGGTGAATCTGTCTCTGTTATCAAGCACACCGACCCCGTGCCCGACCCACGTGCTGTCAACCAGGTGTGTTTTTATCTTATTATTTGCAAGAATAAGTTCAGGACTTTGTATAACGTTTATCAAAGTCAAATGAAAGTTTCAATTATAATTTACTACCTCATAAGGAAAAACTAAATTATAGACCTTTCCTAATGTCCTCGATAAGCTCAGTCATAAAGACGGTCTTTCTTTATTAATCGAATAAACAAAATTATAATAGTTTTTGAACCTTCACATTCTAAAGTCACAAAGTGTTACAAATAATGATAAATAAATATCATTTTAATTACAGGACAAGAAGAATATTCTGTTCTCTGGTACGAACGTAGCCGCGGGTAAAGCTCGTGGTGTTGTAATTGGCACTGGTCTCAATACCGCTATCGGTAAGATCCGTACTGAGATGTCGGAAACCGAGGAGATCAAGACACCCCTGCAGCAGAAATTGGACGAGTTTGGCGAACAACTTTCCAAAGTCATTTCCATCATCTGTGTCGCCGTATGGGCTATCAATATTGGCCATTTCAATGACCCAGCTCACGGTGGCTCCTGGATCAAGGGTGCCATCTACTACTTCAAGATCGCCGTCGCTCTGGCCGTCGCTGCCATTCCTGAGGGTCTGCCAGCCGTCATTACCACCTGTCTTGCTCTTGGTACGAGACGTATGGCTAAGAAGAACGCTATTGTCAGATCGTTGCCATCGGTAGAGACCCTTGGTTGTACCTCAGTTATCTGCTCTGACAAGACCGGTACATTGACCACCAACCAGATGTCAGTCAGCAGGATGTTCGTGTTCGAAAGGATCGAGGGCAATGACAGCGCGTTCCACGAGTTCGAGATCACCGGCTCCACCTACGAGCCAATTGGTGATGTATTCCTCAAGGGACAGAAAGTTCGCGGAGCCGAGTACGAGACGCTCCACGAGCTTGGCACTATCTGCATCATGTGCAACGACTCGGCCATTGACTTCAACGAATTCAAGCAGGCCTTTGAGAAGGTCGGCGAAGCTACCGAAACCGCTCTTATCGTTCTTGCTGAAAAAATCAATCCCTACGGAGTGTCTAAAACTGGCCTCGACCGCCGTACCACAGCTATCGCTGTCAGACAAGACATGGAATCCAAGTGGAAGAAGGAATTCACTCTTGAGTTTTCGCGTGATCGTAAATCTATGTCATCGTACTGCGTACCTCTCAAGCCAACCAAGATTGGAACTGGTCCCAAGCTCTTCGTCAAGGGTGCCCCAGAGGGTGTACTCGACAGGTTGGTATTATTTTTTTATTCCGAATTGACATGTTTTAACTGATAAATAATACAAAATATAATCTTCATTTGTACTATTTTCAGGTGTACACATGCTCGTATCGGCTCGCAGAAATTCCCTTTGACAACTGTTCTGAAGAACCGCATCCTCGACCTCACTCGCCAGTACGGTACTGGTCGCGATACACTCCGTTGCCTGGCTCTTGCCACGGCCGATCACCCAATGAAGCCCGACGACATGGATCTAGGAGACTCTACCAAATTCTACCTGTACGAAAAGGACCTTACTTTCGTGGGCGTCGTCGGTATGTTGGACCCACCACGTAAGGAAGTCTTCGACTCTATCGTTCAGTGCCGTGCTGCTGGTATCCGTGTAATCGTCATTACTGGCGACAACAAGGCTACCGCTGAAGCTATCTGCAGAAGAATCGGCGTCTTTGGCGAAGATGAAGATACCACTGGCAAATCTTACTCTGGTCGCGAGTTCGATGACCTGTCCATCTCGGAACAAAGAGCCGCTTGCGCTAGGGCTAGATTGTTTTCGCGTGTCGAGCCTGCCCACAAATCCAAGATTGTTGAGTACTTGCAAAGCATGAATGAGATCTCTGCTATGACTGGTGACGGTGTCAATGATGCACCAGCTCTAAAGAAGGCCGAAATTGGTATTGCCATGGGCTCTGGTACCGCTGTAGCTAAGTCTGCTGCCGAGATGGTGTTAGCCGACGACAATTTCTCATCTATCGTCGCTGCTGTTGAAGAGGGCCGTGCCATTTACAACAACATGAAACAATTCATCCGTTACCTCATCTCTTCCAACATTGGTGAAGTCGTCAGTATTTTCTTGACTGCTGCCCTTGGTCTTCCTGAGGCTTTGATCCCTGTTCAGCTTTTGTGGGTTAACTTGGTCACTGATGGTCTTCCAGCTACTGCTTTGGGTTTTAATCCTCCTGACTTGGACATCATGCAAAAGGTGAGTTGCACTTTACACAAGCACTGATTTTTGCAACAGAGAGCGAATAACATAGTTTTTTTTTCGTTGATATAGCCACCACGTAAAGCGGACGAGTCTCTGATTTCTGGATGGCTTTTCTTCCGTTACTTGGCTATTGGTGGATACGTCGGCGCTGCTACCGTTGGATCTGCTGCCTGGTGGTTCCTCTACAGTCCTAATGGACCTCAAATGAACTACTACCAGCTAGTAAGTTTTATTTTTTCTACTTGTCATAATTTTCAATTTTGTTGTCGATGGAGAAGTTTCTAAATTTTTTTCATGGGACTTTAGACTCATCACTTGGCTTGCATCGGAGGAGGAGAAGAATTCAAAGGGCTTGACTGCAAGGTTTTCAATGACCCTCACCCTATGACCATGGCTTTATCTGTTCTTGTCACCATTGAAATGTTGAACGCTATGAACAGGTTTCTTTTTTGAACTTTAGCTTGTGTTTTACGGCCATTCAGGTTGTAACATTTTTTAAACACGGTATTAATAACATAATGTTAATCACAGCTTGTCTGAGAACCAATCGCTCATCACCATGCCACCATGGTCCAACTTGTGGCTCATTGGTTCAATGGCACTTTCTTTCACACTCCACTTCGTCATTCTCCACGTAGATGTTCTTTCGGTAAGTGAAAAATTTATTTCCAATTTCATTATATTCGTAATTGTTATTCACTAAAGCAGTTCAACAAATCTCTTCTCTATAATAAATTATATATCAGAAAACTAGTGGTGATAATTCGGGAAAAATATTTTAAGCAAATTTGATTTTAAGTAATAACGCAATTTTTTAACAATTTTTTTTACAGTCCGTATTCCAAGTGACTCCCTTGACTGCGGAAGAGTGGGTTACTGTAATGAAGTTTTCGATTCCAGTGGTACTTCTTGACGAAACCTTGAAGTTCACTGCCAGAAAGATCGCTGACGGTATGAACCCACTATACACCGTTCACTGGATTGTTCTAATGTGGGCTGTGTTTTTTGGACTCTTGTTGTGGGGGCCCATATAGATAATCCATTGGGTGTTATATTAGCGTAAATGAAAGATGCCTTTCTCAAGAAAGCCAAGCACACCGCCTTGGACTTGCAGTTGCATTTAACTAAAAAAAGAGCAAAAAAGTAATAATTAAGCATAGCTTTTCCTCTACGAGGGAAAGCTAAGTGACATGAATTAACTAAAAACAGTGTGTCTAAGTGAGATTTGAATTACTTTGACTGTTGCGCATGGTGTTTGACGGGGGCAACTAGAGAAAACTCGGATAAAAAGGATTAAACAAATAATGATTTTGTAGTTGAAGATCGACCGTATCTGCACCGCACCGTATTTGATAACAAAAAAAGGAAACATCACTGTATTGTTATGCTAATTTTTTAGTGACGCTTATTTTTTTCTTTTTTTTTTCATTGGATTTGATTTGATCCGGTGTTTAAACAAGACTTACGATCATATTGTTTCGTACAAGTGCCTTTCAAAATATTAACGTTCTTTCTGCGAGGCAATAATCTTGTTTATCCGGACGCCAAATATTATTCCCAATTAACGCTAGCTCTATTTCTTCAACTGCAAGCTTACTTTTTTCCTTCTTAATGCTTTGTGCAGGCTCAGAAATTATAATGATATAAGAATAATTGCATATGTACATCTTATGCACTAATGAAAATCTCTAGCCTCTTTTTTGATCGATCGACACTTTGATCACTTGTTAAATAGACGTAAGAACTTACGTTTTCGAGCATCCTTTTTTCGTATCCTTACAACTGTTTATTTATATTTTTATTCCGGACGTACAACGTTATCACAGCATACGGTGATGGACTCTCAAAGTAAACGTTCCTTTCCACAAATTCATTGGTTTAAAGAAAGTGTCATTTTTTGACCCGATTGTATAATAGTATGTTATGTCAAAGTATATTCATTTTACAACACGGAATTGTAGATTAAATAATTAAATTTTAGAATTTTTAATTTGCAGAAACGGTTGGATATAGTTCATTTATATTCATTCTATGCGTGTGTAATGAAGGAAATAACTAGACTTTTTTTAAATAATATTCAATTGTACATAATAATATAGGAATAGAGTATTTGCTGTAAATTTAAGCTTGGAAAAAATAGCGAACTTGTTATTCACTTTTCGTGCAAATAAAACGATTTCACATTGATCTCGTACTGAGAACATGTTCGTGAAATAAACACGGTGACAAATGTGTCGAATTAAAAAAGAACATCCTTGAACATGAAAAAAAGAAATTAAGTAAAATAGCCTTCATTCACAATAGTTCATTCACTCTCAAATACAATATCTATGCAATCTTTTATGCTCATGTCTTTGTGATGTATCTACCCAACTATTGATGTTCTTTGCTTGATATTTGTTATTGAAATACATTATCCAAATACCTATTCGCTTTCTGTCCCCTCGCTTTATATATTATACTGTTTTTTCTTTGTCATTTCTTTTTTCCATAATTTGTAAAACAGCTTATCAAATAATATTAGCTAAAAAAATTAGTGTGATCGTGTATGAAGGCTGAATGCGAAAAAGTCAAACTTCACTGCACCAACAAAATATTGCAAGCTATAATTGAACATTATCGAATTTCTTTGCTCAAGAGAAGAAAAAACAGACTTGCATGCGTCTTCCATTTTTTTATGAAGCGCTATGTACTCAATACTTAAGCTCGAAATTCAATTAACATTGACACCTTAAATAAATTTCGAAGTAGATGACTCTGTTCATTGATGATTATTTTCATTTTTTTTTTATAGTGAAACTAATGGAACAACACGTATGCGTGCAATGTTTTTCGTTTTTTTTTAAATAATGAAATTGTAAGAAAAACATTGCACATCATTTGATTATTTGAAGTACAATAATAGTACATAATAAATTTGTAATGTAAATAAAGGAAAAATTTAGGTGCCGATGCCTGCTTTTTGCACTTAATACGCAGCACTTTCATATACTAAGTGTGTTCGTTTTTATCTTAATAGCCCTTGCAACCTGGACGAAAGACTTTAGCTTGTCAACGAATCATTGTAATATTTTTTGTTATTTGATTTATTTATTTCTCCAATAATCGTGTGGGAATCTTATGCGACTATGCACACATGTGAATCCTGAACAGCGAAAGATTGATTAATGAGTGAAAGATGACTGAACAATGCTGTTCAATGAATACAAAGAGGAAGTCAGGATCAGTCAACTAAATTTAATATCTTGGATATTTGTTGTCAAAACATCGAAAAGAGTGGTGAAATTTTCAAATGAAAAATTTTTTACGCCTTAAGATTGTGTTATTCAAGACACAAATGTTTGGTTGCCTGAATCTTGAGATCACAAAAATGGGAACGAAAGATCATCAAAAATCCTAAGGCTGTTTTTAAAGTGTAAGTACTTTTAACAAGGCTTGCATTAATCATGCGTTGCAACATGTTGAACCATTAAAAACCCGTGTGTGTGCGCGTTTGTATACTGCATTTGTATCGCGATTCTCCTTAGAGAACTTTAATTATCGTATATGTTTTTATCTTCAATTAATGCTGTTATACAGAAGTTTATACAAGTGTAGATTTATGTAACGAGGGACAGAGCATCGACCGGTCATAAAAAAATATTGAGATATAAAGCGCGTGCCATTCACGGGCGAAATACATAAGATGTGTAGAAAAAGAAAGGAGTGCAAACTGATTACTGACGCGGAATAAAACTAAAACTTAGTTTGGCGCTGCAGTGTGTTTTACGGGATCATGCACTAAATATAAATAAATAACTATATAATTAACAATAATTTTACAGTACGATTATTAATTTATTCAATAAAGTAAATAATGACTTAAGTAAAGCAAAATGAGATGTGCGCGCACGTGCCAGGCATCACGCTAATACTTTGTTGTTGATGTGATATATACCAAGGATTTGTAGCGTGATGGCGTTGTCCAGGGCTTGGAGGTAAACATTTTGTTTCCTTGAAAAAAGCTATAAAATAGCCATCGTTCATATCCTAACGATTTTACTATACTATTTAACAGAGTTTTTTCATAGTTGGAAATTGCACACTATCTATAACAGCTAATAAGTGGGTCTATAGTAGCGCTAAAGTATTTGTAAGGATCGGATTTTTAATGTGATTATTGCATATACATATATTTCTTAATGAATGACTAACACACACACACACATACGACTGGCGAGTTTTATTTATGATATGCAATAGTACCGCATGTTCAATATTGTTTGCGTAGAATTCCAGATTTTTTTTAGATTATTTAACTTTAATGAAGCATAGCCTTCATTATACAAGTAAATAAGAGAGAAAAATAAAAAACAATCTTATATCAAAAGCAGATATTAACGAAGTACATAACGTAGCAGGCAATCGACTAATATTGTATATAGAACGTTTTACTATACAAACTTTCTTATGTAACAGTTTTAACGAGTAAAAAATTTTTAATATATACATATATATATATATATATATACACACACATACATACGTACATACATACATACTACACTGATAGCGTTACGAAGTTCAAAAAAAGAAGTGATCTTCGAGTCCTGGAGTAGGCGCGTAGTTATATAATTATAATTAAAAGAATCTCGACCTTTTTTGTGCCGTAGAGCGTGCGCAAATATGAACAACAAAAGAAAAATATATAACGAGCCCGCGCGCGGAATATGCTCGTTCGCTCCGGCATATACATGGCGCGATCGTCATGCGTTTTTAAGTTCCATTTATTATTGTTATTGTAATGCAGTGTAGATTATACGATACGAGCTATATCTTGTCAAGGGGCCGTGGAGTCAAACGAGAAAAGAAAAGCAATTTTTTTTCTTTTTGTATCGCTGATCGTCCCCGTCCCTTAACCAACGATTATTATTCTAGATCCGTTTGAAGTATGACTCTGCGCATCCAATTTATGTTTCAAGTTTGAAAGATCTTCATTCTGTATTACCTCAGGTAATGCAAGATGCGATGTACATGTGTGTCGAGCAACGACGATAGATCACAGTCATACTTTCAAATAGGAGTTAAACATTGTCGACGAAGAAAACTTATGTGTGAATTTTTATAATTGATTTTTAAGATCTTGGCTGTTCTTTTTTTCTCGAATATATTTCGTTGCGAGGTATTATAACAAGTAAAGCTTCTAATAATGCGTAAATAGATGTCGAGCTCATCACTGTGACGATGATGTTGACGATTATGTAGTGAGCGTTTGAAAGGAGTGAATAACTGAACAAAAACAAAATAACAACTTATTATTTGACTATACTTGTTATAATAATAAAGTGAAAAATACATACAAAGTAAAAAACAAACACATGTGTTACTAATATATATTTTTTCATTTTTTCTTTATTTTCAATATGATCGGCCTACTAATGATCAGTGATTAACAAAATGTTGAAACTTAATGACTATTGGACGTATGATAATTTATCCAAGTGTTACTTGTTATCCTATTGTCGTGCCCTACTATCCTTAAACATAAAAACGAACAAAAATACATCTCTCTTCAATTATACTTGTCATCAAATTTCATTTCTACGACGATTTGCGTATGCATCTGTAAAATAATTTCTTCTTAAGTGTTACCTTAGTCATTGTTCCCTTGTTAATCCTTTAGTTCCTTTTTTGATATAATCTACCACGATCGTTACATTACAGTTCTAAGAAATACAGTAAGTTACAAAAAAATAAAGCACAGAAATTTAAGTATAAAAATACATAAATTAAATTTTTTTATTGTTTGGAATCGTTGGCTTATTGCCGGTGTCTTCATTATCAAAACATACGAGATAAATTGTACTGATCAGCTCATATATGCACTTTATAATCAAATGGGTATTGGACAATAAAGTTTCTCAAGTACACGCTCATTATTTCATCTGTTTATATACATACATTTTTGTTGCTTTGATTTTACTTTTTTCAGTATCATTTTTGCTTTATTTTTCAAATTTATAAGTTGTTATTATAACATTCAATGCTTCAATTTTCTCATTTTTTTTCTTACTTTTTTATATTTACATCAAGATATTGTAAATTTCTATGTCAAATTATCAAAAATTCATTTTCAAGTATAAAAACTTTTGGGCATGGTCCCTCTTGAACTGTAGACAACGCATCTGAGTGTCTCGCCATACAGGACCCGGAATGAACAACTCTATAACGTCCAAAAACTGTTACCTTATTGTTCTATAATTGTACCTTCATCGATCTTGGACTTCACAAAGCTATTTTTCTTTCACCTAATCCTTGCCTGCTGAGTGGTTTGATCAATAATCATTGTGCAACAAATTACTTTTCTAACTATAGAATCAATTGGTGTACTTGATCAAAATTTATCAAAGGTATAGTATGTCACAAACGATAAGATCCTGATGTAAATTATCTACTTGTGCCACAGTTTTTTTTTCAAGATCGTCCAAGAAAAAATCTAAAGCAGAGCATAAAATATAAATCAACTTGTCAACATACCTTCATCTCATTTTCATGATTATCATCAGTGTGAAAACGAGGCTATAAATTTTCATATTTTCCGAAGCGAAAGAAAATATAAGGATATATAAAATACGACGTTACTTGCTGCTTGCGAGTGTGAAACTTTACAACAGAGAGAACATAGCCTAGCTACTTTGATCTGAATCTTTTATCTTCTAGCTTGTAAAAAACTTGTTTTAGCCTGCGCCTGAAAACTTTTGCTCTCTCCTGTACTGAACAAGAAAGTATCGCTTCAATACTAACATTTACGCTGAGTTTTCGATTTTGAGCTTATCTACTTTTTGTTTTGAAAAATTGAATAAGTTTCTTCTGGTTTTTGTCTGCAGTCCTGAAAGCGTTTTTGTGCACAATATAATATTGTACTCAGCGTGCAATTTATGGTATTACTTTGATAAGAGTGGACGTACTTCCTTAAACATAAAAAACTTTGTGCTGATAAGATAGCGATTTTTGTGGGAAAAATTTTTATAACGTCAAAGCAATCGAAATTGAAAAAATGCACCTGCGTCAACGGATATGATCGGTTATGAAAAGAATGACCGACTAATAGCAAATGACCGCATGGCTTTACACTTCCTTAGCACGCGTAGCAATGAAATCTGAACTAAACTCGTTCTTTCTCCCTTACTTCATCTCGCTCTCTTCTCCTTTTCTCTGCGCTTCTGCTGATGCCGCTGCTACTGGGCTTCTGGACTTGCAGCCGCTGCCTCAAATCTAAGGCCAAAGCCAGTCGGCCTACCGAGTAGTAGTGTAAACCCTGGTTGTTCTGTGTGGTTTCAGTGCCAGCCCAAGTGAAGCCGATGCAGTAAAGGAAGCAGCCCAAGCGTCGGTGTCCCAATCCTACTCCGACTCGACAAAAATCAAAAGCAAAAATAATTTATTGAGGCAGAAGCTGCGCAGAGAATAAGAAAAAACCTAATAATAAAGCAAAAGAGAGAGAACGAGATACACGCTCGAGGCAAAAGAAAAGATAAAAAAAATTGTGCACGTGTGTGAAATGAGACGATTGCGACGACTGCGAGAATGACGGGAGAATGAGCGAGAGATTGAGATGTGCGAGAGCAATGCTGCTCGCTCGTCAATTCTAGTAGCCTAGTCCCTCCCGCCCCGAAAACCCCTCCCCCTCGTTTTATTGACTTTTTTCTTTTGTACCCAATCCTTACAAATAGGCTGTGCACTGGGAGCGAGAGAGAAAGAGAGTATACGTGTGTGTGCGTGAGAGAGAGGTAGATGAAGAAAGAGTCCCCGAGCTTTCAACATTATCATTTTTTTGTGTGTCGAATGGCGAGCTTAGCGGCGAACGTAATATAGATATATGTAAAATATGACATTGTTGGGAAATTTGCCGGGTAAGTTCGCCTCGAACTCGGGACTCGGATTGTGTTTGATCTGCGAACCCTCGCAGTGCACGGGACAATTATTATTATTATTTTTTTCTTTGGTTGATATTGATGACGATTGGTTTCAATATATATTCGCGATAGGTATGCCAAAAAAGTGCCTTGTAGAACTGAAGTTTCCAACGCACACACGAACTTTAGGGAAAAAGGCCTCATTGACTATTATATATCAGTGATTGTTGTTTTGTTGGAAATTTTTATGTTTGCGGTGTCCATATTTTAAAAGGCACTGCTTGTAGGCAACGCGGCCTTGTTTTTTGATCGCGATACTTTCTTTCTTTCTTTTTTCAAAAAAAAATATCTCGTAAGTTCGGATGAGAAAAACGTAGAAAATACGTTCGCGACTAGGATCTGTTGTTTTTTTTCGACGCTCCGCGAGCATACTATAAATAGAGAACAAGTCGGCGTGCGACTTAATGTTTTAATCATGTAAAATAGTTACACACATATATATATACATATATATATATGTGCGAGGCTAGAGTATATAGCTCTTTTGTTTATACTCTTTGGATGAGAAAACGTTTTGAAAAGTATATCCACGAGAACATCGAACACGCAAAAAATATTTGGCAAAACATTGGACTGTGAAGAACTTTAGCGATAATAGCAGAAAACATTGTAAAGCATCAGTTTGATTTTTAAACTGTGTAAATAAATAAGTGAGAGTAAAAATATACGGACGAAAAAACGAAAGAAAATAGAATTAACTTTCGAACTCCCTCAGTGAGGCCTTTTACCAAGGTAAATTTCCTAAATGATGCTCAAGTGTAGGTGTGGCCCTGCAAAGTGTCCTTATGTCGAGACACGTTGGTGTGCCCTTCTAAGGTGCAAAGCAAAAGTAGCTGAGCAAGCCCTAAGGATTACGGAGTTGCAGTGCGCGAACGAATGGAAGCAGAGAAGACAATAGCGCCTATCCTCTGTCGATGTGCTTGCGACCCAGTACCTTCCCCAGGCCAAGTAGATGTGTGTCCCTTGGCGAGCTCGCCTCTGCCAATCTGACTCCCGTCTAATTGTTGTTGCAGTGGGCGACGAGGTGCACCAGTGGAGCTAAAGCAAAGCAAAACCGAACCAATCACGAACGAATAACGCGCCGATCAGAGACAGAGAGACAAACTTTGAGGGCCTCGCACCTCCGGAGCCGCGGCTACGATTATAGATAGAGAAAGAGAGAGAGAGAGAGTTACGTGACTAAAGCTACTGTTATCAATCGTATAACGACCCGTGGCTGCTATATACCCGAACAGCGAGACTCACACCTAACCGTCGATGATTTTTCAGAAAAGGATAAAACAAGAAAGTAATCAATTTTAACAAATTCTAATCCATATACCCTTTTATATAGTCTATTTATCTTTGCCAAATAAATAAGACGCATGACAGTCAAATCATTTTTAATACTTCGTACATTAAACGAGTTAATGTTTATATATAGAAAAATTTTTAAGGGATACACTTTTCATTGGCTTTTATCAGTAGTTGGAATAATTGTACATATCAACATATAAATACGATGTATAAATAACTTTTTCTCCAGACTAACAAGTATGGAATCCCCCGTATTGCGGGTGTACTTAACAGTTCAAAAACCTCTTATCACACTAATCCATTTTTGTTCTATTTAACTATCTGGGTAACATTACCTGCAATGATTCACCTTTACCTATAAAATTAATATCCTCTCCGAACTTGTTCGATTTACTTCAAAATAATTCCTTTTAATTCCCCCCTTTGCTCTCTCTTTTTCTTTTCTTTTTTTCGTTTATTGGATAATACCAATTTATTACATATTTTTCAAGTAGTCATTTTTACTATTCAAGCCCTGATACATATTTTATTTAGGTCTCTCCAACTCGATATTTTTATATATATTAATCGAACCGATTACTATTGATCTTCATTATTTTTATTATCTAATAAAATCTATTGACCATGAAAAATTAATGTTACATTTGAGAAATAATAAAGTGCAAGGCGAACTTTTCCACATTCTGTTTTTATTTTTCTTTTCTTCCTCTTTTCTTCTTACTCACTTCTTTAGCATATAATCATAACACTAAATACGTCCGTTAATAGTATAAACGTGATAAAAAAAAATTTAAAAGCCCATGGACCTAATGATTCTATTTTCTGAAATTGATCATTTCACATTTATTTTTTATTCTTTTGAACACGTATCAAAACTGAAAGCGCAATAATTTATCGGATATTTTACTGATAACTTTTTGTTTATTTAAAGTATTGCATTCAAACAACGCTTGGTCCATGCACAATAACCATTTCAATATATTATTGTAGTAGTTTATGAATTAAAAGATTTCACTTAAAGTTAATGTGTATTGATAAATAATCTTTTAAGAAATTGAATTCATCTTCATATTCTGATGTAATTCTAAAATAAATTTAGGTAATCGTAGATATAAGCACAAAAGTCCAAACAAATATTGACGTTATTAACATGATTCATGCGTCATCTTTATCGCGGTTTTATTGCAACTGCATTGTACATAAATGAATTATGTGATTATATAGTAAACAAAAAATAATATATAAATGATAATATATATTTTTTTAAAGACCAATAGCCAGTGAAATACAATATTCACGTCGGGTATTGAGTTACATCTTATAAAAATCTAATTGTATGATTGCAGAGTTCTAGTATTGTTACTATAAAGTTGTTATTAAAACTACAATAAAAATAATGTTGTTTCACAGAGTATTAATTTGAACGTAGTGGATTTTCATTTCGGTTATCACTTCACTTAAGGTGAAAATGCGAAAGAATGAAGATTATAGAATTAAATTTGATTTCATAATTTATTTAACAGTTTTTCACAAAAATTAAAATAGTCTTGTTTCGATTTTCATTAGAATAATGATTGTTATCTTGTTTGAAATATGTTTTAAGAATTTATCAATCGTGTAAATCTTAGCAATACAAAAACGTTATCAAAATAATAAAAGTGATGTACTTAAGTACGTGCATTATTCCTCTTCTATAAAAATTTGTATATTGTACATTGTCATAGAATTTGGGATTTTGATTTACAAATTTCTGTAGTTGGAATCTTTTATAATGTAAGTATTTTTAATGTTAAACAATAATAAAAAAAATCGAAAACTAACTTGTTGAAATTTAATTTACCAATCGGAAACAGTTATTCTACAATTCAATGTACATAAAATTTTCCATAGCAATCTCAAGTATGGATTCTTTTGTTTTTGTTTGATGTTCTATTGAGCAATCATCTTTTCTAATCACCAACAAATGATATTGCTGTAGACATTGCAACATATTTATAGATCAAGAATTCTGATTTGGCACATTAACATGTACAAAAGTCATGTTGCAATGTTTTTCCTGTGAGTTTTAAACAGTTCCTCATAAGGTATATTGTAGCAAGTATTGTTATATGTTATAATGAGCCTGAAGGTAACCTTACATTCGGCAACTGAAATAATGGACAGATAACATGTAAGTAAGGATCATTGCATGGTTTAGCAAACTTCGCCATGAGAAAGATTTAATGACTCAAAGAATATTTCAAGAATAATAATTGGCGCTGATTGAGCAGTGAGAAAAAGATCGAAACAGCGAAGTACACCCACCTGTGATAAACAATGATGGACTGCCTACCGCTGGCCTAGATTTTTGATATTACGATTTGATAAGATGAGTCGACTTGTTGACATATTGGAAGACTGAAATAATGCTTTGATATAAATAAGAATAATGCTACTTGCAGTAATTCACGAATCCTGACTTTAATGTAATTCAATTATAAAATTTTGAAGCAATTCAGATGAATAATTAGAATCTAATGTATATGAAAAAAACTTGATATTTTGCAAAACTGCTAAACTCTAAAAATTGCTTATTAAACATAAATAAAAAGTTTCTTAGTACAAAGGTATCTTAGGTTTATGCCATGCCTGCATCTATGATATAATTAATGACTTCACGGTATAGATAAGATAAAAAGCTTTTGACGGAATGCTCAACGACCGATCGATCAGTTTCCTTTCTGGAGACCACCACGCGAAGCAGTGTAGTGACAATATATAATTCAGAAAGCATATCGATAATCAAAATGACGATTACGTAGAAAAGTTGCCAGTGATGCGAAGCTAATACATTCGCGTACTATCTCGAAAAAGGCTTCATAAAAAGTAAATAATCAGCGGCGACTCATCGCAGTCCGTGAAGTGCTTTTACATTCGGAGTTCATTTTTCTTTCAATTTCCATCGTTCGCGAACGCGAAAAAAAAAATGATATCGCGTAATCGACAATAGAAACAATACGTAATGCTGAATTAATCAAAGAAATGAAGTTTCTCTTTTGTAAAAAGTTTACCCACGTAAGTCTCGATCTAACTGAACCTCAAGAATATAAGTCAACTGAACAAGTTTATCGTCGGCTTTCTCGTGTTCGAAAACGTAAAATTATAAACGTACCTGCTGCAGCGGATTACAACAATTCGTCACCACCGCCAATATACTTTAAGACTTTAACGTGAGCAGCCTACGTGCTTCAAATTATTCCAATTAGCAATCTTCAAATTAAATTTCATCATATTATTTTGATGCGATATTTTCAAATACATTATTTAGATTTCAGTCTGAATTGTTTACAAGCTCTTACGATGAAATTTTTCTAAACTAGCGATTTCTTAACGAATTAATTGCAGTGCCAGAAAGAAAATCAAAGATGCAATTTGCAAGAATGAGTTTCTACAGAATTTTGACGATGCTCACATTGACGCTTTTGTATCCGCCATGTACTTGAAAGAAATTGCACCGAATACTCGTCTTATTCAAGAGGGTGATATAGGTAATGTAAAACTATGATGAGAAAAATTCAAAGTTCCGGAATATAAATCTAAACGAAATAGTTGATAGAGCTTTTATTATTATAATTAAATTGTATGTCTAATTGGATAAAAAAATTTAACAGCCTAATTTTTAAATATTCAATTTCAAAGTAAAAATACACGTTATTGATGAGCAATATCTATTGGCATACGCAGGTTATCATTTGTATGTTTCCGAAAAAGGAATATTCGAGGTCTATCAAGGACCAACTTATGAAAGTAGCTTTGGACCTGGTGTAGCATTTGGTGAATTAGCTTTATTGTATAACACAAATAGACTACGATCTGTAGACGGTTTGTCGAATTGTATATTTTTTAAATTATTTTTATTCTATTAGTAGAGTGAATTCAATAAGAATGTTTTGCAGTGAAACGTGGAGGACAAGTTTGGGCTCTAGATCGAAGTGCTTTTCAAGCGGTTGTAGCAAGGGAAGACGAATCAACGACGAGTGATACCATCGAATGTCTTCGACGTCTTAGCTTATTTAGAACTATTCCTAATCATGTATTAGTCAAAGTCAGCAAACTGATCCAAGTTGTAAGTGCGATTGCCCCGAACAAGTATTTCAAAAAATAACAGGTTATCAAATAATATGTAATTTTCTCAGGAATTTTTTCAAAGCAACGCGCAAATCATTAGGCAGGGGAAAAAGGCAACGAAATTTTACATCATTAACGGAGGTTCTGTGCGATTAACTAAGTGTAAACGACAGGATGAGGAGGAAAGCATTGGTATTCTTAGAAAAGGAGATTATTTTGGAAAAGAAGCTTTTTCCAATGACCAACAAAGTGTTTATGAGCTGAGTGCAGTAGCTATGAATAGTGGAGTTGAATGTTTCAGTATTGACACCAGGTAATAGTACATTACGATACAAGTGCGGAAAAGTAGATTCTTGTCTCGTATGACGTTTACACCCGAGCGAAGCGAGGATGGAAAGGTACACGAGACGAGAAACTCTTTCCCGAACATGTGCCGTACCGTATTTTTTGTTACGACACGTGGAAAGTGCGATTTCCAACGCACGTTTTCTGTCGAACATGCGGGAAAGACGCACTTTGCGCACGGAGTGTCGAAAAATTACTTTTGCAAAGTACCAGGCATTCATATGACGCTAGTTAGTGTTGAATTCACATTACTGTTTGTAACTGACAGTGAACTACTGCGTTGCCTCGGGAGTTTGGAACTTTTGAGAAAAGACAAATCGATCATTGACTTTATAATCAATACTTTGGATTCGCGTAGTTCAGAGTGGGAAGAACAATATGCTAGTCTATCATTAAACGACACCGAAGTCAAAGATACTATCGGAGTTGGTGGATTTGGTAAGGTGGAGCTTGTTACGATCAAATCAATTCCAGACAAGAGTTTTGCGCGCAAAAAAATTAAGAAAATCAAAGCCGTACAGTGGGAATGCGAAGACTACATTATCAACGAGAAGAAAATCATGAAGTTCTGCAACTCACCGTTCATTTGCAAGTAAGAGAATACAATGGTTTACACTTAAATATAATAACCTCCGTGGCTGAAATGGCATGAAATTGCTTACAATTGGAACTTTTAAAATGGTTTGTCTTATTTTAAAAAAATTATTAAATAAATATAATTAGATACTTATCGCTAGGTTGCATCGAACCTTCAAAGATAACAAGTACGTGTACTTCTTAATGGAAGCATGCTTGGGAGGTGATCTATGCACTTACATCGCGAAGAACGGAGCGTTCGACAATACGTCAGCAAAATTCGTCATAGCATGCGTCGTCGAGGCGATTGCTTATCTACATCGTTATGGGATAGTGTGCCGGGACCTCAAACCAGATAACATTATGATTGATAACAGTGGATATGTCAAGCTCGTTAGTTTCCATTCTTTTCTCTATTTTAGTGACATTTCTTTGTATTTGTTACCTTCTAAAATATTCTAATCTAGTCGTGCGTTTTCACCACTGATCCAGTGATCGCACTTATTTTTTATTAACAATTTTTTGCAGACGGACTTTGGATCTAGCAAAATTATAGGTTTGGAAAGAACAAGGAGTTTTGTAGGCACTCCGGAATATATAGCACCGGAAATCATCTTTAATAAACCTTACGACAGGTATTTTAAGAATCATATCAAGCAATCAAATATTACCACCTGAACTTAAAGTTTTGTTGTTATTTTTGAATGTTCAGAGCAGTTGATTATTGGTCACTTGGTATTGTACTTCACGAGTTACTTTTAGCTCGTCCGCCTTTTCAAGATTCAGATCTCCTATCGTTGTATAGTAAAATTATCAAAGGCATGGATACCATTGGAATTTATGGAAATCTGAAAAAGCACGCAGAGAATCTCATTCGGGCCTTGCTCCGCACAGATCCGATGGAAAGGCTTGGAAACTTGAAAGGAGGCATTGGAGATATTCGTTCGCACAAGTAATTTCTCAAATTTTCCGTTAGATCTTTGATAAAACTTTCTTACAATTACAGTACCTTTTTTTAATTGGTTATTTTTTTATAATACAGATGGTTTGGACCGTTTGATTGGGAAGCTTTGCAAAACCTAACTATGATGTCTCCTGTGATACCTAAGGTAATATTTTTAACATAAAATATTCAGTGGATTTTTATTACTATAGTATACGTCTAAATTTTTAATAAAATTAATTAATGTCACATATATTGCATCGTCATTTCAGTTACGAAATTATTTAGATACGAAGTATTTCGAGAGGTTTTTGCCTGAAAGAGAAAATCCAGAAGCTGAATTTTCTGGTTGGGATCAAGAATTTTGAAGACCTGTTGATCACAAAATGAAGTATCGTTACCTGTTAGAAAACTTTTTTATACGCCTTCTAGATATACATGTGAAATGTAGAATTTAAATAATTTCAATGCAAAAAATTATTCTTCATTGATAGTTTAATCATTCAAGTATGATTATTCTCAAGTCTTGAAGGTTCCCAAGAAATAAATCATACAATGAAAAAATATATATTCTAAAATTTACTATTGAATTATTCATTATTTCATCTTAATTCGTGCCTTTAATTACGATCGAATAATTATTGCTGTTCATTTGTAAATTGAACTTAATAACATGTACGTATGTGTATCTATTACGAGAAAGTTCCCGCCAATAGTACCGAGAAAAAATGCTTGTCACTAAACTTGTCCGTTTTGACGACGGTCAGAAATCGTAGGCGCGGGGGTGGGGAAGAACGTGGAACGACGCAAGAGAGTACACAAATACATGCGTACACGACACACGTATGAAACGAGAAAAACAAGTATGAGCCACGAACACACGCTAATCGTTACATACACTGATGGGAGTCGAGAGGCAAACACTGAAACACCAACGTTCGGGCATTATTATCACGTCGCGTGAGGGCGCAGCGTGTGCGTACTGTCGCGTGTTGGTCGTTGCGGAGCTGAAAATCGGTGAGTGCGAGCCCAAGCTTTGAAGCTTAGCATAGCCGAGTTCTCTCGCTCGCTCCGTCTCTGTCTTGCTCGGAAAAGATAGTATGTGCACCGAGGTAATGGTGGAGGCACAAGAGAGCTAACAGCAACAGCATTTTACGCATCCCGCGCACCAGAGCTGGCAAATGGCGGGTGACAGCAGTGCTCGCGTGAACGAGGAGCGCGTTCGCCAAAAGTTCACGTTTAGCCTAGACAACTTTCCGGCTTGACTTAGTACTTCACCTTTGACCACATTACTCCTCTGCTCCATCTTGACCTGTGTGTCAGAAGAGCTTTACTATTCGACTCGTGCAGTACACCAATAGTAGAGTAGTAGTAAGTCTGACGAAGATAGTAGGATTGTGCGCGCTACCTCTTACACTGTCGCGCGCGCAAGATAATTGATATAACCTACAAAAATACGTACCCCGTTCCTCGAGAAAGAGAAGACAAGTGTCGAACTGGAAGTTCTGTGTGTTGTTCACCGAAACTGATAATCGACACCATCATCACTAGGCTGTGTTCATTCTTTTCTCTCGATCACTCGAGTGATTGGATCTCGGCGATCGGGACTGATCCGACTGTTTACATGTGTGAACGAGTCCGTGTGGTAAGTTCTTGAAATTTTTTTTTTTGACGCATGAGTTTTATTTACGTTTTGAATGTGTTTATTTGGTGGCTTTGACCATCAATGTGCCGAATTTTTCATTACGATCAATAATCGTAGGAAACGTGCACTTTAATTTACATGGGCGTGCGTTGCTGCAGTTTGTTATGGTTCAGCCACACCACGAGAGAAAGTGCGCGCGCGTATAATAGTAGTAGTAGTAACAGTAGCACCAGTAGTAGCAGTAGCACCAGTAGTAGCAGTAGTAATAGTAATAGTAATAGTAATAATAGAGTAGTAGTAAAGTAGTAGTAGCAGCAGTAATATAGTAGTAGTAATAATAGTCGTAGTAGTATTAGTAGTAGTAGGAATTCGAGAAAGACAAATATTTCATGCGAGGAGATACAGCTCATGAAAACCAGCTGTTATTATTATTCGCTGTGTTTATCTCGTATAATAGTTATGGTTCTGTCAAAACTTATATGCTATTGTGATTTTATTACTATCATTTTTTTTGTTTTTCACTAACGAAGAATCTCGCCTGTTTCTTGTGTTTATTTTTATAAGATGGCAGCCTTCGCGTAATAGCCAATTAATTTATAAACGTTTATATAGTTATTATTTTATACGAGATTGCAACTCTAAACAAGTTTCTGCAACTTAATAATTTCTACAGTGTTATCAATTATTTGTTACCGACGTTCTTCAGTTGTAAGAGTACCTTCGTACATTACTTTATTTGGAATAGTGAAAAAAATACTTTAATCCGAATGTAGTTGTACAGCCGATAGTTCAAGTGTATCCAAAACCACAAATTTTTTACAGTTGATGTTGCAACGTAACAACTTTGTGAGGACACAAGCCTTGGATAGACGCTACACCAAAACGTGACGGACCGCGCTCGTATATCATTTCGATCACATAAACGATATTTTCGAATGCTGCCCACACTCGCACTTTCTGTTATAAAAAAACTGAGCCACGAAAACAACACATAGCTACACACACGGTTTTTCACGTTGTTGCTGTTGTATTGCAGCTTTGTTTGCCGATGAATCATGTTTACAGGCGCGCAAAATTTTTTCGAAACGCTTGCACTTCTATTATGCTGCACGGTAACTGATAAGACAAAGGAAAGCCACACGGGCGAACTCGAAGCGCGCGGTGATAAAATTTCGCAGTTACTAGCTCGTTTGAAATTTTTGTAACACAGTGGAGAACAACAATAATTATCTCATTCTAGACACCCTTGATGTGAGAAAACCAACAGTAGCGGATCGAAAAAAAAACAGGGGGACGATAAGGTGTTTTCCATCATGCAAGCGGTGTTGGACTTTAGCTCTCTTCGAATATAATATGCGAGTTGCATAAGTGCGCGATGACAGTCGCTGGGCGTATATGAGACGAACAGCGTCGCAGCCAGATTACGACGATGTCGAATCGTGAGAATGCGTGCGAGACGCAGCAACAACGCCCCAAATCAGTTTTGGCGGATTGGAAAAAATACAATGAAGTTTATCTTTTCGTAATCAATGGCAGCTGCTCAAATAGCTACGAGGGTCACAACGATCTATCTGTTTAATTGTAACGCCAAGGCGTGTATTGAAAAGTACGTCCTGGTTTTTTGAAGGCAGGATATTCAAATTGAACCATGAAAACAAAAGTTTTCTTGTGGTCAGTGAGTTGTAATGTATTCAAAAGCGCGTGTGCTGTTCACTATTTCGTAATTTTTGTTATTCACAATACGAGCGAAGCCAGCCATCTGAAACTAGAGGCGCTTATGTATACATAGCGAAGAAAAATCATGATTGCGTCAGTAGCAGCTACGGATTCCCATTGATTAGAGCTTTGAATGAAGCTCGCAGTTCTCATGCATCGGATGCACGTGTCATTGCACTATCGACGTATTTTCGCGCTCGTCGACTCGGCTTGGCAAACAAGCTCTCGCGCGCGGCTTTGACAACCCAATAGAAATGATATCAATCTGACTTTCTGAGCCCACGTCGCAGCAGCAATCAGCTGACGATCGCACTCCATCTAGATCTGCTGAATCAAGAACAAACGAAGGTAATGCTTGCAAGCTCTCCGACACTTCGTTCGTCAATTCACGCTCTCCGTCTGACATGAAAAGCAGGATGAATCGCTGAATAAACAACATCTCGGGATAAAGTTGGCGTGCTAATACGCGAGCGAGCGAAAAAAAAGAATCATCCTACTTACTTATGTGTGTAGCTAGCGCGCGATTACGAATACGAAACGCCAGCTCATTAAGCTGATATCAATAGATAACACGTGACTTCTAGATACACGAAATTTTCCTGTAGCCGAAACGGATTTGAATTTTTATAATCTTTATCGGGCATTGTGAAATAACTATTCGCACTTTTACGAGATGTTTGAAGAGAAAAACGTGCGCTGAAAATTATATATAGCGTCAAGCATATTTTTTCGGAAGCAATACAAACACGCGCGCGCACGTATAAGAATTTTATAGCCACGTCGAAGGTAGCCTTGACCTATGCCAAATAATCGGTCACATCAGTCTTATAATAGATGACTCCATACGCGCACACACGCATTATACGATCATGCGTGATGTTGAACTCGAAGCTCTCACGAAATTCAAACTATTTCATCAGGCGACCTCCTTCCACCCCCCTCCTCATTCTCAGATAACAACGAAAAATACCTCTGATAATGATGGGCTTAGGTAGCTCTCTGCTGCTGCTGCTGCTGCTGCTGCTGCTGCTGCTACTACTGCTGCAACTTTTAACTGGGTTGTGCACGTGGGTTCGTTCTCAAAAATACCTTTTTTTTATTTGTTCCTGATAACGATGTTTTCAAAATATAACAATTGTGTTGTGCATTAAATGCGTGATACTAGGCGTTTGGCATCATTTTCTTTTCGCCTTCCTCTGTTTGTTATGGGCTATTCCGGAGATAAAGCGCGACGATTGCATTGAATAAAGTCTCGTGTGTGTATTTAATTTTTAATACAAAACGATTACTCGTTATGCCAGTCCAGTTCGATAGCATCCATCCAATTGTGGATATAAGAAGATTACTGTTTATCAATTTTCTCTTTCTTTTATTTTGTTTATTTTGTTTGTTTTGTTTTTGTTTTGTTTTTGCATTTGCCATGTTACTGCAAGCGTGTGATTGTACGAAATTTCACTTCTACGTTTCCGATGAATCATCGACGAGATCAATTTCTTTCGTATCGAAGGAAAAATCATGTATCAGATCAGATGCTTAAACACCGCTGAAAGTTTCAAAAGAATTTTTTTCCAACTAATTGCGCCCAATGCATACGATCGATTGTTCGTATGGCGCAACAGTGTTGAGCTGGAATTTCGGCTTCGACGATGTATTGCTTTTACATTGCGCTGGAAAAGTGTCACGGGAAATTTGCTAAAAATTACTAAACTTTTACTTGTTCGGTGTAAGCGGTAATAACAAAAGATTGTCTTACTTATTTTTCGCACGTGGGGTTCAGTGTGAGAAATGGAGAACGAATTGACTGCCGTTTAGACTTTGTTAGCAAAACACATTGAACAATGTGATAAAAATAAATATTATTAATAGTAAAAGTCTAAAGTAAACGGCTGTAGTGTGAATAACCGATCGTTGATTTGGATGTTGCAGCCTGAAAAAGCGAAGAGCAATGCAAGCCGAGCTAATGTATCGCAAAAGCATGCCGATGTCGGCGACGGCTGGAGTTGGGGCGGCAACGGCATCGCACCAAGTGGTGAAGCACGAAAGTCGTGATTCGCGCGAGACCATTCACTCGGGTCACTTCATGGTCTCGGATTTCGAGGCCGAAGCACAAGACGACGAAGATGAGCTTGCGGTGCCGGTGCCCGAAGAGGAAGCCGCTCGACTCGCCATCATAGCACCCGTCGGCTTCTCTCTCGAGCGATTTGTCTCCAGTTCCAACGCCGTTGACAAGAGCGCACAACAACTTAGTATCGAAACTTCTCTCAACAAACTCTTCCAGTGCATGTCGCTGGCCTACAGGTGAGCAGCAACCCGTTTACTTACTTATCAATAGATAGCTTGCCTTCAATACAGCCTTCCTTCTGTCAAACAATATTCAAATCATCTGCTGCTAATATTGCTATTGAATAATATTACCTGTGGATGATGATTCCGATCTTAATAGCACAGCTATATTACTCTAAAATTTATACCATTCTCTAAAATAACTAAATGAATATTGTCGGCTTATTGCTTTTTCATTGTACAAAGTTAGCGAATTCTGAAACGAACTCAATAAGCTATAAGTTTGGTAAATAAACATGCTTACCGATGATAAATTTTCTGATGTGTTTAAACATACGTCACAGTAATTATGTTGATTTAATTAAATAATTATTATTTAATCATAAACTTCGTCAGAAATAAATCGATGACCCATCGTAGATTTGAAATTGTAAAAGCATTTGCAATCTATAATCCGATAAAACGCATCATTTTATAAATATTTCTATTTTAAAAAAGTACTTTAATCTTGAAGAACTGAACTAAATGATACTGAATTGCAAAAACGACAATCATTTATGTTCATACTTCATCGAGTAACGTGACTTTCGTCCAAACACGTCAGTTGGGAAAAATTTAAATTTATTTCGAATGCAACAATTGGTTCGTTCTCACGTTACAAAGTCAAAACGACAAATCGCAATACTATATCAATTAACTTATTCAAACATCCTTATCGTCTGGCAGATAAGGGAAGCATTGCGCTTTTCTCCACAAGCTCTCTTGTTTCTTGTACAGATGAGTTAGCAATAATGTCTGATGACATACTCTCCAATACTGATATTATTAATCGATGCCTTTTGCACTGCAATCGCCGCTTTTCCTTTGCCGCTCGTTTGTCATTTTTAATTTTAATTTCTTTTTTTTTTTTTTTGTTAAAAAAATAAAGTTTAGTCCGATGTGTTCCATCGGACACTTGCAATCGCGCGTGAACTGGGATTGTTTGCACATTGCGAGCGTTGATTGCTCAGAACTGTCGCCTGGCTTCATAAGAACCAATTGAATTAATGAAAGTGAAAAGGCCTTCTAGGTCTAGAGTAGAGTCGCTCAGCAACACCACAATTAAAAGCCGCAATCCCCCCTCCCTCTCGTATTCGAGCACAATGGTGAGCCTCCGGGCTTCTCGACTTCTAAGCTTTCCGATGACAGAAAAACAGACCCACTGCTACTTCGTCGAGAAAAATTAGCTTGCGACGCGACGTGACATTTCAAACAGAAAAATAAATACTGATTCATCGTGGGCTTGCCTTGTCGTTCCAGTTTTAAGATATTTTTTTTATAGTTTGTTGAATCCGCGTAATTATAAGGTTGACCCAATGGTCAGCCAATATTAGGAATTATGGCGATCCGTGATTATTTTTGTTGATATCATATTTCTTTATGCTGAATATCTGCGTAGCTCTATTCATAGAACTATTTATATGGAAAATTATTCGCGTTTAAGTAATTGCGTGTTTATTCAATCGTATCCATTCTTACTGGATTATGATAATGTTATTATTCATTGGAATGCTCGCACAGTCTTCAACGGAACGTGACTGCGTTGCACCGCTGTTAACGTAATCGTTGATCTATCCCACACCAATCAGCCCCTTCACCATGCACGTATTTACGCTCGTTTCAAGTCTACTAATTATTTGAGGCCATTCGAGAGTACCGATTGCAGCTCGAAACTAGCTCTACGCACTGCCCCGTGCAAGATTGTCTCGAGCTAATCTTCGCCTGTCTCGTTATTTATATTCTTCAATTGGGTTTAACTAATGCCGTGATGAAATCGCTGCCGCCGAGTAAATGTACTTGCTATGAAAGACGAAAAGATTATTATCCACGAAAAACTTGTGTCCATTATTAAATATTGATTTTACGGCTGAAGACGCCACAATGACGCCGCGCATGAATTGTACGCGTCTAATATCAACAGCAAGACGCACGTGCGTTACGCACACGACAATTCCAAGGCTATCATCGAGTTCGCTTGATAATCGTTCGAGCGAAAGAAGTGTTTTCGGCGCTATCGAACGGAGGATTTGTTTCGCGTCAAATACGTTCTGACAATTTCTCAATAAAGCGATTCGACCTAGGTTTGTTTTACAACAGCGCTATTATATATTATCAACTCATTTATTTTACAACACTCGGAGTACTATTCATACGTGAATCATTCATTGCCAGTCTGTCGTGCTTCGATTCAGCTTCAACTTCATTTTTCTTTACAATGCCATTTCTGATAACCGAAAATTATAAACCTCGATTGACCGTTGGAGGCGTGTTGTTCAAACACTGTGACTTAAAATATTACGCTCATATTCTGGAGGTGTGTATTTATTGAAAAGATAGCAAATGCGGATCTGAAACATTATGAAGTCATGTCGCAGCCAAATAAAACTTGGTGGCGATTGATCATATGAACGTTCTGTGCTTTTAACATTTAAAAAAAAAATATTCAGACTAGGAAGTACGTAATTGATTGATCATTGCTACTATTTGAAAAACAAGAGTAGAATATATATATTTTAACAATTCCAACAAGCTAACGTTAGTCGTAAAAAATACAGACAATAACATCATTGTAAATTAAACCAATGGAGATAAAGTCATGTACAACAGTTTTTTGTAATTTTTTTTAATATGATGTATATGAACACTTTATAAATTATCATTTGTATTGTATAATAATAATAATTATTATGTAAATATTTTGAAAAACGTACGAACCATGTTAATATCATAAAAGTTAATTGTTAAATAGCTTAAACTGAGAGTTGTCAGTAATATTTAGTTTAATAAAGTATAGATGAGTTTTGTAAAATATTTTGAGTCTCTTTTACAATTCTATTAAAATTAGTAAAATGGATACCAATTGAAACTAATAAATAGCTCTACTGATGATGATTATGATTATAAACAATATAATAAGATAATATAATAAGATAATTTCTTCTATGCATCATAAATATTAAAGATTTTTTACGTTATTAATATAATCGTAAGACAGATGAAAATTACGCCTTTAATGGCACGACAAATAGCACCTCTTATCTGATACTCGCGTTTGCTTATCATGTCACAAGACGAAACAACGCTTTTTCCTGAAATTGATGAAAATTTTTAACGAAGAAAGTATTCTTAGCTCAACAAAAAGTTCCGATAAAGTTGAATAATTTTTTAATCTGACTGAGTCGATATTATTTATTATAGTTTCTTTTAATACATAATAATATAGATTTGCAAATGGTATTATGCCTAACTTAATCTTATTATTTTTAAAATCCAAATCAAGTTATTCTTGCGATTCGTTATTGTACAAATCGTTCTAATGTAGATATCCATCGACATTTTTTATCATTATATAGTCGGAATAAGTTTTTGCTCTTATAAGTTCCGAAATCTTGATTGTACAGCTAACATGTTATCTAATTTTTTTATATATAAATATAAATTAACCTATTTGTGATTCCGATTGTGAAAATACATGAAAGAAAAGTTAGTATAAGAACATCTTATTCCTTGTGACTTGTATAAACTCAGTTTTTGTATTTTTTCAAACGATTTGTTTACAATAAATTTAATTAATGATTATGGATTAAACAAATATAGAAGAATCAATTGTGGGAATGAAAGTGTTACAAAAGAAAGCTCTTAAAGAGTTATTATCAATATTTGTCGTTTATGATTGTAAAACATTAATTTTTTACGTAGCATCTTAAACAATCTATTTTCAATTTTTAGAACCAATACTTTTATAAAAAAAGAAAACAATACATGGAGCTACTCTTGCTATTTCTAAACAGTAGCATTATGTCAATTCTTATAATTAGTCAAAGTATTGAAATGATGGAGACAAAGTACTATATATATAGTAAAAAGCATCTCGATTACGAACAATCTCTTTTTTTAACTATCTAGTCAGATTGTACGTTCTTTAAAAATTCGTTAGTTCACAACAACAAGCTTATATTAGGTCAAAGATGAGAAACCTTAATAAAACTGTAAATTTATCACTGTAACGTCAAAAATTTCCTCAAGCTAACTTTGAATATTACGTGGTCCGTCAAGTTTTTAATTGAATACATTCAATGGTTTAAAATATGGAAACAAAACATTTTGACTTTACTAATAGAAATAGTTTCTCATTTAGTTCATTACCTAATTCTGAAAAACTGCACATGTATATAAATCATTGAAAAATTCATGTGTGAGTTGTGCATACTATTAAAGTGCTACAAAATATTTTCTCATTGCTTATCGTCTATTTTCCCCTTTAACTTTTAAAAAATTTTGCTAAACAATTTTATGATACACTTGAATCTTATCTGTTTGTTTTTATTTGTCCAGCTTATTCTTGAAATATTTTTCTATTTGTTTGATAATTTTGACAGTTTAAAAAATGTAAAAATAAATAGCCGCAAGATTCTTTTCAAATAAATAGTTTCTTTGGTCTATAATGTTATGCATCTGTCATCTATGCGAATAGTCCTGAAATATATGTACAAGTAGCAGAACTTCGATTAACGAAAAAAGCATTATAACGTTCTCTGTTTGTACACAAGTTTGCAAAGATTGATAATTAATAGAGAGTAATTTATGTCAACATCCCGTGAAATGATCATTAAAAAGCGGGATTTTATATCTGAGAAAATTATAATCAGTGCTTTATTACGTAGGTCAAGAAAAGTCTTGTTAATATTTCTTATTACCATCATAAATTGACGCTCTGCGGAAAATTACGGAAATGATTTGTGCGCGAGCATATCAAGTGCTTGCGATAACGTAATATTAATCAAGTATATTTCCTAGATGGTCGCAACCTCTGAAACAAACGATTTGTCGTAAACAATAAACTGAAACTATTAATCACATAAGATTCACGAAAATCCGATTGCGAATATTTTAGTTAATTCCGCAATTATCACGATGGTGATTCAACGCATGTACTCACGCAAATTGAGCGCGTTTCATTATTTTTGGCTATGTAAAATAAGTCGAAAAAACCGTGGCATATCAAGAACAAAAAATTTTTCACTTGTTCCAGACAGAAACTGACGTCGCCTAAATGGAATCGCTTTAAAGGTATTCGCTTGCGATGGAAGGACAAAATTCGTCTGAACAACGTCATATGGCGATGTTGGCACATGCAATGTAAGTTTGTATCGTTTTAAATCTCTTGCACTCATATATGCCAGCGCAGATAAAAGAATTATCACCTTTAGCGACTTTTAACTGGGATCTCTTGGTAATAAATGTTAATGCGTCGCGCTTAGCGTTTATAAGGAGGACTGAACGTTTTTTCGCTCAATCATTGGTTAACGCTTTGAGGGCGTGTGGAAAACGTTTGCTCTGCCTTTCCAATCTGCGTCACAACATATACATACGTACACGTGGTTATATGTCAAAAGCGCCGACTGGTAATGAACTCTAAATGACCGATTACGTTGATCATTAATGAATTTTTTAATTAGTTTATTCCAAGTGATGTTACTTAATGGAATGTTATTGTATACGTGGCTTTTCTTACATATTAATTAAACAAATGTTTTAAAAAGTATGTTTTAAAAAATACACAATTTCAAATTATTTCCATGATATCTATTTATTAGATAGGAGCAAGAGATAAATTTAGCAAATTAGTTAGCGATTTTTCTACGTAAGATAGACTAACAAAAATTAAGTTTTAACTTTAAATACTTTTTACTTATTAAAAATTATGCGATCGTTAAAAGTAATGCGTTAAAAAAATAGATCTCGCGTACAATATTATTCATTAATATTTAAATGTATTTAAAATGTAAATTTAAAAAGTAAAATGAAAATCGTTTACGTGTAGAACATTATTTTTATTAATTAACAAAAAGCATCATAAGTAGAAATTTTGAATCACAATTCTGGCAAATAAATTAATTATGTGTAGAATTAATTTACGTACAATCTTTCAAAGCATTATTTATGTAGAATAGTAGTTTGCTCGTGTATAATAATACGTATTCAATAATTAATGTGTCCAATGAGTAAAAAAAAATTAAAGTGTACAATGTGATATGTAGAATATTCGTTTCAATTAGATTCTAATTAATTTATGTGTAGAAAATAAAGGTGTCCAATAATTTTGCACTTTTTAATAAATATTATTTTATTTATGTGTTCAAATTAATCGTCATTGTGTTCAATAATATTCTTATTGAATAAAATCGTGTAGAATCGGTAAAGGTACGAAACAGATCCAGTCTTGGTGTATAATTCGAAAAATAATTGAGATTTTTGTTCAAATCAATCTTTGCTATTTTTGTTGTCATTCAAACATGTTTTCATTGAAAAAGCGGTCAAAGAAAAATTCCACCGACAAAGCTTTCGAATTGCGCGTAGCGTGGTAAGAGAAAAATCTATATTATCTACAAGAATGAGCAATAAATTCAAAAAGATTCTAACAAAATTTGAGAAAGAGCATATCACAGGAAACGTGGAAAGTCGACGTAAAGGACAAATATCCCAATTATAAATAGCATCGCATAACTTGGTTTGCCTGCCTGTCCTTATAGTGAATTGTTGAAAGTATTGATAAATGTGTAAATTCTTTTATGCCTTGGCAAATACTGAAGCATTGTGTCATGAAAATGAAAGTTATATCACACCATAATGATCTCAGGATCAGCAAAAATGTGGTTATTTATAAAAGTGTGCATGGCTTCTAAATCCACATTACTACCTGATATTTAAAACTTTACACTAAATATTAAGGTAACTAAATGATTTGCACTGGCTTTCAAGTTTTACAAAGTATTGACTGTCGATGCTATATGTATATATTTCTTCCGTATTCGCAAGCACGACAATAATGAAAGTCAAAGATAAAGAAAAGGCGTAATAAACCGAAGGTGTGCGCACTCGCGCACATGTAAAAAGAAGAATAAGCAAACACAAGGATTAAACTCGTCACGTGAGAATCTCGTGGCTGATCGCTTTTTTTGCGCCCCTCCCTCCCCCCATTATCGCCGATATATAGAAGGCCCGCGTTTACTCGTCGTATCGCTCGTGAGTCTCGCATGCATAACGCTGCCACCTCATCTTCAGTTCGGCGCGCGACATTACCCTGGCGGCTTCGGTTCTTTCTCTTCGTTTCGTTTGATATTTTTTCATATGTTGGCTCAACGCACAGTTTATTAAGCTTACGAAGTTCGGGGATCGGACCATTTTTTCTTTCTTTCTTTTTGTATTTTTCCCTTGTTTGCAAATCGCGACTCGAGAAGCCGATTTTGACAATTCAACTGGCGGCGAAAAGCTTGGCGCGTGGGAGTCTCGTGATTTGACTTTTGCACCGCGCCGGGCAGATATACCGAACGGTTACTAGCGGTCAACGACTGAGGCTTGCTGCGGCATCTGCTGCTGGAGATACGAGGTTTCACAAACGTTATTTTAACATTGCCATCAAATTTGTTCGAACTGATAGTTTCAATAACGTTAATTGTTTATCTGTTGTTTAGATTTTTTTTTTCATACCTCCGAAGTCTTATAAAAGTGTCGCCCTTACGGGCCAATTTTGAAAATTGCTCCCACACCGCGCAAAATGCGTCGTCGAAAAGTCGGCATCGGGACAGCCAGCCCGAAAATCACCACGAAACAGCGCAAGTTTCGCGTTGAGGGTAGTTAGTTAACTGCCACTCGAGTAGGAACAGTACTCACTCGAACACTATTTTTTTCACTCTTTCATCAAGTGGCAATACACGAATCGGACTTGATGGTTTATTAAAATAAAAACGTTAGTACATTGAATCCAATAATTCATGCTTTGTTGGTTTTTATCGAATACGCATTTGTCAATATCGAGAATTTGATTTTCCAAGTGACTCGTACATGATCGTTTCCTTCGTTATTTTTCAGTCATACTAAGGCAGAACACACTAGTGTGCCAATTCGCATCTCCACTTGACGTAGACACGCATAATAAGCCCGAGGTAAGCTACCAACATCATATCTGAAGCGCGGATCGTCACAGCTTTTAACTTTTTTTCCCGACAAATAAATTATTTAGATAACGGAAATTGACGGCACATTGCGAGCTGTGCGCCTATGAAAAGATAAACGAAGCGCGTCGTGTGAGTGAACGATTGAAAATGTATTTCTGAGCTGATACGAAGAGATTATAGGCGGAAAGAAAAACTAAATAATATATATAAGGCTACGTGAAAATCTAAGTGAGTATAACTAGCCAGAGTTCAGTTGTTTTTTTTTCGTTTATCGCAGGCCGTCGTCTTGGAGGGTAAATACTGGAAACGAAAACTCGCCGCCGTCACAGCTGAATACAAGAAATGGCGCATGTTCTACCGGAACAAAATCCTCGGCTGGACGAACAAAGATGGCATGGATATGGTAAGTGTATGGGCATTTCATTGCGCTCTCTCAGTTTCCCCATTTGCATTGCTAAGTTGATTGAACCAGCGAGGGAACTAATAAATTGTAAAATATCCCAAGCAACTACGGCTATTGCATAATGCAGCCAGGTTTATTGCTAAATGATCGCCATACGTGTACTTTACTTATATCGAACGCTCTCTCCACCAGATTCTCTCATATTCACGCAGTATCAATCCGATTATAATTATACGCCGAGAGAGAAAGAGCGATCGTTAAGAGCTAAAAGCTATTTTACGATATAGCGATTTTTACGATCTGGCACAGCTTGATTTGCCGTAGAAATTATGAAAATATATAGTAATAAGTAGAGCTGATGATGCAATATATTATAATTATTTTCTCACATCCAAGCCCAGTTACTATGATATGCAATACAGCGGCTGTAAATAAATGCTAGTTGTTGTTTGTTTACATTACTGCTTTCAAAGCAGAGTACGCATTGAGGTTGAAATAATCGACCATCTTTTCAGTTGGAATCGATGGACACTCTGGAATGGTGCGGCGGTCCGAGCAGCGTGGGAATGTATGGGAGCGGCTTGGGCAACTCGTCAGGCGGAGTATGCGGCACCCCAGGAGATGGTGTGCACAGCATGATGGTTGACGAGGATTACATGGAGCTCATGACCGACACACTTTTCTCAACCATCAGCTCCAATCAGCCACTTTATTTTCCCGATCCACGTGAAATCGGTTAGTCTTGCAATCCTCCCCATATCCTCCATCAATTTATCTTTATTCGTTTTCTTAGCACTGATTTAGAGTGTCTTTGAAAAAACAATCATTATTTACGTCAACGATGATCAATGCTTTCAGCGCGAGGAGCTAGCCTTGCTGATTTCATACAACCGAGTTTAGGACCTTTGCAACCAAATTTAGACGACTTCATCGACACGTTGGAGCCACTTCAAGGTAATTCTTCAAAACAAAAAAAAACTTGTTGATTACATAAATTATCTTCATTTTGTGAAATACTTAAAGCAATAAAATTGCGAAATAACTTATTAGTAAAAGAAAATAATAAAAAGAAAAACTTGGACTGAAAAAATAACGATGTATACATAAATTTTTACGTTACGATCTAGCAAAGTTGCATATAAGATTAGATCATTGAAAGTAGCCTAGTAAACGTAGACCATCGCCGATAAAATGCGCGTGAGACAAAGTAAAATGCAAATGCGAAACAGTGAAAGGATTAATAGACTTCCAGTCAATATTCATGAGCTAGTGGCTAGGAAGAAGAGTATGAGAGGGCTTGGCTTTGACTGAAAGAGAGCGTTTACATGTTTTAGAGTTCCTAAGCTCGCGGCTACCACCGGTGCCCGAGGAGGACGTCTTCCACGGAACTTCGCTGAGTAATAACTACCCAGAGTTGGACCTAATGAATCAAGTGGCTTCAGGCAATACTTCGGCCATCACCGACTCTTCGGTCATGCAAGCTGCTGCTGCTGCTAATCAACAACAATCCATGCAGACGGACGACGCGAGCGTCGCTTTGCAAAACCTCCAGTATACTGCCAAGATTTACACGCAAACACAGAATGATGCCGCCAATGTCTTCAGGAGTAATGTGTAAGATATCTCTGACATTTGTAAAAAGCTCGAACAAGAAGTGAGATTTGTTTTCTTTTTTGCACGTTTGCAATATCTGCCGTGTTGGTGAATGATGCAATGTTGAAACGTGATTTCGAGCAGCTTTGGAGATTAATAGAAAAAGTACAAAGTCATTTCATCATTAAAATGTGATTAAAAGCAATCCGGAAGAGATTACACTGCTGTAAGAATGTATTCATTAAGTCATTCTTTTCTTTTTCAGTAATGTTAATGACAACTTCAATTCGTTGCAACAAAACTACGCTCAACAAATGCAACAGCAGCAGCCACAACCTGCCTCTCAACCAGTCAGAGAGAAACAGCCACGGCAAAGTAGGGCTGCATTACGTTCGAGTCGTCTAGCCCAGCAGCAACAGCAGCAGCAACAACAGCAGCAACAACAGCAAACATATCAGACTGTGCAGCAGCAGCAGCAACAGCAACATTTGTCGTATCAAACTCAACAAAGGAATTATCCTATGGAAATTCAAACGACTCCGATCGTTACGCCCAACAACCAAATGCAGCTTGCTATAGCCGAACAAACTAGTCAGCATGTTCAATCTCTTATGAACCAGCATCAACAAAACTTCGTTCCTTCGGAGACGCAGCAAGCTCAACCAGTTCAGAAACAACTCAAATCCAGTTTGCCGAATAAACCTTATAATAAAGTATCCAACACGGGTTACAAGTTTCAACCACCACCTCCTACATTCAATGCTCAGCAATGTAAATTCACTACTAATAATATTAAGGTAACTATTTTATATAAAGTATATATTTGATTATTAAATTCGTAGAAAAATACAAAATTCTATGGTAATTTTTTTTATTACAAGAATTTAAAGACTTGATCAAACCAAATCTTATTTCTTTAACCTTTAATTTTAACAAAGTATTTAACATGGCATCCTTTTACATATTTAGGTAATGGAACTAATATACTATATTTAAACACTTCCAGATGTACATTGTAGGAAGTCAATAATGTATGAACAAATTTCACAGTTTAGTATATGTAATAAGTATTCGATTCTGAGCGGAAGCGTATTTTTTTTCTACTTAATTTTCTCAGCAGAACAATTCTTTACCCCTTGTATAGCGGGCATTGCCATAAGACGTGATTTAAGTTTCCGTCATTCATCGCATTGTGCGCATTCTAGACTGTAGTTTATTTTGACTAGCCAATAAAGCTGTTAGGATATAGTGATTGAATTTACATCTGGTTATAAAAATTATGAAACTACGAGAGTATCTTGATTTATGGAACCAGGGTTTAGGAGAGTCTTTATAATGTAGTTTGAAGTAGTTTTTTCCGTTACATTTACTTTCTTCTAGGCACAATTAGTTTATGTTAGAATATAATAATATCATTTTTAAATGTCGAATAGAAATATATTCGGAATAATGATGACTTGGGAGGTGTTCTGATTATATAGGATTTGTCAATAGTATCGGTAACTTCGATATCTAGAATATCAGTATGCGAAGGAAACCGTATAAATTTTATTAATTTTGATGGAGTTTTAGCAGTTATGGAATTATAAATGTTTTTAATTAGGAATATGTAATAGTTGATTTTGACATTTATTTTAACAGAGTTTAAACTATAATCTGCATTGAGAGTCTATGATTATTGCAAAATTTAAGTTGAGATTTTGTTCTATCCGTTGCAACGATTTAAATATGGCCAGACTTTCTGTGGTGAATATAGATGAATTTATTGAAATAGCTTAATCCATATATGTATAATTTGGATAATAACAAGCAGAGCTTAGTGATTTATTTTCTACTTTGCTTCCGTCTGTATGGAGAGAAAGAGAGTTTGTTTCATTGAGAAAATCGTTTAACAATTGATTTGGATCTTTGCTTTCTTTTTATTCTGGTTCTAAGCGAGTAATAATGTTAATGCTAATGATAATCATGACAGTAAATATTGAAAGTTTTATAGCATTAGATACTTAGATTTATGATTTCGTTGATACAATCATGTAGAAACCAGAGTGGATTATTGTTTTTTTATTTTTTCCTCTATTGCTTACGTTGTCTTGCTGGTCATTGTTTTCTTCTTTTTTATTCTTCAACTATGACTCCACACAAAGAAAAATATCTAACTCTTTAAATGGCTTAGGAAGATTATTTTCACGTTTATTGATGCTCCGAGCAGTATATTATTCATATCCAATATATTATTCTTAACGATTTAGCGTTGACATTGTTTATGTGAGCTATTTTGAAAGCTTATAAATTTTATATTTTATATCTCATTTTCACTTTCTGTTTTAATGCTTTCACTGAGAATTAGCTTATTACTACATTTATGCATTTCTCCAAAGTTTTTGAGAGATATTTTTTTTTCATTTTCGTCAATTTTGTTTTCCTTGTTCTACTGGTTATTATTGGATTTTTAGATTCGTCTGAGAATACAGTTTATTGTTTATATGTATTTTTTTATAAAGTTGACAAATTAGACGAAACTAATTGGCTTGGAGTCGTTAAAAATAACTTTGCTTGGCTGGAGATCGTTTTTCATTTGTTGCATCTTTTCTTCAATGTTTACTTCAACTATAATTTTTGTTTGCGTTAATAGCTGGTTTGATTACTCTTTTCACGTTTGGCTTACTAGAATTTATATTATTGCTGTGACAAGAAGATATTCGATGCTAAGTTGGACGTTGACTGTAGAATTTTCCATGGTAAATGTGATCACGATAGGAGTGATGTTAGAACCTATTCTATTTGAATAATTTTTTTTTCTTTGATTTTTTTTTTGAGATATCATTATTGTTCTTTCAAGTATCAGACGTGTTAGTGCAGTCCTAGCAATGTATCCTTCCATTTTTCAAATAAAACCCTTGAGAAAATCCGTACTCGTGTATACGAAGTAATCCATACCATCGTATTTAAGTTTAAATACCGCAAGTAATATTGGAATGTCTTTAAATTTAATTTACACCTGTTTTCTCGAGCTTGGCACGTACTCGTATCCTGTTTGAAAGATGCTAGCTTTCATTGTGGTGACTGTAGAATCTTTGTTTACTTTTCGACTATCAAAAATTTGTTTAAAGTATTGGTTGGGTATGATTGGCGATACATTCGAGAAAACGATTCTTATATAATTTGTAACCAATGGTCTGATAAAAGCTTTGTTTTTCTTTCATCTCTAAAAATTCGTAGCTTTTCGTAAAATCGTCAACTAAACTTTTGTTTAAGAAATATAGACATTCTCTATTCTTTGAAACTTTAGATGAAACTAAATGTTCATAGGTATGACAATATCACCGATAGCAACAGTATAATCTATCAAGGTTAAGTAACACATTATCAAACCTTGATTTCTCAAGTATCTAAGATTTTGAGCAACAATTGCGTAACTAGAATTTTCGAAGGTTTGGAAACTAACCGTTAGAAATTGTTTTTGTTGAAACGATTTTCCAGATGCTAAGAAATTTCCTCGATTTCCTCTCCAGATACTGAAGGTATCCCGTTTTCTTCTAAATCATTTATGATTATTCACGCCTACACTCGTCTTCATGTCCAACATGTTGGGCCGGAGCCCGTACTTGATAAGCAAATGTGGCTCAATAGATGTAATACGGAGTGAATTTGAAATCGACGAATACTCAACAAAAACTGAATTCTGTAATAATAGCTTGTCAAATAATTAGTACTCAAAGTTACAAGGCTAAAGCTTTATACAAAGTCAATATAAACAAATAATTAATTAATTGCAATTTACTGAAACGTATCATCCTAATAATCGGCAGTGAGCCAGTTGAAATTTCAGTCAATCGCATCTATGTCATACGAAGAGCTAATCAAGAATATGACGCGCAACTCACCACCACAATCATTCTAAGTAAATGCGTTTGATTTATCGAAGGTACTGCCAATGCAGCAACAGCCGGTGGTCGCAGTGACGGCTCCACAGCCGGTGCAACCGCATGTGCTTTTGCAGTGTAAATCGTCGATTCCAACCGATCTTACTGCGCCAGCCCTACATCCGACCAAACTGTTGCCGCGACCTAGCGCTCAAGCACCTGTCGAGGTTAAGGAGGAAGTCTTTGCCGTGCCAAAAGTAAGCCTTTTTTGATGCTTTGTTGATTTTTCTTATGTGCTTTTTTTATTTAAGATTTTTTGATAGTTATTGAAACGGCATTGTTAATTTATATAGTCAACGCGCTTCACCATTTTTAAACTTGTTATCGTGTGTAACTTCTTCTTTTAGTATCAAATGAAAGTAAGAAACAGATCTCGAAGTAGCTCGTCGTTATCAGCCCCAAGAATGCACCCACCACCTTTAGTATCAGCTGTCAGCGATCCAGCATTAAACTTGAATAGCAACGTTCTTCTCGCACACTTACTCACTAACAGTAAGACGCATGCTTCCTTCTATGCGGATTTGATTATTTCAGTAATCATATAGGTACAATAACTTTCGTTTATCTTCAGATTCATCGAATTTATACACAGTAAGCTCCGGTCCTGATAAAGTGTCTGCTCAACCTGTTGGCGTTAAACACATTTTGCCAATGTTACCGTCAACTATGGCATGTAGTACACAAATTACTCATACCACTCACCATATCACTACTCCTATCGCGGTGCAAACGATGCACAACACCGCTAATGTACAAAATCAAGCTCAACAGGTACGATATTTCTTATTGGACTTTTTTATCTTGAATCTAGTACTATTCCAAAATACTATATTTTTATATTGCTATAGTCGGGTTCCAGTCAGTCGATTCTGTTGAATACAAGTCAACCGACACACCAATCCCAAAGCAGCAATCCAAACTCGCCAAAGGACGGCTCAAACGCACATAGTCCACAGGGTCTTAGTCCGAGTCCATTACACAGTCCAATGAGCATTGGCAGTCCTTTATCTCCTAGTCGAGGTTACGTCAAAGGTGATCCAGAGCGTGGGCAGTACAAAGAACAGCGTCGTGTCGGGCACATACATGCCGAGCAAAAACGCCGGTATAATATAAAAAACGGATTTGACATGCTTTACAGTCTTATACCGCAGCTTAGTCAGAATCCCAACACGAAAATGAGTAAAGCGGCAATGTTGCAAAAAGGCGCCGAATATATACGTTTACTTCGATCTGAAAGACATCAGTTAAAGGATGAAATGGACAAATTGAGGTCGCAAATAGATTCATTAAATGCATCAATAAGGTACATTTTATTCCTTCTTGTCTTTAAAACGTTTTTAAAGTCTTCGATGACAGATGATTGATTTGTCAAGTGGTAATCGAATACTTTTTTCCTTATTTTAGTAATTGCCAAGCAATGTTACCTGCCACTGGAGCTCCAGTTTCTAGACAGAGAACGAATAAAATGAAAGAAATGTACGACGAATATGTTAGAACCAGAACTCGAGAGAATTGGAAATTTTGGATCGTATCCTTTTGAACAAACATAAACAACTATATTCCATCATAAAGGTTGTATATTTTTTGAACATATTCACTCGTCACATTGAAATTTCCATAACATTTTGCACAGTTTAGTATATTGTTGGAACCTTTGATGGTGTCTTTCAATTCTTCTGTATCAACAGCAAGTTTAGAAGATTTATACAGAACAACGATACTTTGGGTAGAGCAGCATTGTTCATTAGTAGATCTTAGACCAGGTATATTTTTATAAGATTTCATTCAAAAAAAGCTTGAGTATTGAAAATTAAAAAAATATCATTTGTTTACAGCTGTTCTCAATTCGTTGAGGTATCTATGTACAGCTACGGATATTCTCAATGATCCGTCTCGTCTACCAGAAGAAGCTCTCGCAGCCGTGAATCAAAGTGAACGGCAAAAGTCAATACAGTGAGAACGATTTCAATTAATGTGTGCATTACTATGATAAGTAAGAATTCGTGAAGGGCACGAATACTTAAATAATTTAATAGCTTTTCCATTGTTGGAAAAATTTCAAGAGCACCTAAAAAAAATTGAAGTGCAAGACTTGGATTTTTTATTTTTATCGGCTATCAAGAAAAACATAGCTTTGTGACTAGATAATTCTTTATTTTTTTCATATTATGACGTATTCTTATTTATAAAAACAAAAATTTAATTTCAAAACTTTGTGAGTATTCTGCCCAACACTTGCCTAACAATTTACATTATATGAGAGTAGAAAGCTAACAAAGAATAGAAAATCATTCCACATTTTAATTAAAATCTTCATCTTTGACGATTCACTCTCAAATTAAAAATTTGTTTGCACAAAGTCAATCTAAGAAACCAGGTTACCAGAGGACTGAAGAAAATATTTTTATAAATTTTAACACTAAATTATGTGTAAGCAAGTGACTTGTTACATGCAAGCAGCAAAATATATTATAAACAAGCTTGCAGAAAATAATCTGTTATTTAGTGTGTTAAAGTTGATAACTTAATTTTTGCGGTTTCGTACAAGGCATTGAAGATTTTACAATACGGTGGAGGCGTAAGTTTTGCAAATAATTTTTTAGATAAAATTGTTGTTATGTTTATGAGAGCATGATGTACATGCTAAAAAAAAACTTTATGAATGCGACCGATATTACACTTGAATTGAAGTTTAGTTTGTTATATCGCGTAGAGTAGTATAGACCTACCTTTTTTCAATTAATCAGTTCTAGAGATTATTTGTATTTGCGGGTTCGATATGGGATAAACCATAGGACTGTGCCTGTATGGAGTAAAATGATATTTACAAGACAAATAGCTACAATAAAGCTTGTTATACACATTCTACTCACAAATTATACGTATGTTGAATCGACGATGTTATGTAATACGAGATTTTATTATGAAATTTCATGTGATAATGTAAAAAAATCTTATTGCAGTTCAATTTTTAGATAGATTATAATTGTAAAAAACTTTTGTACGTCACCAAATGTCATTATTGTTAATAAATATTATCGAAAGCTTGATTTAAACCCGTAGTATTTTATTTACCTCGTATTTATTTAATATATTAAAATTGGTGCAAACTATAATTTGAATTCGAAAATTAAACACCATTTGTCGGGCTGTTTCAGATAAATTTATTTTCCGATTTTTCAATTTTCAACAGCTTAATGTATTACAAATTACATCACTTAAAGAGACTATAAAAATAGTCTTAATAAACCTAATATATTCCATTAATTTAATTATATATGCATCTCAATTCTTGTTTAAGTAAATAATAATAAAATGTAATCTAAATTTATAACACTATTGATATACACTCTTAAATAAATATGAAATAAATTACAATATTTTTTCTCTATAATAAACTATTTAAATTATTAAGAGTCTCAATAGTGATAAATTCTTACCATAAATATTTGTTTTATAATATTCATAATACACAAGAACTTTATATGTGACTAAATGTTGAATGACTATTATGATGACAAAATATACTGTGTAAATAAATAAGACCATGTACAGAATGAAAAACTCCAAATTGCCATTCCTTCAGAAAAAACTTAGGACTTCATTTTTTCAACTTTCTTCTTTCAATAAAGTTGAAGTTTCTTCTTCTTTCAACTTTTGGAATTCCTCTACGATTATTTTTTCTGAAACAAAATTAATTAAAATTTAAATAACATAATTTCTATTCCTGTAGGTAAATTTTACTTGATTGAATTGCAAGTTCCACAATCAATTTCAAAATATTTTAGTAACTTTATACAACAATGTATGTTTATTACAAATATTTGTTTACATATTGAAATGAAAATAATATTAAGAAAATAGTTTTATGAACACCTAACACAATTAAACAAAGATGCTGCAAGTTATCAAATTACAAAAGTTCTTATAGAGTATCATGTATTTTACATAAACAATTAAACCATTAAAAATTACATTAAATACCTTCTTCTGTAACTGGTTCTACAGGATGTTCACTGTTGATAAATTTCTTAATATTGTCAGCAGTACCTTCAAGAACTTCATAATTTTTAGTTACAGCTAATTCAGTTAATTCTTCTTCAAATATTTTCATAAGTTTGTCTTGTACATCTTTGTCAGAAGATACGCCAAATCTTCGTTCATTAAGTAATTCTTGTCGCTTTTCGCGCATTCGCAGCTTACATCTCTGAAAAGATTATATGCATTACATTTACAATAAAAATTTTCACCGATATATTTTCAAATATATATTTTCATAGAATATAATTACAATTTGCAAAATAAATTTGAAATGATTTATAAGTAGCTTGATAAAAATTACTAACAAAAGCTTCGAAGTAAATAAAAGTTTCTAACCTGCCGTAAGTCTTCACGTAACTTTACCAAGTCGCTTTTCTTGTTACAGCATTGAGTTTTCACACTTTTTTTTACAAGAGTTGCTGACGTTGTGGTAGACATTGTTAATTTTTATTCTAGTGAAGATTAATGTGTTAATATTTTATTTTCAAATATTTACAAATATTTTTAAGTTGTTTCTGAACCGAATATTCAGCGTCTTCTGATGTTTACATGCAATGACCTGTAGCGGCTCCGTAATTCTGCGTATCGATATATATATTTATAGTAACCCATGTGTGTATAGCAATATCATTTTCTTTTATTAAGGCTTGATAAACAAAGCATAATGTAATAATGTCAAGTTTCTCACATTATTTAAAATAATTATTAATAATACAAAATACTGATACTGATAGTAATATCAGATAAAGATTTTCACTCTATATAGATATTTCACTATATATAGATTGACAAACATTTATGAAGTTGAAAGACGAAAATCAATCAAATTCCACACCACCATTATAGTAGCAGCTAGTTGCTTTTTTGATTAACCCTTTAACTGTATGTATATGTACAGTAAAGGATTAGCGATTCCATTCGATTTCGATGAAGATTTCGAGAATCGATTATTTTCACGATTCTTCAGATTATCGATTCCAAAGCATTTGATTCCATTCGAATCGAAAGTGAAACTAATATACTATTTGACTGGCAACACGAAAAACAGCCACCATCATTGGAGTTGGAAAAGTTCGCATTTTACATACAGTAATGTAAGCAGCGAGAATATGATTATTGTGTTTGACTCGCTTGGATGAAGAAAATTGTTGATATACTGAAGCGAAAAAATTTGAAGACATTCCTTAGATGGTCAACTTTCTTACAGTGTTTAAAAAAAATCAATACGTACTTTTGTTTGTTCAAAAAAAATTACAACTTTAAACGACAAAATGTAGATGTAAGCTGTTTAATGAATTAAAAAAATCCAATATATATTAATGCTACATTGTTTATAAGTATCCCAAGAATGTGCATATCAGTTTTGAAGTTTTAATATTTATTAAAAAAAGATAAGATTGTAAGATTGATTTAGTAAATTGGCGTTGCGCCGCGGCACCGATTTTGATTAACATTTTCGTTAACGACGCTTGAACCGCATACCTAACTGTTATTTTTAACGCGGTAATCGCTTCATAATTCCAGAAGCTTCATTTTGTCAAAGTTTCATGGAAATTTGATTGTTGGATCTATCTTATTTTTATACAAACAACATGAAATTTTGCTTTTTAAGGGAAAATGCAGTGGAAATAATATTTGTTCACTTTTGAACTAATAAATAGATCTAACAATCAGAATTTCATGAAACTTTGACAAAATAAAACTTCTGGAATTATAAAGCGATTACAATGTTAAAGTTAATAGTCAGGTACGTGATTCAAGCATTATAACGAAAATGTTAATAAAAATCAGTCTCGCGACGCAACGGCAATTCACTAAAGCAATCATACAATTTTTTTTAATAAATATTAAAACTTCAAAGCTGATATGCACGTTATTAGGATATTTATAAACAATGTAGCATTAATATATTTTGGTTTTTTTCAAATTCATAAAACAGTTTTATCGTTTAAAGTTGTAATTTTTTTTGGACAATCAAAAGTACGTATTGATTTCCTACAAAGACTGTAAGAAAGTTGACCATCTAAGGAATGTCTCCAAATTTTTTCACTTCAGTATATCAACAATCCTTTTCGCTAGTAAGCGAGCCAAACACAGTGATCTGAAATGGGAAAAAAGATTGTCTGTGTCTGACAAAACAATCAAAAATACCAACGGGAGTCTCTTTCTTAGCCCTTCTAGTGAAACAAAAACATCATCTAGAAATCGCAGCTGATCCTGTTTGTAAATAATCGGCGAAAAACTTTTTTTTATCATTATTTTAATTTTATTGATTTTTCTTTCAGTTTAAGATGTGAAAATAAATTCCCACTGCAAATAATATTACTCATTATTTATGGATATCATTAAATATAGATCCATTGACAACAGTGAATAGAAAATTAAGCAACAGTTAATGATTAACAATTAATAATCGCAGTGATGAAAACTAGTTTGTCACTATATTTCAGTACAATAATCTGAACATAAAAATAAAACTTTCAATCAAAACAGAAATGTTTACGTTTTGAAACGGAATAAATGCGACTTCTCATTCTCATTGATATATAGTTCCTCGCGGATAAAATGAGAAGTGAGATAAATTAAGAAGTGAGTATCGTTATGATTCAAATACAATGACCTTTCATCCAGATCATAAATGTAGTTACGAAGAGAATAGAAGCAAAGTATGTAGACCTTGCGGTAAAAAAATAAATTTTGGTTCGAAATTAGCTAACTTCTTCAAAATAACCGGAGCTCTTGAAAGTTTAATACAAAAGCATCTTTATAAAAACTATAGTATCAAATATGACAAGTTTCCAACGAGCATGTGCACTACATATCGTTTGACTTTGGTGGAGCATAGAAAAAATAATTACAAGGGATCTCGTCCGGATATAAATTAAAATATATTATTTACAAATTAAAATTACGAGAGTAAGCAACAATGTGACCAGGAAATATATGATTGAAAATAATAAAAACAATAATTATTAAATGGTTTACTGGTAGAAATTGACGCATTCCTACGCGAACGTCAATAATCTCCACTGAAACCTTTGGAATTCGCTACTGAAAGTCAAAGCCGTGAAGATAACACTACTCAATTGAAAATATCACCCTCGAAAACCTTTTATATAAGATTAATGATTATTATAAATATATGGCTAAAAAGTTAACATCGTTCCTTGTTATAATGCGGCGTTTGGAATTACATGCACAAAAAAACGATTTTACGCATTAATGGGTAAAATATTTGTAATAAATATATTTGCAATAAAGTGCTAAACTTGACAATACTATACCAACGATATAATAAAAAATAAACTTTGAAGTATGTGACAAATAGGATGGTAGCCGTATGTGCTACAAATAATAAAATATGTTATATTTATGGCATAAAAAATGTACGATGCTATAAATAAGAATACCTTTCTTATTAATGCTGATAAACTGGTAATGCGACCGTTTTTCAAAATGCCGGTCTCAAATTCGGATAACGCAGAGAGACAGTTTTATTTGATCAAAAGTAAGATTTGTGATATCACATTATATAATATGTATTTGAAAACATATATGAAACATGATAAATAAAATAATGTATTTGTAATAACAAGATATATACGTAATATATTCACAATATAATGAATATTTTATATTTTCTAAAATATTTATTTTGTTATATGTAAAAAATCTACTAAATATAATCTAGATGATACCTAGAATATTGATTTCCATCCTCTATATCTAGAAAGGTTCATTTTTCTAACGTCGGCAAAAAAACTTTTAAATTCTACTTAACACCATCATTCATTATTAATGTTTCGATATATGCGAGCTACCCCCTCTATGAAGGGAACGGTATGCATTTTTGAACTTCGGAAAAAAAACTTGTAAGTACATTTTACTACCATCTTTGATATTATCAATATTTCGGTCGATCAAATTAATCAAAATAATGTTTTAAATCATAAAATTGAGGAATACCTATATATGAGCGCTACCCTCTATAAAAAAGGTACGTATGCATTTCCGAGCGTCGGCAAAAAAACTGTAGGTTTTTTTTAGTACTCACTTTTCTTTTAAATATGTTTCAGGCAATCAAATTCATCAAAACATTGTTAAAAATTCTATATTAGGTGAATATCTATATAAGCCCTATTTACCCTTTATATTGGGGGAAGGTTTGGATTCCATGTATCGGTAAAGATGTAGTGGGTGTATTTGAACATTTTTTTAATATTATGAATGTTTGCTGCTAGTAAATTTATAGGTACGGTATTTATCACACGGTGATACTTACCTTTGCAGTATATACCATATAGCTCAGTATGGACGATATCTTGAAGGGCTGTTATGAAGATTGTTTTTTATTTAGATCATCGTAATGATTATCTTGATAATAGGGTTACTACAATCCATTAAAAACGTTGATGATTATTTTCCGAAAAATTTTTTTTTCCGTTGAAAATTATTTATGCATTTAAAATTAATTATGCATTTATTGCTAAAAGATCTACTTTTCGTTGCCTAAAATGCCACAATGAGCTGGATTCCACACTAAATTAATTTTTATATTATTGGAGACATATAAATAGTTTTTTTCATTTCTAAACACAAAAAGAATGAATCTTTACACCACGGATTTGATTTTAAGGATAACACCACATTTAAAGAATTAGTATAAATAGTAGATGGTGTACAATTATTATCAATACAAAATTGAATTGTAAATTTGATAGCATAAGCTTCTACATTAAAAATATATCAATAATAGGCTCATATGATAAGTAATTTATGTTAAAATTATATGGAGTAGTGATCTCTGATTGATAAATAAAATCCTTAAAATGTGAGTTTCATGAATGCATGTAGTAAAGAAAACTTAGATATAATTTTATATTATCTGTAATTTTGATAATTTTAGACAAATTTGTTAAAATATTAAATAATGGATGAAATTTGTCAAGGTTAGAGAATAATTTTAATATAAATTTATGAACTAGGTTTTGAGTTCTAATAGATAGTGGATAATGCAGAATTACTAGATTTTTCATTTGTTCACTATTTTGAAGCATCAAAACATCACTATTAGCCGCCATTGTTATTTCTGAATTTGAAATAATTCTATTATTCAAAATTTTCTTTTTATTAATCGCAAAGCCTCATTTTCAGCATCATAGTCTAAAGACCTTTTAAATCAAATGTGTTGAACTACATTGAATATGTAACAATTTTAAAATAAAAATCTTTGTAACAAAAATTAGATGAACGAAAAACCTTATTAATACTATTTTATACCAAATTAACACTCAATTAGTTAAAATGATGTGACAAATGTTCAATAGATTATTTTTTATTGTGTATGTACCAATAAACAATAGGATAACATACAAAAAATACTTATGAACTTAAAAACTATCAATTTATACTTACAAAAATATAAATATTCAACTGAAAAAATCGAGTACAGAAATACGTTTCACTGTCAAGACAACTTTAGTTTCTTTCTTATAAATTACTTATCTATGTATCAAACAAAATGGATAATCATATAAACTTTACAGGCAATATTTAAGTAAATAAAAAACATAAAATTTTATTTAAAAAAATCTATAGCTCATTTCAAACTAATGTAAAAATATCACATGATGTACATGTAAGGCACAAAGATACATTTTCACCTTCTTGAAAAATGGAAAATGATGGTGCATGCAAACATGTTAACGAATGAATATTAATTTGTTCTTGAATATTATGTTTTAAATGGACTAATCCCATTTGAATAGGAAGTTTGAAGCCACAGTTACAAACTGCATAATTTGAAATTTCATAGAGGAAATTCTTGAGACAGACTGGACAAATAACACCATCATTATCAAACATAGAAGATAATTGTTTTTGTTCCCATAATATTTTTTGATATTCTTCTATTATCCATTGTTCTGTACATAAAAACAAATGTCCAATTGAAACATATAAGAACTATATTTATTAAATAAGTGATTATATTTAAAAATTTCCACTACCTTCTATTTCTTCTTCAATGTCAAAACTGTGATCTACTACCAAAAAATGAGGCTCATGTTGATTTGCCGACAATACTTTTTGAAGGGAATTTTCCGACTTACTTGAAGATATAGTTATACCACTCCATTCCATAGATGCTAGATATTCAAATTCTGAATGAATAATGTCTGCCAAAGTTTCTTTTTCATTTTGAGAAAAGTCAATAAGCCCAGGTCTTCTTTTGAAAAATAATTCATTACGTTTCTCATGCATTCGTTGTCGACATCTCTGTAAAATAACCTAATTTTCAATAATAGCATTGCAAAATATAAACTATACAAACTACTAATAATAAAATTATAAAAAAATAAGATAGCATATAACTTTCCAATATCATTTATAAATTTAAGTATTTCTAACCTGACGTAGAATTTCTTGCAGTTTAGGAGAACCGTTTTTTATTTTCCTAGCAGCATTTTGAGTCTTTTTTTTTATCAAATTGGTTGGACTCAAAAGTTGTCCTTCCATCCTTGTTGAAGATTTCGTTTTTATCTATATATTAACTTCTAAAATTTTTGAAAAAAATTGAAGGATACATTAAATTTTGTTGTACTATATATTTTCAGATGCTAGATTATATATTTGAAATAACAAAAGTCAGCTGAATAATTGTAATTAAAGTCAATTTCACATATTTTCAAAAGTCAACAGATCGTTATATAATTCTGAATGCACATTCACATTCCGAAATTCTTGAGCCAAATATTTTTAATTTGTTTTGATTTCTTTCTTCTCACTTACCCAGTACTAGTGATGGGCGATTATCACAAAAGTAATCGATCGAACACAATCGATTACCAAACTCTATTCCAATCGACTAATCGATTAATCAGCTAAAATAATCGAAAACAGTCGGATAATCGATTAATCGGCGGAAACATTTAAATAATTATAATTTATCCGGTGTTTATTAAATAACGAATTTATCGAATCCAACTATTATTATTTTCAAAGTTCTACTATACAATAATGAAATTGATCATGGACCCAATTAATTACAATACATTTTTTCATGGAACTTTTATTTTTTGGGTTTGAATAAAATGAAAAAGACTAAGTGCACAACGTAAGTGACATACACAAATTGATAATTCCAATATGATCATTTACAACACGTGATAAGCTCAATCACAGGTTTTTGCATAATTTCCAAGATTTATCTTTGTCTTTTTGTTTTTCAGTTTTGTTAGTGAATATCGTCTTATCCAAATATTTTAATATTTTCATTGTTTCCAGTGTTTGGTTCCTCATCCTAGACGTTGAAAAAATTCATTAGTAAAATAAAACTCGTTAAAGCTTAATGTATATTAAATTCAGTTAAATTATATTCAGAATACTATAATGAAATAAATATTTTTTTTTTACTTACTACTTCTTAAAATAGAAATGATCAAATAATTTATTATATTAAAAAAAAACCAAAATTATAATCACACATAATTAATTGAATAATTAATTGAATATCTTTGATTTTTCAATGTCTCCAGGATGGATTGGGATTTAATCAGAGCCGAGTTTAGACCTTTCCCGACCCCTGGATCAAAAAGACGGGGCCTGGTTGCGAGGCCTGGTTTCCACGGCGGGGCCCCGGCCTGGGCCCAGGTAGGCCCATGCCTAAACTCGGCTTCATTTAATTGACTAGTCTTCCATAACTAAAAAATTCAAAATTATTTTTGTCGCGCACGCGCAATTTTACTTTGATTTCCTCGATCACGCATGCGTATTGGCTTATCGGCGTCTCAGTGAGAGACCCACCGCCATCTAGTAAAGGTCGTCACTTTGATTTCGATTATGAGTTAAAAAGAATCGAGCTACGATTAATCGGTGGCTCAAATAATCAACTCAATAATCGATTATGTACGAAAATATTCGGACGATTATTAAATATCGATTAAAATCGCCTATCACTACCCAGTACCCCCAGTGCTCAGCCGGCATTAATATTTACTCCTCTACTAACTTCATACGATTACATTTTGTGATAAATTTTTAATTATTACTATTCAGTTATTACTATACTATAGTAGGTCAGTTTGTTCAACGAGTTATCCGCTGTGAATAATTAAAAATTTTTTTATTTATACTCCTAGAATGTGACTATAACTATATAGCGTTTTTGTCTATCAAATTATTATACCAGAATAGTGAATACAAATTATTTTTAAATTTAATTATGAGATTTAACTGTCCAAACTAACAGACCTCATCTCAGAAAATGTAATTGTATGAAGTCAGCCGAAGAGCAAGATATTCACGGAATGACGGCCCAGCACTGCACCTGCTAGATTGAACATTGATAAATTCCCTAGCTCTTTCACTGCTTGCAACTAACTTTAGAATGACGACAAGATTAAGATCAAATTTCAAACTTAAACGTCAGAAATACAAACACGCGTATTAAGAATAATATAAATAAGACGCGGATGTCGAACACCTGTCATGTAACACAATAGTTTGCATCCTACTTAATCACGTAAACCCTCGAATCACAAACAATTAGTTTTTATCTTGATAATTTTGGCATATGTGCGATGTCTCCTATTCAAAGCCCCGAATAATTTTTTTCTAAAATTAAGTGAAAATAACGATATAACTAAATGTTAGAATTTGGACAAGATACACAACAATGATCAGTACTACACATGCATTTTGTTATAATGAAATTATACAAATAATATTAACATTAAATTGGAATATCATTTTATTACAAAAACAACTTATTTTACAATTATAGTTTTATGGTTGTATCATTTCAAATTGAAAAAGCAAATGAAAAAACAATATCAAAAACAGAATATCAAACGATGTGTAAGTACATTAACAATTATTGAGACGACATTAAACATATGTCTATTGAATCAATTTTTTGTTTTTTTTCAAATATAAGATTAATATGAACTCAAAAAACTTATCATGCGCTACTTTCATAATTATTTATCTATCTGCCTGCAGAGTATCTTGATACAAAATAAATTTTACTTAAAATAGTTCATCACAGCTTTGATAATTCCTCATCTAATTGGAACAATCTTTCTCCTTTGGAGTTTTACTTAACGTAAACGTATTTTCTAATCATATTTACAAATATTATTTGCTTTAATTTTTTATGAAAAATAACTAAATTTTTTACACAATAATCATAATCTTTCTAAGTATATAAAAAATCAATTACTAGACGTTCATTAAAAAATAATTATAAATAAATATTAACAGTCTTCCCAAGAGTTGATTTTGTACTTCTCTATTGCAATTACATTTTCATTCAATTAAGAAGTTACTGTTTGAATTAAAAAACAACTTGTGCAAGCTGTACATGTCATATAAAGACATGGCTTATTGTTTTCAAATAAAAGAGAAAACTTAGGAACATGAAAACATATTTCTGAGTGCTTATTTACATACAGTTCTAAATCAGATTTAAACTTTTCAAGACTTATGTCACTTCTAACTTTCAAACCACAGAAATTGCAGACTATAAAATCAGGTATTTCTTCCAAAAATGATTTTTGGCACATAGGACAAACAGTAGTATCATTTTGAAGCATATCAAACATTTCATCTTCACTATTAATCAGTCTTTCATATTCTTGAATAATCCATTGTTCTGTAAGCACATCAAATAATCATAGAAATAATAAAGCTGATTGTATTAAATTATAATAATCAAACAAAGGTGATAATAAATTGAAACGGGTAATAATCTAATAAAGGTTAAAATTCACAATTAATTTTTGATACTTGAGAATCAATAAAATTTTTAAGAATGAAGAGAAAATTGTATTCAAAATTTAATATTATTAGAGGAATAAAAGACCTTGCTCGATAATGATTTCATTTTCTTCTTTCAAAGCCTCATCTTGATCCATTGGATAACTTGTCATTCTATTGGAACTTGCAATAATTTCAGACTTCTCTGCTGTAGTCAAAGTGTTGAATTCTTGTCGAACTATTTCAGTTAATGTTTCTTGAATCTCAGCAGAAGAAAGCAACCCAGACCTCCCTTTATTGAAGAATTGCTCCCGTCTTTCTCGCATTTGCTTTTGGCATTTCTACAAAAATAAACAACGGTAAATACTCAAAAAAATGCAGCAATGTTAAAGTATATGAGTTGAATAAATTCATTTATCAGAAGTTTGTTTGATTCTCAATTCATTTAACCTTTCTAAGGATCTCGTGAAATTTCGATAAATCAGGTCCTTTTTTAAAAATTCTTTGATTTAAATTTTGAGGTACAAACGAAGACATTTTAATGTAATTCAAAAGTATAATTTTATAATAACAACTGTATCGGGATCACTAAAAAATTTTTCCAAATTAGAATTTCGGAGTTCTGTATACAAACATTTTTAAATGTACTACTTTACTTATCCAACGGAATTTTTCAAAATATCGATACCTTGTTCTGTTGGCCTACGATATCTCGATTAAGAATCACGATATGAACATTTGAAAAAAATGCATGCATACATTTAAATAGTACTAAGGATATGTTTATAATTCAATCAATAACGTAAATTTTTATTTTTATTTTGAAAAACTATAAAAATGGAATCATCACGCTCATCTATTAGTTAATTAATTAGTTGGTTAGTCAAGAAATGATTTCTGAAGTAATAACAAATAATACTACTATTCAATAATTGGATATAAACGAAATACAAATTGTTTGATTAAAACGTGGTGAAATATAAGCATATATTATATTTAATAATTAATCAAGGAGCATGGATATATATACGTACGGAATAATACTAGATAAATATTAATCATTAAGCTTTATTTTCGAAGTTTGATGATTCGATATACACATACGTCACTCGCACGTAAATTTGGGGTAGGCACTGTCAAAGTAACAGATATCTTATTGGACGTTGGACATCGGAGGTGCACGGAGATGTACACATCATTTATTGGTTGTATACCATCAGGTTTGTATCCGAATCAAAACGGTGATCTCTAAGATGCTTCTTTTTTTCATAAGCTAATGTCAAAAAATCAATTTATATTTCCGTTTCCATGCACATCCGGTGTCCGATGCTCTTTTATTTAGAAAGTGCCTTAACAAGAGTTTTCAACAGCTTCCGATAAAAGGAGTACATACGAATTTCGTTAACTGTAAATGCTAAAAAAGGGATCGTTAATAAAAAGAATTCTTGTTATAGTTCATAAAGTAATATGCGTAATAAAAAATAATCATCAATTTATTGATAATATGATTTTTTGTTTGCACGAATGAAATAGTTTTTGCAGTCAAATTTCTTGATGAATATTTTATTATACATTCAAGTATGTATTTATTCTTAGAACAATTTTTATATTGACCTACTCTCGTATTATATTACAACAATATAAACAGTCAATATGCATTTGTTCTGTTTATTTTAAACAAAAAATGTCCATTGCGTGATCCATTGAAATGTAATATGTTGGAAGTAAAGCACGCAATGTATTTTATGAAATTATATAATTTCGAGTTCAGGCTGGAGCCAGCAAAATAGCTCATTTCTATGTTGTACTTCTTATATGGATTAAATCGAACAGCGGTTTACTAGCTATATGGAATAAAAAATCCATTAGAAATGGATGGATTTTCATATACACTATTGATTAGAACTACAACTCAAAAGATTTAAAATCATAGTGCAACATATAATTTTACATCTATTTGAACTTCTTAACAAATGTGATGCCTTTATGGACACCTATATGTTTATTTATATATATTTGATGCTTCTCAAATCGGTCAGGTATTTTATTTTTACGAAAAGAAGCATATAACAGTTCAAACTTTTGTTGATCTTCGTAATTTTACATAACTATGTACGTAGTTTACTGACTTAAGGTTTTGGTTTTTTTTACAATATGGCACATATTGCAGTTCGACTTTGAACAAAGTGAGTATTCTCACACTAACAGTATCAGAAAATACAAATTAATCCGTTTTTTCTTACTTTATATCAAATCTCAAATATAAAATCATGACTTCTTTGTGGTTTGCTTTTCGTGTTACGTTCCGCGCTTACGCAATAAAAATAAATCCAACGCTACTTAATACACATATTTCCGATAGTTTCAGAGTAGCGTTTTAACGAATCAACACCATCAATTTCTGAAATAATATTTAACAATCGTTGAAAGACAGCGTAGATATAACGAATCTAAAAATAACACGTTAAAGCTGCAACACTTTCAACATTTGCTTTTCTTCATAACACGGTCAAAAAATATCAGACAATCTCTTGAAAAATATAGTAGAATATGTCTGTAAATGTAAACGCTGAATTGAAATCGCAGGTGAGTGTCGAAAGTAACTGCAAACAATCATACTCCAGAATGGTTAACAAATAATTATTTTCATCTTAAATATCACATACGATATTACTGAACAAAACCTCATCTGCTATAACCGAGCTTTAAGAGGACAATGACAACATTATTCTTATATATTCCCGTTCTGTTTCACAAACTAGATGATCTTGCAACATCGCGGACTCAATAGTTAGATACGGACATCTTGAGGTACTACGTACGTATATTTATTAACGTGTTATAATAATACAATATATCTCCGTTTTTCAACAACAACGAGGAGAAGTTGAGTGATGATTGATTTTTAAGGTCGGGTAATAGTATCTGTTTTAACAAGTACGTACAGCCTTAAAAACTAAATGATGGCAACAATGCATGCCTTTTGGATGTGTTCTTTATAAATTAGCACACGTATACAGCGAATGATCGCGTCGGGAATGCTAATTTCTTGCTTTATCGCTAAACTTTATTGTATTCATTAGCTAATTTATTTATCCCGCTTGCTTTTGCTTGTTCGTCAATCTTGTTAGGTATAGGAGTATTTTTGGAGCAGAGTTCAATATTTGGAATTCTAAAAGCTAGCACATACAACTAAACATGTAGTTTTTCGTGTATAAAAAATAAACTTTGATCGGAGGCGCAATGTTTCATTGTTGTTCTCTTGTTTCATGAGTAACAATTTGTCAGTGAGCTACTAAATTACTTGTTTTTTTTTCTTTTTATCTTTTTGCAATGTTATTCGCACTTCGTTAATTCTTGAAGAGCATCGTGTTTACATTAACGTCCTTAAAAAAGTACTACATTATGTACGTATTTATTTCTTTATCCATTAATTGATGTAGCTTCCTTTAGAATATAAGTACGAGCGAGTCTGCAGCGCGGGCTCGCCGATGCCGAAAACCGCTGTTCTCGATAAGAATAGAGGAATGTCAGACTTATATGTTTCTTTGTCTTGCCACCGCATCTGTTTGTCTCAAGCTAATTATGTACACGGTATATCTACAATCGCATCTTGACAGCGGTGAAGAAACTGACTGAAAACGCGCACAACGTACATCTGGAATTTCGTCGCGATAACGACCCAATTGAAGTAAAGCAGAGCGCAAACGTGGCGTAGCGAGGTCGATTTCAATCACTTTGTTGGCCACGCACCCGGAACTAATATGCCTTGTACAGCAACAATGGCAATGGTGGCAGAGTACCGTCATGCAAGTATAGCAGCGACGAGGCCGCCGGCAGACAGCTCCCCCTCTCCCTCTCTCTGACGAGGAGGGTGTGTAAGTACAGTGCATCCGCGCTCATCGCTCATCGTCAATTGCTAAAGCATTACGCTTCGATGTCTACCGCCGTTGCTCGAATAACGAGCGACAGCGGACGAATCGTCATAATTTCTCCGGCGCGCTCGACTTCCCGGGCGGCGTTCCAGGCGACTGTGGCTGATGGCGAGCCGGCGCAGGCCCGACACTCGTGCTGCGCTCCAGGGTCACACCACTACCGTCAGCACTTACGTGACCTTCCGACGCTGGCTGCGATATGGCGCGCTTTGTCGACCTAAAAAACACGAGCAATCGTTTAACCATTGCGCCCAAAATGATATGTTGCTTTTTTCTTGACTAACACGTAACTAAATCTTTTTTTCATTATTATTATTTCTTTCAAGTACTCCACGAGGGTTTCGCTCTATGAGCATCATTCGATTCTCCGTACATATGACAAACGGGACTCATCTACTTGTCTAGATATACGTATGTCAGTCAGCTTACGGAGCTAGAGCTTGCAAAGCAAAAAAAAAAAAAGAAAAAAAGAATTTTTATACAACTGAAAGATGTATAAAACAAAAATTATAACAAATAAACCAGTCTGTTTTTATAGTGCTTTTTCTTACAACTTTATAAATACCAATGACGACTTTGTTATTGCATGAAAAATAATCTACGCGCCAAATGCCAGATATTCAATAAGCTCGTGAAATACTTTAGATTTTATATTTTCAAGTATGTACAGCCATTCAGTTGTTCTTTGAAAAAAAGTTACACTTAAAAAGCCATTCACACATTAGTGAGAGTCTCACACAAAAATTGAGCTTTTCAGTCTTATTGAAAAGTAGATCTTTATATGTAAATATAGCTTATGTGCGGCATGTACAAAAAGCAGCAGTGTCTTCTTGGCATATTGATATAAAACATTAAAAAATCGTATATTGGAAAAAAAAAATATATATAGTTAATATAAGCAGACACTTATTTTGTTGTCAATTTCACACAGTGTACATTGTTATTTGTATGTGTTTGTTTGTATTGTCCGATAGACTGGTTCTGAAAGTACAAACAATCATTAGACTGCTAGTTAACTTAATTGCACTTCCAGTATAAAAGGTTTTTGAGGAATCGATTTAGAGAGAGATAATGGATATAAAATGTCTGCAGGAACATATACGTAAGTTACAGCAGTCAACATAAAAGCACTTTAGAGCAACATTATTTATAAAATGAGTATCCACTTTGATGACAGAAAGTACAAGCAGAATTGGTGATTTTGATAACGTACATTACACCTGCAAAGGCGTTATAAGTTCGCATAGATACCCACAAATACAATGCAATAAGGAAAGTTTGTGTATGCAGCTGTTGGCGTGCAGTGGGGCGAAAAGCTATTGCGAGGCAACGAAAAAAAGTTTGTTTGGTTACGTGAAATGATGCGAACGCTCGGTACACGGATATTGAAGCTCTAATGTATTCACGCATACCTCGTATTAAGTGTACATCTCCCTAGCAAATGATCATTAGAACTAATTAATCAGATTTACTGAAATATTCGTATGTTTCATTATAACAAAATATATTACTATACTATCAAACTCAATTTACTTGTCTACCGAAGCATTTAGGTATGCACTATCGAAAACTTTAGGCATTTTAAACTAGTTTAAGTCGCCGTACAAAGCATTTCTAAAAGTGCCACTTATCGATAAAAATACAGGTATCCGTGGGTTATCCAATGTACCATATATATGAGTCGGCAATCACATTTAAGTATTGTCGTGCATATTTATAAATAAGTAGAACATCGTATTGTTTAATATTTCGTGCTCTCATATCCCTTCGGGACAACGTCAAGCAGTGATAGAGCTGGGCTTAACACCATATTCATTTACTTTTGCAAATCGAAGCCTTTCAAAGAAATGTCAAAGGCGTGACAAATCGTTGAACCAATTCCAAGAAGTCTAATGAATTTTGGTGAAACGCCAACTCGAAGATGTTCTTGTCGTTCTTTTCTCTAAGCACAGAAAAACATCGAGAGTGAGAAAACAAGAAGATTGAACGTTAATTGGGCAGTCGCGGTCGAACACCCAATTTACCTTGGTCGCCGAAACGTAACCGGGCGTTTTTTTTGTTCCTCTCGGGAGTTAGTTAGCTCTAACTAGACGCACAGATACAGACGTACACGACATCCTCGTTAGTTTGCGTTATTCGTCTGTTCACATGGCGAGCCGATTATAGATATTTTACGAGATATAAGAGAGCAGAAAGGTGACGCTAGTAGTAGCAGTAGTGGTTGTTGTTCAAATAGTAGTTGTGGTAGCAGTCTGTCCATTGTCTCTCGCGCAGAGATAACAACGTCTACGTAATATTTTGCGGGCCGAGTGCGAAATATCCTCACAGTCGGCACCTGTAATTCAACAACCTCCGTCAGCTCTCGTCGGCCAAACGTTTTCTGACTTTAGATTTTTTTAATCATTTATCAGTGTCTCATATCATTCTTTTCTGTTATGTTGTCGTCTCGTTTATTATTGAGGGATAAAACAGTTACTGCCGCACTCTAACAATTGTTTTACACGTGCATATTATGCTCTTTCGAATTATTTAAGTTTACGATAAATCATTACTCCGAATCTCGTAGCAAATGGCCTAATAATGTTAATTTGGTAAATGACATTTTGTTTAGTGTTACATGCAGCTATTAACTTTCATTTGAATGGCTTTCTAATTATTACCATGCTTGGATAAATGTCTTCTATGTTAAAAAAGTGTTGTCACCAGCGGCATTCACCAAATTACAATTGTCAGGCTGGATTGGCAACTGTAACGCTCTACAATGAACAAACTCAATGAAAAAAAAAGTATATATATATATATGACAGAACGACGGCCAAAAGGTGCAGAGGTAAGCTGCGCACATCTATAAAAACAAATGAATCTTTTGGGGATTGAAAACAAAGAACTGGGCAATAATCGCAACGGATTGGTGAGAGACAATCTATTTTATAGCTACCTATAAGCTCACATTCACAACGTTATAGGGGGGCCGGAGCGGAGACAAGGTAAAAGTTGTAATAGCAAAGATAGAGAGGTGAAAGACGAGAGAAATAGTTACCATAGTGTGAGTAAGTTAATTGTAGGTAGATAATAGGCGTGTGTTAGATGTGACAAAGGTGGGCTTTCCTTTAAAGTACACACTGCTGCGCGCCGGTGAGCTGACCGCCGTGTCGTTACTGGAACACAGAGCCGACTGGCTCGTATTCACACTCTACGCACGCACCCTACTCACACATATATATGCATATCTAGATATTGAAAGACACACACTGCCTCTCCGCGCGGCAACGTCGACGAGCACTTATTTTCAATCTCAATCTTACTTGACTGGCAAACGTTCACCGCCAGCAAAGTTCTCAAGACTTTTTCTTACGAATATGACTGTGTCCGAGTCAACTCGTCTTTTTGCTCGTTCGTGCGATCGAGTTTTCTTGGTCATAGATTGTTTTAGAAAGAACAATCGAGTGTTGTTGCTAATCGACACCTATCGTAACCTTCACTATTTCGAACTATCGTGTAGTCTCTTTTCGTTTTAAACAATCTCTTTTGCCGCCTCGCTGTCCCTCGTAGATAACGTTACTTCGAGAAAAGAGTCTCTTCGACTAGTAACAAATTATTGCGATTATCGCTTTTTCGTCCCTAGCTTAGATACAATGAAGTCTCTTCTCAATTTTTCTTACTAAAATGAAAAAAAAGTCAACTGATTACACTTTATTTTTTAAATGACTATAGCTATCGCTAAGTAAAAAAATCGTCTATCTTGAAGCACTATAACTATATACTAGAGGATTGTCTTCGTGATGATTAATCCGCTTTCGAAAAACCGCTATTGTCGAAGAAAAAAATAAGGTCCTAATACAAAAGTAGTATAATAAAAAATTGAGGTAGATCGCGCCAAACAGAACATAAAAGCGCGTCCCTCGTCAACTACAAACGGCACTGAAGAGAGACATAAAAAAAGACATAATCATTAGATAGTCTTACCTTCGTCGTCTAAGCGAGGCATTCTGCCCGGGCAAACCGAAATGCCCTCTCGGTATGACCATACGCGCATTGCCCTGCGCGGGTCTTGAGCCTCCGTGAGCTTGAAGTGCATTCAGGTGAGCAGCGTAACCCTCTTGAAGCACCGTTGCAAGCGCATGATTTTTACGCGGCACTTTGCCAACCACGAAGATCTGATTTGGTTGCAGATTTAACGAAGTGTATACATTGATGTCCTTATTGCTGCCGTACGCGTGGTGGATTATTATGCCGTGCTCCTGCGTCAATAAAAAGTAATGTTTCAGTGACGAGCTGTATAAGGTGAGAACCAATAGAACAAGCTTTTTGCATTAGCCTCACCTGCACGAGCTTTTGGAGATAAGCGGCTTTATGCGCCAGAGGGTCAGTCGATATACCGTCGGCGAAGGACACCAGACCGTGAGGGAAATTGTGTTGCGAGAGCCACGAGACAACCTTGTGCTGTTGCATGTCCGGCCTCCCGGTTATGTAAATTATTAGGTAGCCTAGCTCTTGCCAGTGTCTGAAATAATTGTTATTTTGTGTTGCTTCTGTTCGCGCACTCAAAAATGCAACGTGTAATCGAGTGTTTTAATTTTTCGGTACGCATTTCATTTACCTGACAACGTCTACCGCGCCAGCTCTTACTTTAGGATCCCTACCGGTCACAGATACACTCGCAGTGAAAGAACCGTCAATACTAAACACAACGCATTCTGTTTTTGGTGGTATCACAGCCATATAGAAGTCTACGGACGTATGGTCGCCTCTGCAAGTAAACAATACGAACATTAGGAAATGTTACCGGTGCGCTAATTTCTAAATTTACTGACCTCACTATCATTTTTACAGGGTAGAGTCCATATCCTAATGTTTTGTCCTCTGGAATTTGATAAGTAATTTTGCCGCTTTTATCCGTAGTTTCAGTCGCATAATAAACCCATTCTCCGCCTCTAACGTCTTTCATTATGTGAATATCTACATTTTCGCCTGCGAGTAATACCATACGAATGAATTTATATTAATCTCGTGATACGTCATAGTTTCATGACATTCCTTACCTGATAAGGCGATGACACCTATAGGACCATACATAAATCTAGCTACAAGTACTTGAGGTGTACCATCTCTAACAATAACATCATTAGCTCTATGATTAGCAGCAACATTCTGAACGAAAAAGTGATATTGAAAGATTAATAGGATTACAATGGAAATGAGGCTGAAAACTGTTATCTTACTTTAACTTTAACAGATGTTCGCTTTTTATTCCACTTTTCTCGCGGTTGTCCTGGACGGAAGCCTGTAAGCTCTTTCTCCTCGTGGCCGAGCATCTGCAGATCGAACCTACCGAGTTGGCGAATGATGAAAGCAATGACATCCGAGGACTCCCAGTAGCTCGCGTGAAAGAGATGAGGTAAGGCGTTGGTAGGAAAATTGGCTAGACCCTCTGGGCAATAAAGGGCGTAATCTATTCTTTTATTGCCCCACCACTTCTGCGTCACTGGAACAGTTCGGAAGACAGAGCAAGTGTGAGTCATTGTCGGCTTGACCCTGTCAAGGGACTGTAAGCACTACTGAAGCAAAAAGCGATATATACGAGAAGATACAGCTTGAAGAGGTATAGTATCTATACCGGACATAGTACTATGTATCGATATATCCGACAGTCTTCTCAACTGAGACATCGTAACGTTCGAAACGTTCAGTCCATCGGTGAAGAATTGTGGATTCGTCTGTATGGTTTCCACTGGCAAACAGAACGAGATCGTATTACGAGCTTTCTAGCGCTTGTTAGCGATAAGCCGTCACTTACGCAAGTGATAAGGTTGGCCGTTGCCAAGCGGGTAGTTCTGATAGCGAGCGACGTTGACCGGGGGTAAGAGTGAAAAGCGAGCCGAGATCAGCGGCTCCAGTCTAGCTGCGACCGGATCGGTAGGGTGAAACAGATTGTACACCTGATTGACGCACGGCCTGTTGATATTGCTGATTTTGTCAGCCGTCGAGGAGATTTTTCTGTAAGCTAGCACCAATGACAGCGGACTGCCGAACATGAAGAACTCGCTCACTTCGAAGTCCAGTTTGACGTGGTGAGAATTGTCACTGCGGCAAACGTCAATTCGATAAGCGATTCATCGTCGCGCCTACCGTTCGCGCAGCGATACGGCTCCTCGCTTTACCTCGTCGACGACGATCTCCGCCTCGGCGACGGCGCCGAGAGGTGCCGGCTGTCCTCCAAAATGTTGTCGTGATTGTCGGTGTCGAGGATGCTGTTCTCGCTGTCGTGGCGTGACTGATACTGAGCCGATCTGCACAGCGCGTCGTAAGCGAGAATCGAGCCGACCGAGTCACCGATGAAGCAAACTTGACCGTTGAAGCCACGACCCTCGTCACTTTTCGCGAACTCTTGGTAGACCTGGTTGGCGCCGCTCACCACTTTTGTCACCGCCTCGTCGTAGTCCGGCGTCGAAGAAGCCAGTAAAGGGATGGCACCGATCGGTATCGTGTCGTGCGTTATCTGCGGTGCATCCATACACGATGGCGACACGTCGAAGCTGTACGGACTAAGGCTGAAACAAATATATCGTTGCGTGTTCGCCTGCCTTCTTACCAGATTCTCTTATTGCGAAACATTCAACATTGGCACTTGGCTTTGCAATGTTTCAACTATTTTCAAACGCGCATTCTCTGGTTGCGTGTCTGCCCAAACTCGACTTGTTCTACTTGTAACACCCTCGTCAATTTTCATTCGACTTATTTATATCTCAATTACCAATTGAATTGATGACATTTGGATTTTAATTTACCCCTGATTACGACTGAATATGTCCCAAGGCGCCAGGTCAATTATTAAATAAGTATATCGATGTTCTCTAAACGGGGTCGTATCGGGAATTAAAACGAACGCTTTGAAGATAAGGTTCTTTGTTGCGCCTAGTTTCCAAGTGACAATCTTGATACAGTAATGACAAATGACCATGGCGGACAGAAGCGAAAGAAATATTTGAAAATGCGCAGATATGGCAAAATGTTAAAAAGCCATCGGAAAAGTAATTTAGCTTCCTTACCTAGATAAAATACCGAGGCCCTCGGTGCAAATCGAGGGACAAGAAACGAACTTGATTGAGATGTGGCCGACCATCGTGGGATAGTGTTGTCTCATCACAGACTCGAAAGCACCTTTGAAAGTCGTTATGTCGGATTTCTTGGCTGTAAGATCGACGTTTGCATCTGCAACGAGGGAGAAAACGAAAATGAGAAGTGGGTGATTAAATGGAAGGAAAGAAGGCCGCGTGCTAATGGGAGATGGCGGTTATAATCAATCAATATAACAAGAGTCGCAAGCTGCGGCTTACCGAGAACGCTGCCCGCGTGAAGCACAACGAGGAGGACGGTGGTACTGCAGGGTTGGTGGGTGGGCGAGTGCTGCGGTGAGGCAGGACACGAGACGTCGATGCTCGCCGAGGTACGAATCGCCAGGCGCTTACCACTTCGCTCGCTCGCTACACGCTGTAGGTAAGCGTGTGAAAATATCGTGTCGTCTGCGAACACAGACAAGCATGTTATATGGCTTTCAGTGTCCAACGTGCAAGCGGACTCGGGCTTTTACGATGCTAAATTGTCGACGGAGCTCTATCTACACTACTACAGTTAAATGGAGATTCTGCCACACGCTCTGCGAAAAAAGCTGGACTTTCTACTCGTTGTTTATTTCTTTTAATTTTTTGTATCAATTTTTTAGCAATTAGTAACGATTCAATAATTTACAGTCAATTTTATTTAACAATTTTGGAAATTCTCAATCAGCAACTGGACATTAACGCCGTGATGTGAGATCACATTTTTCGAATATTTTATGCTGAGTGGGTCCCGATCGAGAAAAAGAGAAACGACTCGACACCGTGGATATCCAATACGATACTCTACTTTCAGAAGTCACGTACACAAAGAAATTCGATATATCGTCATTAACCGCATAAGCAACAAAGCAATACTATAAAAGTACAAGAATAATTGAAGAACGCTATACACTGCCCGTCAATCACTTTTGCCATGCTTACCTCAAAATTAGGCAAACTTGAAAGTTTTGTATCTCGGTCGGAAATCATCGTATCACAAAAAACCGCAGGGCATTTTAAAGGTAATTGCAAAAGCTTCCATTTAAGACGTGCAGAGACTTGAAAATGAAAATATGTGTTTTTTACAGTGAAAAAACTGATTAAAAAAATTTCAATTTTTTTAACCTCGACTTAAATCAATGCCAATTTAGAACCAGGCGGTGGAGGGCAAATCGACCTGAGGGGTTCGGAGGGTAATGTCTTTCCCTTTAAAATGAGCTCCCGCGGGGTGCTATCTGATGTTTTTTAACCGAGTTACGGCGTTTTTTGTAAAAAGCAACCTTTTTTTCCAATCCTCAATTACTTCGACTTGCGTACGTTTTGGAAAAAAATGCCAAAGAGAAAAAAGTTTCATTTTGTGTCCAAGAATACGAAAATAAAGTCAAAATAAAGAAATAGAGAAAAAATTTTTTTTCGGTTTTTTAGCACATTAAAAAAATAAAAGAATTTAACTTTTTTTTACGCTTAGTTTTAAAATGTCTTTTAATTTTTGTGATTTACTACTCCCCTAGACATTTTAAAACTAAGCGTAAAAAAAAAGTTAAATTCCTTTATTTTTTTAATGTGCTAAAAAACCGAAAAAAAATTTTTTCTCTATTTCTTTATTTTGACTTTATTTTCGTATTCTTGGACACAAAATGAAACTTTTTTCTCTTTGGCATTTTTTTCCAAAACGTACGCAAGTCGAAGTAATTGAGGATTGGAAAAAAAGGTTGCTTTTTACAAAAAACGCCGTAACTCGGTTAAAAAACATCAGATAGCACCCCGCGGGAGCTCATTTTAAAGGGAAAGACATTACCCTCCGAACCCCTCAGGTCGATTTGCCCTCCACCGCCTGGTTCTAAATTGGCATTGATTTAAGTCGAGGTTAAAAAAATTGAAATTTTCTTAATCAGTTTTTTTACTGTAAAAAACACATATTTTCATTTTTAAGTCTCTGCACGTCTTAAATGAAAGCTTTAGCAATTACCCTTAAAATGCCCTGCGGTTTTTTGTGATAAGATGATTTCCGACCGAGATACAAAACTTTCAAGTTTGCCTAATTTTGAGGTAAGCATGGCAAAAGTGATTGACAAGCAGTGTAAATTCTTGAAACTAATTTCACAGCAATCAAATCATGCACATTGTTCAGTCATTCAAATAATTCATTAAAGAAGTATAGTGTGTAAATTGCAGCTCTTTATTATGTAAAGGACACGCATCTTTCAAATGCACACGTTAACAATGAAAGCAATTGCTTCAAGACGAAATTGTATAAACTCACTTCTAGATTATACAAAAGTTATCGATTAAGAGAGAAAAAACTTAATTCACTCTATGAATTCATTATAAACCTCTTGTTACGTATTATTTATTGTTAGTTGGAAATAATCAACACGGCATCATACGAACGGTGGCATGTAAATGAAAGTGTTCACTGTCTGTGATGGGGTTCTTTCGGCTTTGAATAGACTTCTAATGAGGCAAAGCTGTTGACATTTATCAAATTTTTCATCCTGTAAAAATATTAGCTGTGAAAACTTAAAAAACAAATCTGACAAGCGTAAAGTTATTCGCAGGCCTCATTGCGTAATACACAAGTACTTTAGCTAACAAATATTGAGCTAACGCTGACAACCAAGCTGCAATATGTTAGGGGATGTATCGTCATACTGCGACTGAGTGAGTATTAAATTATTACTAATTAGGTCGCAATTAATAATTTTAGAAATAGAACGTTGCTCATTAGTATTGAAGCTGATTGAGGCGAATAACAGACTGTATGTTTTTTTATAATTTATCGATGAATATAATGAAAATAATCGTTCTGCCAATAATCCTTTGCTGATCAAAGATAAACTATCGAAAATAGAAGACTTTTGATTACGCGGCTTTGATAAATGAAAAAAAAAAACTCTTGATACTGATGAAAAGACCGAGTCAACAAGCTCGCGTTGAAAAACGAGGCTAACGACAAACAACATTAACTCGGAAAGAGTAATCAACTTACCCAGTTTAGGTTCAGGCGCAGTAGGTGATGTCACCTCCTCCTCTTCTGCTAGAAGATCCAAAGAACTCCATTTAGCTAATGACGAGTTATCTTCGAGTGCAAAGTTCTCTGTGTGGTCAGAAATTTCAACCTGTTCTTTATTTTTCCTCTCAACGACTCAACTATTTAATGCCTTGAAAAATTCTTTGCAGATGCAAATCGATCAACTCTCAAATACATGAGAATATACATAAAATAAAAGCTTATACAATTGAAGTTTGTAAAAGAACAAAGCCATTTCGAAGTACAGCAATATTAATGAATTCATATAAAAGCAATTAATGAAAAGTTGAGTTAATAAGTTCATTGGAATCACATACTTTGGTTGTATTGCTGAGCACTGGAGAACGTGGCCACATGCTTAAAAATACATGCCGTGACAAAAGTGTCTTCTATAAGTTTTTAATTATCTTATCCATAATATCTATAAGATTACTTATTTGACGGCCTTATATGTGTTTTCTTAAAAATAGTGCACTTCAACGTCAGTGCGAGAACGTGATTTTATCTCGGTTAGCAGAGATCAAATCACTGTTCTACTATTTATTGCACTCTATTCCTTTTACAATTGAGTGAAAAATTCGATTTTGAACATGCTTCTTATGCTAAGCGTGTGTGAAGTTATACTTCACGCACGAAGTGTTTTAAGGAACAAAGTACTTACATCAATATTATTCAAGTATAAGTAAAATACTGAATTCTATTTTCTCAGAAAAGCATTTTTTTTTGTTCAATACCATAAATTGAATATCATACAGTTAATGTGTGGCATTTATTGAACTATTTGGATATGAATTGAACGCGTAGGATAAATTTCATCCAATACAATAAATGTCATATTTTTATGTTCGAGTATGCGTGAAAGAGTTTTGTGTAAAATTGTGTACGTGTAAAATATAAAGTTACACGTAAAACCGTTTAAAGAAAGTAGTACTCGTATCTATGGTTATAACAACTAAGGGATGATTGGTAGAAATAAAAATTGGATTGTATAATATTCGCCATATCTAACTACATTTGCTTCTTTATAGAAAAGACTATTCGTACCTTCAACTATGGTAGGTATAATAAACCCGGTTGCAGCTGTAGTGATTGCACGTGCGATAAAAAAACAAAGACAGAATGCATATCAAAGAGCAACATTCTTGTTGCGATTTTCGTGCTTTGTAGCATGTGTAGGTTGTATGTATGTATGTTATCGATTGACAGGGCTAAAAATTTTTATTAAAAATGTCGTTAAAACTACAGAAATCGCAGATATCATCATCAATACCTTGACTTTAATTCTTTCTCAGTTTTTCAATCAAGAAATTTAAGACACTGTTCAAAGTCAAAGTGTCGATAGCAGTTGTTAGTCCAGTTATATAGAAATGTGTTTGTAATTAAATAATCACTAATAATCTGACATGCTGGAAAACTGTGTATAGTAATCGTGTCATTCCGTCTGTAGGTAAAACTATATAGTGTCAAGTCAGAGTTTCAAAGAGATATCTATAAGAGTAAGTATAGCCATGCTGAGCTCTCATGACTGTTCGAAAAAAAGATGAATATCAGGCACAGAAAGTCCTGCTGTGAAGTCGTAGTGAAGCTGTTACCTTGACAGTCGAAGAACTCGTCTTCGCTTCCGGATTCCGATTCTCGTACAATACTCTCCATCCTCCAGTTGGCTATCTGGACGTCGAAATTCTTAGCTGAGTTGGGTGAGTGCAGTGAAGTGCCGCCTTTCTTACCCAGCTTGTCCTTTTCCACTCTCGCTGGCCTTTCCATTTTTCTACAACAAATCGGCCGCGAAATTTTCCCACTCAGTCGCTTAAATCTTTTTGCTATTTTTTTTTTCTTTCTCATCGCGAAATTCACGATCATCGTGTAGATTATCGGGCTACTAGGATTAGAAAAAAATAAGAAAGCAACGGTGATAAAGTTTGACGTTGCGCGAAGTTTGCATGCCAGTCTTGACAATCACGACGCCCGGCAGATCGCGAATCGTTCGAGCGCACATTCTGACGGTGCATCCAAAGCAATGAATGTGAAGTACTTGCGTACCTGGGAGGTGGTATTATCTCGATAGGCGAGTCCTCGGGACTGTTTTCACCGGAGCTAACTGCGGTGCTGATAATGGGAATGTCGGCGGGTTTTCTCATCGAAGCTGGACTCTGCATATCCTCGTTCTTCTCGATACTTCCAAGGGTCGCTGCTAATGTCTTCGCCACGTGCTCCGAATCTTGAGGCGTGATCGTCGCGTTCACCTTGTCCGAGTCGGCTTCCTCGCCGTCGGCCAACTCTTCGCTCGACTCGCCCAGACCCATCTTTGCTTGGAGTGCCAATTGCGTTTGACGCTCGATCTCGCGAATGTCTTCCATCGTCAGCCCGACCCACTCGTCTTGCCAGGCCCACGCTTGTCGGTGAGCTCGGACCATCGTTTTTCTCAGAGCTATAATTCAATCAGTTCGATTGTCTTTGTCAATCGCAAATCCAAGACACGCGCGTTGTTTTTTTATACATATAATTCCTACTAATTGGATCTGCTCGTACAGAAATTTTCAATCAGCCCGAGAAATACGAGAAATCGATATAAACAATGACATAACATCCAATTCCACAGAAACTATCTCGGCATTAAGTACACATAGCCTCGTAATCCCAATTGCGCTTTCATGTCGAATCGAAAAAGATTTATTTTGATTGTAATTATCACGATGCAATTTGAGATTGAATCGGAATATTCCATTTCATTCGAGCCAACTTATCATTTTGTAATTGAATCAAATTCAACTCTCATTAAAAAAACAGCCAAACAGTCACAAACAATTTTGCAAAACTACAGAGCCGGCGAGCATTCGAATTACCGCTACATCGTAAAAACTCGCGAACACAAGTCTGTCATAACATTCTTTTTACAATGTCATTCATTTCTCTCTCTCTCTCTCTCTCTCATCTTGCTCACTCACCGATGTCCTGGATGAATTTCTCGAGTTTTGTCTGCATGCCCCAGTAGCGGAACTCGACGCGGCACAATTTGTAGGCGCACATCAGCGATTTTCCTGAAGGAGTTGGCTGTGACTTACCCTATTAGAGTACAAACAAAATTTAGGTATATCGCACAAAACTCAACAAAGCTTCGTCGGAACGTTACCACCAAGTGCGGAAATTTATTTTTGTTCCTCGAGGTCTTTTTGTAGAATGTAAATGTTCAGCTCGAAAAGGATAGTTACACGCGTGAACTCTCGAGAATAATAATTTACGTTGAGCCATTTATCAATTAATGTATTCAAAGAGCTCGACAGGTGAATGTATTAATGGTCGTTACACAAAATTAAGGTACGACGATTAATTACGACGAATTATGTCAGCTTTTGACTGCTTATTCGCAGATATTCCGTGTATCGTAAGTATTAGTGAAAAGGAACAATTTTAGGTGGTCTGTAAAGCGAAAGACGAAAACAAAGTGAAGAAACCTACTTTAACCTCAGTCCAATAGTCTTCAAGCCAGTTTTCGTTGAGTGGACCCCTGATAGTCTTTTCCGAGATATATAGCGTCGGATCCTCCTCTTTGACGTAATCGGCTCCGTAAAGTTGATCCTTGACGATGTCGATAACATCTGTAATAAAACAACAAGCGACGTGATGTGGCGCGAACAGTATTCTAAAATAAAAGGGAAAAACGGGAACGATCTATATCCGCGCGTGGCAACAGACATAACGTCCCTGTCTGGCGAGGCGTGCTCGAAAAAGCTCGATTAGCGCCTGAATAATTGATCGCCGAGTCGCGAAATACAAATTTAGCCACAGACACAATTGTGTGGCTTTAGAGGCTGCATAATTGAGGGGCAAAGCGACATCGCGACGCGTACATATATAATCGGGCTACTGACCTACAACCCGATTGCGCAAATCGCTGCCGCTCAGCTTGAATACATTCTCCTGATAGCCGTTGTCGGGGAAGTAGTAGGTCTCGATTTCCACCGAGAACTTCTCGACGAATGGGCACGTGTAGCGTGTCTTGGTGTACGGGTAGGCGTTCCACGCTTCCTCCTTGACCATCAGCGCTGACTTCGGCAGGAGGCTCTTGAACCAACCGGGCAAGTGGCTGCCCACGTGGTAGACTTTGTGAGTGTACTGGCCCTTGCCCTCGGGTCCTGGGCCGTCGGTGTAGGGCTCGTTCACGATTATCTCCACGCCGCTCCCTGCGCCTTTGCTCTCCTCCCGTGATTTTTTCTGCAACAATTCATTTCACTTCTTCGAGTCGACGAACGCTGCCAACAGCAGCTCTCCGTCGACTTGCCGATGTCATTGCCGACGACACGCCCCTGCGATTCCGGAAACTTCGCGCGCCAACAATTTCGCGCAAAAGTTCGCTCGCTGACGTTGGCGTGTGCGACCACCGAATAACGCGTAAAATCTGCCCTCCTCGATGTCTTTCAGGCGCACTCGTGCGAAGTGACGCACGCGTTCGTGCGAGTACTAGGTGCTCGAACACTTTGACGAAATTAAATCACGTATCTCGTTTCTCTCGCGCTCGCCAATCTACGTGACACGAAGAAAAATTTGCGAAATCCTACCGTTTTCATCGTATTATAGTTTCGGTCGTAACTGTCAGTCCAATTTGTAAAACCAAATGCAAATTCAAGTAGTAAACGGTACACGCGCATAACGATGCCTGATAGGATGTATATAATTTGCATCGCCACTCTGCAATTTTCCCATTACTAAGCGCTCGAGCTGCTCTCTCTCTCTCTCTCATGTTCTATGTTACAAGCAGTGCATGCTCAATATGTACATAAAGGAGTGTCCGGAAAAGAAATCGAGTACCGTTATACGACAATAATGACTAGAATGACCTATAATGAAAGTGGCGCACCCTACCCTAATATTAAAAAGTATGTATGTGCGCGATGTGATTGATCGAATCAATGAGTTGTTTCTTTTCTTCGCAGAGAGAAACGTAAAAGAAAGTTGACACTTACCGCTATCATGTACAGCTGCGCGATCCTGTACTCGTCCACGGTTAGTGGAAGGGGTATTCGATACTCTTTAATCAACATCTTGATTGATTAAAGTTGCTGCGTTATTTTATCGGAGCATTCCTGAAACATAACAAAAATTCATTGCAATTAGCATATCATTTGATTGATTTCTGTTTGCTAAGCTACGAGTTGAACGATTAAATGTTAATTGTTATCTAAAAATTTTAATCGGATGAAAAAGTGTCGACGTTCACTAGATGAGCGCTTATCTATAATATATATGTATAGCGTCTCCGTGATGTAATGTTAATGCACCGTAGTAATTAGCACTCAGTATGCAATATTTTATTTCTACGGTCGGGATAGGCTAACCTATTGAGTCACGCTATATCTTCCAAGGGGTAGCTTTTATCGTTTTCTTTCTTCCCAGCACGTATAAGAGTCAACAATATACTAATATATTAACGTAATGAACTTTTGTAATTACTCAAGCGTAATGCCAGTTTTGTAAATATCGTTTGGTATGGCATGAAAAGAGTTGAGAAAAAAAGAAACGCAAGCAATCAGTCGTGGTGTGTTTCGATTAAAGCCTCTTGGCACGACACGCGGATTCCCCAAGCGGATGCGCGGACAAACGCCCGGCCGTCTTTTTTTACAGCATCGCACGCGACTGAGTCGCATCAGCTCACGCCCCACACGACCCTTGGAGAACTTTGCTTCCCTTATCGTCTGTGCCGTTGCTTAGCCCACAAACAAACAGATAACATCTATCTGCCGTTTACCATTTGCTTCGTCAGCTCTAAGCCTAGATGACTCTCTTATCTGTCTCTTTTTAAGTTATGGCACTTAACGTAACCGAAAATCTAGATTCTTTCATATTTTTCCGATAATACCGCAGAAGAGAATAACGGCTTATAATCCGTTTATACGCATTTGTCCGGCATGGAAGCAAAAAAATAAGCCCACTCATTACCTTTCGAGCCGCCATCGAAGCGCTCACACTTAAAACTTATGAATAAAACCACTGAACCTACTAAAACTGTAGTTTTCGAATCTTCATAGAAAATAAATAAGAAATATCGCTAAACGTCCCGTCGCTATATCAAATGTATTTAATCGAGTGCGCGTTATTTCTAACAGTTAAGCAATCAGCATTGTAAATTTAATTTCAATTAGCGAACGATGGCGTCGGAATAATGTCAAAGCGAGACATCGAAGCGAGGCAAAGGGGCAGCTGTCGTTTAATTAGCACTCAATCAAATTCGCCTGAGCAGACTATCGTCGTCGTCGTCGTCGTCGTCGTCGTGCACGAGACGCCGTACAAGGAATGACACGTGGCCACGCGTCTCTAAGCACAAATCGTTTCGTGTAGTCCCTTTGATCGCTGTACCATGTATTACGACAGAACCTGCACACGCGACATCAACCTGGATGAAGCTGCCGCGACATTGCGGGTCGCATCTTCTTGTCGCGTTGAACTGATTAAACGCTTTATCTTTTGACACGCAGATATCTCCATTTGCTTTTTGTCTTTCATTGTTGATGACTTTCCATTGTCTCGCGCTCTCGTCGCAATACCGTGGCCGTTATCTATGCGCGTGAGCATCTCACAAAAGCTTGTCGATGAAAGAGAAGAACCGCCAGTGCGAAAAACGGCTTTTGCCATGAAATTCAGCGAATACGCATTTATGGACGTTAAATTGGTTCTTATTCGGGTTACCGGGCGATCGCGTTCGATAATTTTCCAGGACGAGCTTTTCCGTGCGCGGATGTAATAAAAATAAAAGTTGTCGTGCGTGCGCGCAATAGGCATACCTTCAGTACGCGAGTACGGTAGCAGGCGAGCTGCGATGTATTACATAACTGGCAACCATTTTACCAAGCAGCCGCACAATTAACCAGAAACACATCCGCTGCTATCTATAGGCGAACGCGCGCGCGTGTTTATCTGGCAGCTGCTTTAGTACGTTCCACAAGCGTCTACATTAGATCATCCGTCAATTAATTCAGTAATATCGGCCTCGCCCGATCAATAGTATCGAATCCGCCTGACGATCGTAGCCGAGAGGGAGAGATTGCAGCCGGTCAGCGACAGCCGAGCACTGCGTTGGCTTCCAGCCACGAAAATCTTGACGCGTGGTTTTCGGTGTAAGAGCGATGAGGAGAGGTTCGCGATTTCACGCGGCACGCGGCTACGAACATCCGCGAATCCGATTAGGCGGAAAGGCGAAGGCGTCCGGCGCACACTTGATCCATAACGTCCCCCGTCGATTAGCAGGCCAGAATGAGCGTCTGAACAGCGTCGGCGAGCGAGAACAAACTGACGGCACTTAGCGGACGAGCAGCTCGCGGCCGTCGGAGTCGCGCGGCCACGGGTACGACTCCGCGTTACCTTACGCACTACGCGGAAGCCCATCAAGTGCAATGAGCTAGCTCTCCCTCTCGCTCTGCTGCGCGCACGTCACTCTCCGCGTACTAACACTAGTAAACGCAAAACCTTATGACCCTCCCCGCCGAGTGGCTAACCTACTTTTTGCCCTCGTCACTTCTTCTATTCCCGCTGATTGCCGAGCTCTAATGGTTCTTTTCATTGACGATACACCCAGGTAAACTTCTGATCGAACAACTCGGATTCATCATCACTGCGCATTATTTCCCATTGCCCTTTCACGCACCTATGCTCGGTAATACTCTGTGCAGATACGCACGTATGAGCGCCTTCTGCCTGATGATCATTTCAACGTTGTTCAATGAATGACTACCGAAAATTGTGTTATTTTCTATTTTCGCTTGTCTCTTTTCTTTTTTTTAGTAAAAGATGTATTTTTGCGGCGATCAGTTGATTTTGACGAATGAAAACGAGAATGAACGAACTGTGAGCTTCGTTCTATACATCTCGGTGTACTAGCTTTCGCGAGCGAACAAGTTTTTTTGCAAATTGAAAAGATTCACGAAAGCTCTTCATAATTGAAAGAGAATACTCGTTCATTGAATTTATTAGATAAAAAACCAAGATATTTAATAAAAGGTCTGGCCCGCATTGTTTTCAAACTTTTTTTGTCGCCTCAGCCTTTCTCCTGCGTTCACCCTCCTTTCACGATAATTTTGTGTTTGCCTCTTTTGAAAAGTAAGCTAGCGGCCATATAACAGCAGCGAGGTGACTACAAGAAAGCTTGAAATAATAATGCTGCACAAAAAAGTCGGTTGCACGACAAAAAGACGTAAAAATAGCTGGCCTAATTGACGATGGATGCTCAATTATAATGTTCGCACGAAGGAAAAATTACATTTGCGTTACTTACAAACGCATTCATTTTAATTAACTTTAGTTCATTATTTTGTGTAAGTTTGTCGTTGCGCCGTTTGAAATATGAATAAATATTATTTGTAGGCGCGTGTTTGTTAAATGTGTGCATAAGAAATAGATATTTTGTTCGTTTCGGCGGCCGAAAATTTAATTTCATTACAAAAGCCTGGCGGACTGTGATAACGCCTTTTGTCCTCATTCAATCTCACTCGGCATTGCTCCCTACTCCCGCGTATATTTAATTTTAGCTTTTCTAGTCGGCTTTTTTATGCTTCTCATATGCTCCCTACGTACTTTAAAGCCCTCTTACGCAAGCTACTGTCGCATTCTTTTCATGTCGTTTTTATGTCACTAGTATTAGTCTTTTGCTAAGTAAAGATTAGTAATTCTACATGTTCACATTTTCCGTATAAATCTGATAAATGTTCAAAAGAATTTTAATTTAAAGTTTGGAGCTCTGCTGAGATTAGCGTCACTGTAAAAAGTCCTCTTGGAACAGAACAAATCATCTTGATAAAATTGTTAGCAAAGGAATTTTCCTCTTTATATCCAATGAATTTTACACATTTTTTACTATTTTACTATTTTTAGTAAAATATTTTTCGATCAACTTTTAAATCTCAAATCGATTATTTATGATGACATAAGTAAATCTCTAATAATATACTTAAGGTTTGTTCTTGATCTTGACGCAAAGGAAAAACGTACATTAAGCATATACTGCTGAAACAAGAAATTAACGTTCAGACTCACAAAAAAAACCTTCAAAGAGTTATCTTTGCCAGCGGCTCATATCTCGTTATTTTGGGTTCTACGAAAGAAAAGCACGCTAAATAAGCCGTCAAAAAACAATATTTTCAATAAACGGCGAATTCTCGGCACCACTTAAGAATTCATTTCCCTTCATTACTTAGTAATACCGTTGTTTATTAAAAACATTAATAAATTATAAATTATTCACTGCGTTTCCGCAGTTAGTTTATGATTTTTTAAAAAGACGTTATTTTCTTTGTACGTTAAGAATTTTAAGTTATTTGATAAATTTCAGCATTTCTTAAAATTCAAATTAAAATACTTGAAATATACATGGAAATCTAAATTAGATTCAATCTGTGAAACGTCAAATAAGACTTGATTAATATTTGTGATTAGACCAATTTTCGTTCGAAATGGAGACTTTATTTTGCTAGATAGAAATCATTTCAGCGCTTCCAGTCATTTGCTATAAATCACCTTTTTGAGAGGTCGCGTAGAAAATGCGACTTGCCACAAACTCGGCTAAAAACCCGCGTTTTGATTGACATTTTGCACACGTTGTTTGGAAAAAAATGTGTAGTCAACGCGTGTGCGACAGATTTTCGTCTCGTGTGTTTTTGTAACCTTGCTTAGCTTGGGCGTAAACCTCACACGAGACAAAGAATCTACTTTTCCTCGCTAGTTACGTAATAAACTATTCATAGCTACTAATACGGTTTAATAATAATTTAATAATTTCTTACGATCTGGATTACGTAAAAATTTATCTGGTTTATTTGAATAAGTTAAGTTGAAATCAGATAACTACAAATTTTTCAATAACTTTTATTGTTATTCAGGGAATATCAGCCACATATAAAAATTATTAAAAAATATCGATGAACATAAAAACAATCACTTTTACTTCAAAATAAATAAAAAAAAAAACAAGTTTTCTTGATAAAACTAGCTTCTAATAATCGAATGACAAATGAAATGAAACAAATCAACAGAAATCAATCGTTACAGAATAAATAACGGTTATTTATTCTGACTGGCACAAAAATTAAATTGAATAGAAATAATGTGACGTGTTTTTAAGCAAATTATTCAACTAATTTTGTAATTAATTTATTAACATATTTTGAAAGGTTCATTATTGTAAAATTTTTATCACTTATTCTATTTAAAATAAAACTATTTTGAAATTAGTACAACTTCGTTATTACTGTTTTGAATTATTAAGGTAGTACTAGTTTGACCTAAGTAGCTGTTCGAGGGCTCATTCCCTTGGAATAAGTGAACCGGACATATATTACTTAAATATATTTATAAAAATCTGTCTCAAACTGAAATAAACCATGAAATATTTAAAAGGAGTAATGATTTTCTACTATTTTTTTAGATGTAACTATCATTTTATCGATAATCGTCTGAGATAATGTTTGGGAAAGAAAATTTAAATAACTTTTGTTCAATCCCTCAAGGAAAATAAGTTCTCGAATAATAATGTTTATTAGGTGGGTATTTCTATTGAGCATTTTGAAATTAGGCTTGATGAATATTTTAACATACTTATACGAGTTTAAAAAACTGAAAAAACTCAGCAGTCACTTAAAATGTATACTATACAAAAGAATATTTTTGCAAGGTTGAGATCAGAAAACATCCTATTAGGCCTGAACATGAAAAAAAAATAGTATTTGCAATAGAATCTCATCTTAAACAATTTTGTTATATTTTTAATTTTGTTATAATAAAAATAGCTGATCAGAAAAATAGAAATAGAATGATCGCATTTTCAGAAAATTACTCATTTTAACCAAGCAAACGTTTTCAAATAGAATCATGAATAAAAGTACCGAATGAACAATTTATTATTAGTTATCAAGCAAACAATACTATTGTTCTGTCTGATGTTGTATTGATTTTTAAAATATCAGAAATTTTCGGTTACAAATCAATTAAAACTAATAAAATAAATGTTTATACCTCTTAAACAATAGAATGATATTTAAACAAAATTTTTGTTAAGCCTATGTCCAAAAAGAAATTAACAATAATAAATACAGTAACAATATTTTACCGAACAACGTCTCAGAGAAACGTATTGAAATTATTTTATGAGATATTAAGAATTCATGGAATAAAGAATGATCTCTATAAAAATTCTTATCTTATAATTTTATTGGCGTAGATGAAAAAATTCTTTCAAACAATAACTCAGTCTTGATAAAATATGCATGAAGAACGGAAAGAGGTATATATTAGAGAAGAGCTAATGTAAAAAGAAGAGAGCGATTTATGGAAGGCGAAAAAAGTTTTGAAATTAGAAGAGGTACCCGTCTTTTTCCGTCCCTCGCTCACGATCGTATCGAACGCGTAAACAAAGCCTTGAGCTTCCATAAAGTTCGACCATCCAGCAGCATAGCGTCGGACGGTCGACTATCAAAAGCCAACGACAGAGGACCGCGCCCCAATAGAAGAGTATTCCACGCGATCTGGAGAGCCTTTGGGTACTCTATAGTCGTGATACCCGATTGTTCGGAACGTTAACGATGCGTACGTAAAAACTGCTTTTGTCGAACCATTAATTTCGTGCCGCGAGCGAACGAACGCCTCGCAGTATGTGCGCTTTTTTCCGCGTTCTTGTTGTGATTTGTACAGCGCTTTTTCTGCCCGTTTCGTTCCCAATGTCATTTGCGAATTGCTATAGTTTGATGGATTGCGTACAGACTAGTTATGCAAAAATTTACAAGCACAACTTTACTCTTTCTTACGGTAGATAGGAAGCTCTGATGAGCTTAAAACTTTGAGTTAGAATTCAATTGGATCAAGTATTTTCTTTTACCTATAGAAGCGCAAATTGTTAAAAGTTTGGATTTATTCAATTCTATTATCCGATCTATGCAATATTCAGTTGCTCAACTTGTAATTTTCAATTTCTATGCTCAAATTATGTAGCAAATATTTTATAGTTTTTGTGATTAAATTTAGTTTAATATCAGTAATAATTATGTATTATGCACACATTATAGATTTTGAATCGTAGAAATAATGACAATATAAATACGATATAAACATCCAAAATCTTTGAATGACGTCTCAATAATCACGAATCGCAATATTTGATCATTTTCTATTTAAGCCCATATCATGTTTCTGGCAATCTAGAAATCGAAATGATAAATTTTTTTGACCTACATTCGGTTTTTTTGTTGTCTATAGCTAAAATCGATACGAAAGCTCCGAATTTGAATAAATAATAACTTTATTGCTTTATAACTAATTAATTTACGAATGTTCATTTTCCTGAACTACAGTCATATTGATCAGTTTTTCGAACTAATAATACACGCTATACTTAAATTTTAAAATATAGATGGGGCACATCAAAACTAATCACCACTTTTTGAGCTAACATAATTCACAAGTATACAGTATTTAACGCTTGGCACGATTCATATTTAAGAAAATGCAAAAAAAGAAAAGAACTTTTCCAGATATAGCGTGTTAAGTAAGGAAACTTGATAGTACTCACAATCAGTTTCGAGCGTCATTCTGCGTAGACAAGAAACACGGAGGAAGAGAGGGTGAGTCCCGTGAGTCGGTTCCGGTCTCAAGCTCGTTTAGCCGTTGACTTTTTCTTCGCACCTTCATTTTTCTAGCTCCACGATGAAGTAACTTCTTATGCATACATGTATGCCTACCAGTGTATTCTCACAAGCACTCACGCACTAAATTTCGCAGTGTTTTCACTGAATCATCACTAATACGGTTTTCTCGTTCTGCAATGAAAAACAATTTTCATCTTTAACAACGTTTTCTCTGATAAAGACGATTAAACTAGACAGATTGGTTAGGACAAAGAAATTAATGATCACGATTAAATTTAAGTAATCGCGTTCAAATCATTGTCGATATTGGGTTATAATGCCTTCTTTTTTGACAGCTCTACGGAATAAGAGCGACATCTGCGTGAAATGGTCGTAAATTGTGCTTATCGCGATAGTAAATGTTTAAAGAGTATTTCGCGTCGTCGAGAAAAGTTTTAATAAAATGACCATACTCGTGAGAGCGATATTGTTTGTACGAAAACAAATTTGATGATCTGAATCACCTGGCTTCATAAAAGCTTAAGCTAACGAATAATTAATGTGCATCAGGTACTTGCCTAATCGAAAATGAAAATAATTATTTTACGCATCGGATGATTAATTAGAAATGCACGAAATACTTGACACTGATTTCAACGTTCTTCGTTTCTGCGCAGTAAATATTATGAAAAATTAATTAAAAGTGAACGCGCGCTGTTTAAAAAGAAAACAACGCTGGTAAGTAACAATAATCGAGAG